AAGTAGCTTTATCTAGGTTTAGTTAAAGCAAGGTAAAGTTAATAATACATATAATAACCTTTAATAGTAAGTTATTACTAAGTCTATTATTATTATTTTTATTATTATTAGCTTTATTATTATATCTCCTAAGATTTCTTCTTTAAAATAAAGGGATTACTTAAAGCTACCTTTTCTAAATAAATTTAGCTTAAAAGTTTATATTTTAAGAGTTATTAATTTAATTATAGATTTATTATATATTATTATTAGTAATTAAGGCTAGTCTAAATAAGTAGCTAGTAAAGGCTTTTTTTATATAAGTATATTTAAGTAGAGGCTAGTAATATAAATAGCTATAAATATATACTTTATTTAAGTTTTTTAGTAAAAAGTAATATATATTATTTTTAGTTAATATAATAAAATAATTTACTAAAGTTATATAAATACTAGGCCTTTTCTTATAATACTTTATTACTAATAAGTCTTTTTATAAAACACTAATTAAAATTATTATATAATTATTTAGGTTTTTAACTAAAAGGCTTATTATTTTATTTTAAATAATTTTTATAAGTTTATAAATTACTTAAAATAAAGTAATTTTATATAATACTACTTTTAGAAAAGTTCTTAAAGTAAAAGCACCTTAGACTTTTAATAAGTTTAAGATTTTTATATAAAAATAAAAATTTTATTATTCTATTAACTAAATAAATAAGTTAATATTTAAGGCTATTTAATCTAACAAAACTAAATATTTTTTTTAAATAATAGTTTAATTAAATAAGTTACTTAATATATATCATTACTTAAAAATCTTAAATATTAAATAAAATATTATTTAGTTTTATATTAAAGCTGTTACTAGTCAGAGAGATGTATGAAGGATGATTGTATTAAGGTCTATCTTGACGTGTACACCGCTACTTATAGTTGGGCACGCACTACCCACGTGATAGCTGGCATCATGTGACGCTAGCAGTGGCCACCCTGCCAAGGGGGTAACAACTGCCCCCCGACGCTTTAATAAGCAATAGTCCCTATTGCTTCACTAGGCTAGTCCGGTAACCTTCTTCTGTAATAGCAGAAGGCGTGTCGGTAGGCGTGTTGGTAGGCGTGTTGGTAAGCGTGTTGGTGGGTTTGTTGGTAAGCGCGTTGGTAAGTATGTCGGTAAGCGCGTCAGATAGATAGGGTTGAATTGAAGGTCGGCAGATAGGGGTGTCATCTACTGCAGAGAGGTCAATTGCAATATACAAGTATAGGGTATAGGTGTTATTGCTTTTGTTTACCGAGGTTTACTTCTCAGCCTAACCAGAAGGCCTAGTGGCCAACTTAAGGGTTAACTAATTATCTTTACGTAAAGGTACAATTATAGCTCTTTTAAGAAGTTGCTATTTTTTTGCCTTTTCTATAAAGTAATAGCTCCTTAGCCTTTATTTACTGAGGTTTATTTCTTGGCTTAACTAGAAGGTCTGGCGGTTAACTTGAGGGTTAGCTAATTAATTGCCTTCATGTAAAAGTGTAATTATAGCTCTTTTAAGAAGTTGCTATCTTCCTGCCTTTTCTGTGAGGTAGTAGCTCCTTGGCCTTTTGGCTAATACACCTGTCTTTTTACCTATATGAAGGTTATACTACTACTTGTTACCAGTCAGAGAGATGTATAAAGGATGATTGTATTAAGGTCTATCTTAACGTGTACACCGCTACTTATAGTTAGGCATGCACTACCCACGTAATAGCTAGCATCACGTGACGCTAGCAGTGGCCACCCTGCCAAGGGGGTAATAAAAGCTTTTATTTAAGTTAATTTAAAAAGTAATTTAATAACTAATATTTTTATTTATATATTAATTATATTAAATACTTTTTATTATTATTTTTAAATAGCCTTTTTTATACTAATATTTAAGATATATATTTAATATATAACTGTAACAGACGCTGACAGTGACGTCGGTCGCAAGGACCCTTTGACTCTACGGCCTAACCAATTGACCCAATTGACCCAAAAGATCCGTCAGTGCTTACACGCGTGCAAGCCCTGCTGTCAACACTGCTTATATGCCCTTGTGACGTACAACCATCTGGCTAAGGGAGTTGTGCTGTTACAACTATACCCTCTCCTAGGCTGCCTTGTCCCCAAGGCACACATAGGCAATACAGACCCCCAAGGTTAGAGTTAGCGATGAGACAAGTCCTACCCCGCCTTTCGCCAGCGCTCGCCTTGACAGCCAGGGACAACTACGGGAATCGAACTTGTGACGGCAATCAAGCCTTTCTTTGCCACATGCCAAGTCCAGCAGCTGTTAGTCTGACCGTACGCGTGCAAGCACAATTGTAACAGACGCTGACAGTGACGTCGGTCGCAAGGACCCTTTGACTCTACGGCCTAACCAATTGACCCAATTGACCCAAAAGATCCGTCAGTGCTTACACGCGTGCAAGCCCTGCTGTTAACACTGCTTATATGCCCTTGTGACGTACAACCATCTGGCTAAGGGAGTTGTGCTGTTACAATAACCTTAATATTTAAATTAGCTATTATTAAAAGAAGTTTATTATTAGTTTATTTAAGATTTATATTAATAATAAATTTATTAAAAATAAAAATCCTTAAAGTATTTAAGATTTTATTAAGATATTTAGGTTTACTTTTTTTTTTTATTTAGGTTTATTTAAGTTAATAAATTCTTAAATATATTTTAATTTTACTTTAAGCTAAAAAGTTATATACTATAAAGACTAATTACTTTATATTTTAAGTTTCCTTATAGCTTTAATAGAAATAGATATATTAGAGATATTAATTTAAAAAAATAAAAATAATTTATTTAAAAAAGATTTTTTAGCCTATAGTATACTCTAAATATAGTAGTTTAAAGGTATAATATAAGCTAAGCTTATAACTATTATAGAGTTACTACTTAAAGTAAAAAAGATATAAAAAAAAACGGCTTAGATTTCTATATACAGGATTACCTTATCTAAAACAAATAAATACATATCCTGCGTAGTGGATCCACACAAAGGGACCAGACTAATAGTTAATCCAGGCCCAGCACAAATCTCACAAGGCTGCGCGATGCGCGTGAGGGCATCGCGACAATATACAAGTCTGACAGAATGAAGCTTAGACCACAGGTGTATTATAATACTGCCTCACAGCGGCGGCGAACATCAGACTGCATGACTCAGTCGGCGCTGACCTGGTCAACGCTAGCTTGATTGCTGAAGTGCTGTCGGCGTAGACGGTTATCTTCCGGTCGTGCGCTGTCCCCGAAAGGATGTACGTAGGACAGGCACTGTTGCCGGTGTCAATGCGAAAGGTAAACTCACTTGATACCGCCTTCTCGGTATCGGGTGTGCTACGACGACACCCAAGAGTCAGGATAAGTCCTGAGTTGTCAAGGATCAGGCTGACGGCTGTTTGCACCGTTGAAGAAAATTATCAATCGCTCGCGCTGTGTTCCGCGCCGTCCGTTTTGAGGAGCGACGCCAACTGCTGGGTCATGGCTACAACACCTTCCGAAGCCGCACGCACAAGGACATTCCCGACTCATCTGGTCGCACCATGTCGATATAGTTAGTATAGGTAGTTTTGTTAGTGAAATATGTAGGGTTGGGGTAGGAAAGGCTCGGGCAGGATTGAAGACGGGCAAGATTGAGCGGTAGCTCAAGACTGAAGTTGTGTTTTATGTGGGAGGCGTGATGTGAAGTCGAAGCCTGCCAAGTTCCTATTCCTACATATGGGTTAAATCGTCTCAAAGAACAATGTGGTAGGAGATAACGAAATTGGGTGATAACGGCGATAAATTAGCGCCGGCACCCCGCTCCGAGATTCGGCGTCCCGCCATCTCATCTCCCGATGCGGCACATCCTTGACAGTCTTGCGTGGTCCCCTCATCTCAGCCAACACCCGAGACTCGAGACAACACGGTGGAATCACGATACATCGGCAGCATTGCATCGCCGGAGAGAGCGCGACTTTTGGAACAGAGGTAATGGATTCCGAGGTCACTGCGTCGCCAAGGCGTTTGTCACTCAGCAGCCGGCACGGTGTGAGTCGCGACGCGGCAAAGACGATTTCGGCGTGAGTCTCCGAAGCTCCCAGCCCTTCCGAACATGCTCCGGTATCTCTCGGCCAAGGCGCTCAACTCCCCTACTCCTCTTGCACTGTTCCTGCGAACGCATTGCCTATCCTTAATGAATGAGCCCTCTAACGGCGGTGTGTGGGTACAGTTGTCTCACTTGTAGGCGGAAGAAGGTGAAATGCTCGGGCGACGCGCCGTGCACGTACTGCAGCCGGCGTGACCTGGAGTGCAAGTTCCCAGAGCCTGGAAAGAAGCGGGTGTACTCTGTCACGTCAGTTCATCCAAGTTTGCAGTCCGCTGTTAGCTGTTCTGATGCCTCATTAGCCGGATCCAAGATCTCCAAGAAAGGCTGGCCCGATACGAGAGCCAAGGCACCGGTGTTACAACTGCCAATGGTTACTTATGACTAGTTTCCTCAAAATTTGGCATAAGCTGACCCAGAAACAGTAAGGGAAAACGATACTATCAGAGTATCAACGAGGCAGATAGAGTCCCCTACTCGGCCACCAACTAGGGCTACAGTGCAGACCCCTACCGACAACGCTACGCAGGTAAACGCTGCATCCACCCTGCTGGGGCTAGCTCTTGACCAGCTCGCGTCGCCTGTCCCGACGAACTCCTTATCAAGGAGCAATGCGAGCAATGCCGTTGAGTCTTCACCTGGATCCGGTTAGTCTCCTTATGATTCCACCTCGGCTTTTGTTGTCCTGACGCCCCTCATCAGCCATACCAGCCGACTCTTCACTGAGTTCGAGCCACACCTTCGGGTCACGACTCCAAAACCTGTTGGAATATCAACGACTAGGCCGGCGAGATCCCATCAACCTACTAAGCCACTCGCTGCCCCGTGCAGCCACTGTCAAGCCTCACAATGACGCACCAGCCCTGCCCTCAGAGGAAGAGGCCCGCAAGCTCTTTGACAGTATGACCTTCTTCATCGGATACACCCAGCACCACATCGACACGCGCGAGTTCTCCGACCGTCTGGCCTTCTTCTACTCGAACCTGGGCGACGCATCGCAGTCGCAGACGCCGTGGTACCTGGAGATGCTGCTCGTGTTCGCCATTGGCAAGCTGTTCTCGGGGAGCTTCGATGTCGAAGAAAAGAGCGGGCTGCCTGGATCGGGCATGTTTGCGTATGTCCAGTCGAAACTTCCGAGTCTGAGCGAGCTGTATGGGTTGGGTAAGTTGGGCATCGAGATTCATGCATTGGCGGCGGTGTATTTGCAGAATGCAAACCGCAAGGAGGAGGCCTATCTTTATGTGAGCCAATCGTGTCATCTTAGGGTTGCCCCTGTTCTTACCTTGGTAGATCAGTTCTGCTCTCCGGTTAGCGACAACGCACGGCTATCATCGCAAATCAGGCACGCATCACTTGCTGCAGTCGGAAAAGGTGCACCTGAACCGTTTGTGGTGGACGGTGTACATGCAGGAAAGGTGAGCGACCTTTCAACCGAGCCGTGCTTTACGTTGTTAGCGGTAAGGGTTGCTGACCTTGTTGTGGGAAGACGTCTCGCTGCCGCGACTGGCAATCCTTCGGGCATTGTGGACGATGTCATTGAGGTCGACATGCCTACCGACTCGCCGGGCTTTCCGCCCGCTCTCCCTCTCAGGACCAACATCAAGATTGCAAAACTTACAGGAAGAATTCTATCAAGTAGGTCGGCCTCGGTTCATATTTTAGTTTTGGGTTTGCTGACACTCACATTTGCTAGCAATCTACGGACCAGGCACACATCCCGAAGAGACATTCGTCCCCAATGTTCAAGACATTGTGCAGTCGCTTTACTGGATAGCGAAGGAGATTCCCGGAGAGCTCTCGCCGAACTTGTCTGGCGTGCAATCAATGGAAGGGGACGTGTCGCTGAGAACGTCTGCATACCTCCATATGATGCTTTACCAAGTGGGTCAAGTGTAATCCTTAAGAAACCTGGACTAATAATCCACAAGGCAATCCTCTTGACCATCCGACCCGTCATGCTCCATGTATCGAAATTAATCTTCGATGAAGAAAGCGGCGGTGACTTGCAGCTGGGAGCTTCGCCACTTGGACGGCTCAGTAGGACATGTTCGGAAGCGGCGCGCCGACTCTTGGAGGTCTTGATATCATTGCGGAAGAGAAACATATTGAGTGAGTCCAAGAAAGCCCAGGCAAGTGTGGCACGAAAAATGTGGGAGACTGACCGAGCTCATCGCAGCAACTTTTGGCTTCTTCGACCTGGATGCCATCTTCTCGGCGGCCTTCATCATGATCTTGACTCTCATCATCGACTCGACCTGCGAGGAGAGTCAGAAGCTGGCGCCTAGACCAGGCCTATCTGATGCCCTGGAGATTCTCGACTACCTCGTCGGCCGAGGCAACGACTTTGCTTTACAGAGGGCGCGAGAAGTCCGGCGGATGCGGGATCACCTCTCAACCTTCCTGGATATACCCAAAAACAGCCCTAGTGAATTCCGCACGAACCGACCAAGAACGGCAAGTATCACTGCGGAAGGCAGACAGCCCTCGACTATTGTCGTGTCGACAACGGGAGAAGATGGTGACGGGACTCGGGGTAGTCAGCAGGGCTTTTCGGACTCGACAAAAAGTAGGTCTGCCGAAGGAGGCGGCCTGACGCCGGCCGGTCGGGCTAGTCAACTGGGGTCCAGGAGCCTGCTCGATTCAAGTCTGTGGAATGACATCTCCTATCTGTGGATGCAGCCAGCAGCAGCAGGAAACGACGAAGCTCAACCGTTGGAGCAGGCCGAGGGAATGGCGGACATACTGCCGGAAGATGCATACGACTGGAATTCCATCTACCATAACCAGGATCTCGCTCTTACCGGCCAAGATCTGGGCGACTTTGGGGAGTTGGAGAGACACATCCTGGCGTTTGGCAGTTGAAAGCCAATATGGGGAACGGGTGGAAAGGCAAAGGATGGATGCATGATGTTGTATGGGGCGACATTTTGGTGTGTTTCCTAGACTATGGGAAACTTCTGTAGTTGATGAATGGGAGCTGCATAAAGGGCATTTGTTTTCTTTCCGTATTGGTCAATACTCACCTATGATAAGGTAAATACGTTTGGCCAAACGACGTAAGTCAAAGAAGCCAAAGTTCTGCTAGGGACCTGCATCTGCAAATCATGTCCAATAGATCCATGCAATCCAAAGTGGTTGATTGGTAACGGGGCGGTCAGCTGTGTGGCAGGACTGGAATGCTGGCCTTTATGCAGAGCACATGTGAGTCACTTCCTCCCAGTCTTTGTCATCCAGCAAATAGGCAGCCATTGGAGATCAGACTCTCCTAGGTGCCTAAGTTTGGAGAGTTAGATCGAGTCACCAAAGACGATTGACAGGAACCGAAAGATGAAAAGTTGGATGACGGTGGGCTCGCATTACCAAGCAGAGGCCCTCTATTGTCTGAGTGGTCGCTGCTTGGTGAAGCGAAAGCTCAAAATCAACCTCGTTGTAATACGCCGCGGCGCAAAACCGAAGATTGATGGCGGGCAAAAGTGGAGATTGCGGGGCAGCAAAGCCCCTGCACGCCCTACTAGCGTCAGGTTGGGGTCCAGAGGCAACCATAGCACGGACCACTACGGCCATCCAAAGCCAATCAGAGCCGACTTGCACATGAAGAACTGTCGCTGATTGGTTCCCCCAGACAAGGGAGCTGCTGCCTGAGTGTGCCTGCTCTTTGGCGGCCGCTCTTCCTGCTTCACTTGGCTGCGTATTCAGCCTTGAAGACGCCAATGATGACAAACAGACGAGCCAGAAGACACCACCTCTGAATTCAAGACGATCAAGATGGACGCATATAAGTAGCGAGTCTTCTTCCCTGCTACACCATCATCGACACTCCTCAACCTCATCATCCACACTGCAACCTCGTCCCTGAAACCACCTGGACGACATCCCTTCGTCTGAAGACACCCCCACGCAACAAACGCATCAGACGGCATCACCACAACGCAACAACTTATACTCGACACCTTGCCGTCTTCTCGGGAACGCCCAAACCTCACCTGGACCCGTGAGCCTCATCCTCACTATCCGTCATGGTTTTCGGTAACAATCCCAGCGGCCGCCTTCACATGCACGTCTGCGGGCTCTACTACTTTGAACCGGTTCATCAAAGCTCTTTCCCCGGTCCACGCAAATATCTCCCTCCGCTATCCCAGTCGGTTCATGCCCGCATCATTGCTTCGACTTCGCGGACCGCCCTCACTCAAACCTTCGTCAACCCTTCCTCCGACGCAGCCATCCCAGAGCTTCGCTACAACTTTCCCCTATACGATGGCGTCTCGGTTGTTGCATTTACCTGCACCATCAACAATGACCGCATAATCCGGGGTGTGGTGCAGGAGAAGAACACTGCCCGCAAGACGTATGACGTCGCCGTCGCCAAGGGCCAGACGGCCGGTCTCCTCGAGCAGATGCCTGACGCAAGCGACGTGTTCAGCACCACCATTGGCAACGCGCCCGCCAGCGCCCAGATCACCGTCAAGATCGAGTATCTCGGCGAGCTGAAGCATGATGCCGAAGTCGACGGCATCAGGTTCACCATTCCCACCTCCATTGCCCCGCGCTATGGCTCCTATCCCGGCACGCTGTTGAGCAAGCCTACCAACGTATCGACCCAGGAGGGCATCAGCATCGTTGTTGACGCCGAGGTGCCATCCGGAAGTATCATCAAGTCGATCCAGTCACCCTCGCACCCCATCGCTGTGTCTGTCGGTTCGACCTCCACGATGAAGGCTGACGCTACCCCCTCCCTTCAGCTCGCGTCCGCCACCCTCTCCTTGGGCACTGCAGAGCTGAACAACGACTTCGTCATCCAGGTCATCGCCACCAACACCTCCAACCCCGTCGCTGTCCTCGAGACACACCCCACGATCCCCCACCAGCAGGCCCTCATGGCCACCCTCGTTCCCAAGTTCAAGATGGCCACCACCAAGCCCGAGGTTGTCTTCATCTGCGATCGTTCCGGCTCCATGCAAGGCAGCAAGGTTATTGACCTGAAAAGCGCGCTGAAGGTTTTCCTAAAGTCTCTCCCTGTCGGCGCCATGTTCAACATCTGCAGCTTCGGCTCAGGACATTCCTTCTTGTTCGACAAGTCCATGACCTACGACCAAAACACCCTGGAAACCGCAATGAAGCACGTCGACACGTTCGATGCCAACTACGGAGGCACTCAGATCCATGCTCCCATCGAGGAAACCTTCAAGCGCCGCCACACCGATCTCGACCTCGAGGTGTTTCTACTCACGGATGGCGAAGTTTGGGGTGAGGAGAATCTCTTCGCCATGGTCAACAAACACATTCAAGAGTCCAAGGGTGCGATTCGTCTGTTCACTCTGGGAGTTGGCCGAGATGTCAGTCACTCCCTCATTGAGGGCCTCGCCCGAGCTGGCAACGGCTTTTCCCAGGCCGTCTCCGACAGCGAGAAGATGTCCGGTAAGGTGGTCCGGATGCTCAAGGGTGCACTCACGCCACACGTGAACGACTACACCCTGGAGCTCAAGTATGCCGATGCCGAGTCGGAAACGGAGCCCGAAGACGACTTTGAGGTGATTGAGCCAGACTCTGCGACTTTCCCCAAGCCCCTTGACCAGGGCGCACCCGAACAGCCCAAGAAGCCCATCTCACTCTTTGATACTAGCGCAGGCGAGGACATGGAAGTGGAAGACGAGAAGCCAAGGCTCGATGGAACTGGTACGGAGCGGTACTCTCATGTCCCTGTCGTCAAGCCCCCAAAGGTGCTCCAGGCGCCCTTCCAGATCCCGCCCCTCTATCCTTACAGCCGCACTACCGTCTACCTTCTACTCTCTCCCAACAGGGAGCTGAAAGATAAGACGCCGGAGTCTCTTATCCTCCGTGGAACGTCATCTCAAGGACCTCTGGAGCTCCAGGTCCCCATCGCGATCCTTCAGGAGAAGGCCGAGACCATCCATCAACTCGCCGCTCGAAAGGCCGTCAAGGAGCTGGAGGAGGGCCGTGGCTGGATCTTCCATGCGAAGAGCAAAGACGGCCAGTCACTCAAGGAAAAGCACCCGGGTCGATTCCCTAGCATGGTGGAACGAGAAGCTGTCCGTCTTGGTATCCAATTCCAGGTTGGTGGCAAGTGGTGTTCATTCGTTGCTGTCGACAACGACCCAACTTGCACAGGGTCCAAGGAGGATGAGCAACAAGAGTCGACGAACGCCCCCATTTCCGCGACACCGCCCCTGCGTGCGCCCATGAGAAAAATGAAGGCAATGGCCCGTTCGGCTTTTAGGGTCTCGTCTTCTGCACCCATGCCAAGCGTCCCCGCTCAACCAGCTTCAATGGCACCGCAGTCACAGATGTTCACCATTATGTCGTCAGCGAATTCATTGGCGAGAACAGCAGGAGCTCCAACCAGTGGAAACTTGTTCGGCCAGTCTGCAAACCCCTCGGCCGTTTCCCCTCCTACCTCTATGACTGGGGGGTTTGGTATAACGAGAGCGTTTGGTGGCCCTTCTGGAAGTCTTTTTGGTGCACCGGCATCTTCATATTCTCCCTTTGGCACAGCCACTGCCTACTCTGCCTCACCTTCCCAAACAGGTGGCCTCTTTGGCAATAACTCTGGAGGGGGTCTTTTTGGTGGACAGCCATCCCCACCGCTCGCCTTTGGCATGGATGACTCTCCCTCTCCCTTTCCTCCCCAAACAGGAAGCCTCTTCGGTGGACAAAGGTCCGGAGGAAGTGGGTTCGGTGTGAGTGTTGCTCCTCCCCCCCCGCCAGCCCCTCGCTCTGGTATCCAATGGACTGAGGGTGATGAGCCTCCAATCGTGCAAGCGTGCGCATTGGCCCCGCCAACTGCACAAGTCGACGACGCCCTTTTAGGGCAGTATAAGAAAGAAATGGCCGAAGCTGCGTCGATGCCCCTCCCCGATGAGGATTACGATGAAGATGACATGGATGGTATGGGTGACATGGCGGGCAGGCCAGATGCAAGTAGGGATGGTTCCCTCATGTCTCCCTCTGACAAGTTCTCTGCCCTTGTTTCGCTGCAAGACTTCAGTGGCTTTTGGGTGTGGTCGGAGAAGCTTTTCGCCATCCTTGGCATCTCGGCCCGGGATGTCAAGAGCACGGTGGAAAAGATTGTCGATGGCAGTTCTCATTCAAATGCATCATCCACCGCTGCCGTTGTCGCTTTCTTGCGAAAGAAGTTGGCGGGTGAGCGTGACAGTTGGGAGATGATGGAGGAAAAGGCTGTGGCTTGGCTCGAGGCCGAGCTGGGAGACAAGACTCAGAACGTCTTGAATGCTCTTGAGCAGCTTTTCTGAGGTTTCGGACACTTTGAGGGAATGTATTACAAGACGAAAATTGGAAGCTGGTTTGGGTTGCTTTGTGTCTTGACAGAGTATTGGCAAGCACGCTTGATCGTGGGGGAGATTGATGATAGTGATAGCAAGCAGGAAGCCATGATATTGTTAGTAGTGCAAATAAAACAAAATCGCCAAAAGACCCTGAATCTCTCGAACATGTGAAACAATGTGAAAGCTTATGAACGAGTGCCTTCCTCTGTGAGCGTCCACGATGTGTTCATGAATCATCGTCTCTGACATGCTGGGCACCTTCATTTTCGAGATCAAGCATCATGACCGCCGCCTCGGTCCGCGCCTCTCTCCCCTCGCGATAGTCGTTAAACCAGTACCGATGCACAATCTCGAAACCGCACTTTTCGTACGTCCTCCTCGCCGAGACGTTGTCGTAGTCGACAATGAGCGAGACTCGCGCATGCTGGCCGTGCGAATCCGCTTCCGACGCCACCAGGTTCTTGGCGTACTCGAGCGTGTGGATGCCCAGTTTCCTGCCCCTTGCGGAGGGGATCACGTACATCCCGTTCAGCACGTAGTTCGCAGTCGGCTTGTCTGTCGCATGCGCGGGGCCAAAGTCGACGAGGTCGGGGTCGAGATGGAGGGATGTTGCGAGGGTTGAGGGGTTGAGCGGGCCCATGATGGTTAGGGAGGAGATCCATTCCGCGTCCATAGACGCGTCGAGTTTGGCACTTGCCGAGGGTGGTTCGTTGTCAAGGGCAAGGCTGGGGTCCGACGATGGACTTTCATAGGCGACGACCGTTGTCGCCAGCGGGTTCTCGAGACGCGACGTCCATGTCTCCCAGGGGAAGGCGGCTTCGCGGGCGTACGTCGAGCCGAATGACTCTGGGGAGAGGCGGAGGGAGAGGAGGCGAAAGGATTTGTAGAGGCTTGTCAGGTGGTGAAATCTTGAGGGGTCTGGGTGGGATTTGGGAAGGGTGGTGATTGTGATGCTGGCGGACGACATGGTGTTGATTTCCCTTCTTTGTCCGCTTCATTTAACAAATCAAGCTTGTCGGGTGAGGTTGATTGTAGTTGTTTCCTTAATGGCGATCGAGTATAGGAGGTTGTGAATGTGGCGGGTGAGTCATCAAACGTCTTGAGGTGTATGTGGGATCCCTCGGCCTGATGGCGCGGCCAGGTCACTAACAGCATACGCCAGGAGACTGTGGCCTGCTTGAGTCCCGAGTTTTGCGACCGTCAAGTACACATTGGCCTAAACTGGAGTTAGAGGGCATTCCATGTGCTCAAACTACGAAAAATTATCAAAACTCCCTGCTGGTCGATTCGATGGTATCTCGTAGGTCATGGCTGCCGATAATGTCCAAGTGTCGGGGGCCCGGCTTGCCTCGGCCCAATTCTTTCCCGGGTTCCGGAGCCGAAGCCCCTCCCAATCTCGGGCCTGTCGCGTCGCCGTCCTCATTCCATCGACATCAAATTTCATCAATCCGGCGCGACAATCGTCTAGTCCTATGTACTCTCGTATTTCGTGTGCTTTTTTTTTGTCATTATTCGCGATCAATTGATTCTGAGCCATCGCGATCGACGTCTTCTTCTCCAAGGGCCACTGGCTCACTGCCGGCTTGTCTCTCCCAGCCACAAGATTGATAGTCCAGCAGTCCACTTCTGCTGGGAGGTAAGCGAATCGGCTTATAACCATCGCGTCAATTCTTGACTCGACATCTCTTGCAGTTCCGTTGATCCGATTACCATGGCTTTTCGTGCCTTTTCGCGCTCCGGCTCTCTGCTGAGAAGTACCGCCCATCCCTACCGAAGTCTGGCACGCCGCCAAGGTCTGCCTTCTGGGCTCGTATTCAAATCGCCGCAACCAAAATTACTCCATACAGCCTCCTCAGAGTCATCCAAGAAGGGCAGCCAATTCATAGCTCTTCAGCTGCTGGCTCTCGGTGCCATACCCCTCTTGGCAGGATACCTACTTGGTCGATCCGGTGCTTCGGGGCAGGAAGCCGCTTCTCGGGGCAAATTCTCCCAGGTGGAGTTTGCAAATCGGAAGCATATGTTGCTTGTAAGTTGAATTCTCAACCGGTCTTGGATGTATACGGGAACTCAAGCACACACAGGCGGCCAAAGAGATCTCCAAAACTTTGGGTGAAGACGCGGTCAGCTTCGACGAGGATGAGATTGAGCTGCACGGACATTCGGATTGGTCGACTTCAAACTCGAGCGGGCGGCCTGTGGCCATCGCCTACCCTAAGACGACAGAAGACGTCTCTCTAATAGCTAGAATTTGCAACAACCACAATGTGCCGATGGGTAAGCTAATGTCTCGCGCCAGATAACTCCCGCACATTCTTGCGTGACACCGCTTTGTTTGTAGAGGCTGACAACTTCAAGTACCGTTCGGTGCCGGTTCCTCGGTCGAGGGCAGTTTCTCGTCGCCCTATAGCGGAATCTGTATTGACTTTGTGCACATGGACAAAATCATCGCCTTCCACCCTGATGAGTACGTGTCCCATATCCTCTCCAAAGCATGCAACTTCTAACATGACATGCTCAGCATGGACGTCGTCGTCCAACCGGGGGTTAACTGGGTAACCCTCAATAAGACGATGGAAGACTCGGGCCTCTTCCTCCCCCTAGACCCCTCCCCCACCGCCATGATTGGCGGTATGGTTTCCACCAACTGCAGCGGCACAAACGCCTTTCGCTACGGAACCATGAAGGACTGGGTCATCAACCTCACCGTCGTTCTCGCCGACGGCCGCGTCATCAAGACCAGACGACGACCGCGGAAGAACTCGGCCGGGTACAACCTCACCTCGATGTTTGTCGGCGCCGAGGGAACGCTGGGGCTGGTTACGGAGGTTACGCTGAAACTTGCCGTCGTGCCGCAGGACACCAGCGTCGCTGTGGTTTCGTTCCCAACGATTGACGAAGCTGCGAAGGCGGCCACGAAGCTGATCCGTTCGGGAATCCAGCTTGGGGCGCTGGAGTTTCTGGACGAGGTGCAGATGCAGGTCATTAACCGGCATGGGAGTGAGGCTGTTAGAAGAACGGCATGGGATGAGAGTCCAACTCTTTTTTTGAAGTAAGCCCAACACTGGTGATGAAGGTTCTTCCATCTTGGGACATCCGTGTTGACTAAAATTGTCTGCACTTAGGTTCTCAGGAACAACCGAGGCCATCAAGGGGGATGTCTCCCGGGTGAAGGACATTGTGCAGCCTTTCAAGCCACGCAAAATCTTCTTCGCCAGGAACAAGCAGGAGGAGGCCGATCTCTGGGCCGCGAGGAAGGAGGCATTGTGGACGATGACTTCGATCAAGCCCGAAGGATACTCGCTGTGGTCTACTGATGTGGCCGTACCCATCTCGAGATTGGCCGAGATAATTAGTGAGTTTATAGCCCATTCCACCAGCGACAAGGCATTTCTTGCTGTGGCTGATGGGTGTTAATGTCTGTTCAAAGCGCTGTCCAAAGAGGACTCTGGCAAGTTGGGCCTGTTTGCGAGCGTCATCGGCCATGTCGGCGATGGCAACTTCCACCAGGCGGTCATGTACGACCCGAAGAACGAGGAACAGCAAGCATCAGTTGCCAAGTGTGTTCACGATATGATGAGCAGGGCTTTAGAGATGGAGGGGACGGTTTCGGTAGGTGATTAGTACTTGCTGCCGTGATATCTGCTAAGTTGTCGTTCAGGGCGAGCACGCGATTGGGATTGGGAAGAAGGTATGCTTAATTTTCGGCTGACGGTCTCTCCACTCTCATTGACACAGCTGACATGTTCTCGAAGGACTGCCTTGTTGAGGAGCTCGGCAGGGATGCGATTGACTTCATGAAGACTTTGAAGCAAGCAGTGGATCCCAAGTAAGTCCAGCCGTTCCCGAGGCAATGCCATTGTATTGACCAAGTCGCAGGTGGATCATGAACCCAGGCAAGGTCTTCGATCTTCCGACTGGCTCTAAAGCTATTGCGGCCTCATAAGTTTTCGTTGTCCAATCGAATGTGGTGAGACTACAGGGGTGGAGGAGATAAGTCACGGTTGGAGCGAAAGATAGACATCTAGAAGCAATGGCGCCATCTCTGCATCTCACCCCAGAACGGTTCCCCTACATGTTAGTTACGATTCAGCGACCAGCTGCGAAATTGGTTCAAAAGGGGGTCCGAAACACACACCTCCTGCATTTGCGGAGTTCGCGTCGCAGTTGGTAGCAACCAACACAACGTGGGGGCCTAAAAAACGCCCTACTTTATCGCTAGTTTGTACTCCTTGTACGACTCGAAGTATCGAAGCCATGTATGGGGGCTTGTCAAATATTGAAGCCAAGATGTGCAATGGAGGTGTTCCTGCCAACACTGTTTCAGCTGTGCCCGCTGCCAGTCGACATTAATAGCCCTCTCTGTGCAACCGACCTCTATACCGGACGCTGCTGCCTATTGATGTTGCTATCCGTTCGCAACCAATCCGTTTCTTGGGAATTTTCGTTGCAGATTCTTTTCTTAGCAACACGTTCCCAGACAGAGACCAAATATGAATCGCGCCATTAACTGATACTATCAACTACCACCAGGCTGCATCGTCTGGAATGATCGCGTTTGAAGCTTCCACCAACACGTTCAATCCTTTTTGTAGTCAGGCTGTAGGATTTGAGGGTCCGGCCACCGCCTCTGGTCGTGTAACCACCGCAGCTGTTCGACCCCTGCATTCAGACGAGACACCACACAAGGACGGGGGCCTATTTCACCAACCAAGCCAACCGCACGAGCTATTTCAGTTTTCTAGGGACCCTGCTCGTAGTCTTCCGGCGGGTTTGTGGATATCAAACCAAAGTATACTGGGCTGCAGAACATTCAAAAACGAAATGTCTTCCCCAGTCTCCCGACGATATCAAATCCTGGCTTGATGCTTTAGATTAACTTTACCTCAAAACCAGCACCAGCACAATGCTGCCGCGACTTCTTGCCCTGCTATGGACATTTCCCCTGTTCTGTACTTTCACTGCGGGTCAGGCTCCAGTTGAGTTGGCAGTGCGAAGCAGCCCTGGTAGAACAGCCTCAGAAACCTTGCGGACTATCCAGCGACGTCTTTACAATGCTGGGGTCGAAGGAAGAGAGACCAAGTTCAGTAACAGCACATCGTTGGACCGAAGCTTTGATAATGCAGTTCTCTTCAGATTGTAAAGCCCTCCCCGCATCGGTGCTGCCTAGAAGCATGATTGCTGACATTCCCCATCAACGAAGTGAACAGTCAGGAAAAGCAGGGAGTGTTAATGTCACGCTAGAAGGCGGCATCAACATCGTCTGCGCAAAATGCTACATCAAGGGCAAGGCCAGCGCTCATCTCACCATCGATGGAACTTTCAATGCGACCCAAGTAGTCAAGGACATTGGGAACGAATTTGTAGAGACCTTTGACAACATCACAACGTACGCCAAGGACTACGTGTCCGGGGTCGCAAACAAACTAGCTGACGGTCTGGACGCCGACGATTTTGACTTTCCGCCCCTGAATATCACTTTTGACGTCGGTATTCCTGACTTCCCGTCAGCGAGCCTTGGGTTCGGATTCGACGACTTGGAGCTTTACATGCAACTGGACACTACACTTTCTGCTGGCTTGTCGTACACTCTTAACTTGTACAGCTCGACGACCCCTCTGGGGTCAAAGATTGGTGATGACTTGATGCTTGGGGTTGTGTTCGCAATTGATCTTATCTTGAGCGTGGAGAGCGAGGTCCAAATGAGCAGCGGGTTCCATATTCGGATGGACGACAGCATTGGTTTCGACATTGCCTTGTTCTCCAAGAACGTTTCGAGCGTAAACTTGTAAGTGTCATCTTTCCCCATGAGTAGCGACCTACTGGAGTTATGTGGCTTATCACAAATCATAGCAACGGCGGTCAGTTCGAGTTCTTGCCAGTCATCATCGAAAGCGCGGGCGTAGTGCTCAAAGCCGTCCTTCGAGTTGGTGTCAGCGCTGGCATCGAGCTTTCTTCTCCAGTCGACAGCAAAGAAGTTGAGCTCTTCAACAACAACTTCACGATACCAGGTGCTTCCGCCGGAATCCAAGTCGGCATTTTTGCCAACATTGCCGAGCTCAGCACCAATGTCACTGCACTTCCGACGCCCGACGAGGACGGCTGTCTTCTTCGTGCCGTCAACGCATACCAGTTTGCCCTGGGCGCGGCAGCCGGAGCGTCGGTGCAGATTGGAAATCGCGTTTGGGGTCCCGTGCCAAGCACCCAGATCCCGATTTTCTACACAACTCTCGCGGATGGCTGCGCCATCCGTCGGGAACCCTCGACTATAGTAGCTAGCGTATCCGCGACGCCAACCAAGGCTAAGAGAGACGAGGAGCTGACGACGACAACATTGAGCAAGAAGGTGACCTACACGGCCATTGAGTGCTTAACAACGGGTTTCGTCAACTGTCCGCCTCAGCTTCAGAGCCTGAAGAAGTTTGTCGCGACCGAGACTTTTGTCACAGCTGTGGCCTCAGGAGTGGACGCTACATTTCCAACGGCAACTCAAGCCGCGGTGCAAAAGGTTGTCAACTTCGGATCCGACGCTCAGTCTTTGATATCCACCAGTGGATCCCCGAAGGTGTTCACTCCTCCTCCTCCTTCTACTTCTACTCCGTCTGCCACTGGCACCAGCCCTGCAGAGGTATTTGAAGGTAAAATTGGAGGAGTTGACAAGAAGATCATCATTGGGGTCAGCGTCGGCGTTGGTGTCGTCGTTCTAGCTGGTATCATTGGTGCTTGCGTGTAAGTCCCCCTTGTGACCGTCAGATCTGGTCGATGCTAACTCATCTGGTGGTTATAGATATTGGCAGCGAAGACGTAGATACACATCTGTTACGAGAATAGACGGACCTATCGCCTATTCGCAGGAATCACGGCCGCTGGGCCCATACGAGAATGGCATGGAATACAAAGAACCTCAAGTCAATATACATGTAAGGCTATGAGGTCGGGCTTGGATAAAAAGAATTGATCATCTTGAAACATCTTTGGCTAGATCTTAGCCCGTGATCTGTACAGATTTAAGGAAATCTTCTACATCCTGCAGCAATATCTCCGGTTGCTCAAGAGCAGCAAAGTGGCCTCCCTGTTGTTGTGTCAGCACCCCACAGGTGATATAGATGGAGATCTCAGATATACAAGATGCCTACCTTGTCGTGCGAACGATATTGCTTCAGGTTCGGGTAAACCTTCTCAGCCCAAAGCTTTGGCATGAAGCTGAGCTCACTGTGAAAGGCCGAGTACGCCAAAGGAGTTTCTTTCGATGTCGCGATCTTGATGGGTTTTCCGGTAGTCATGTTCTCGGCCATTGGACGGTATGGATAGATGCTCCTCGGGAAGGTAGACGTAAACCAGTAGAGGCTAACCAATTCAAGTATTGTCTCCAACTGAAGAGGAAAACGTGGGTCTACCCATTCCAAGTACTTCTCTCCGATCCTATAATCATTCATGCGTAAGTACTGAGCGCTGTTTGAGGTATGTTGGTAGCTTAATCTCACCAAGCCAGCAAAGCCAGTGGGCTCGCAGACAAAACCAAACCGATAGTCGCAGGTCTCAATCCATGTTCCAAGGCATACGAGGTTCCTGTTGAGCGCCAGGTCGCCATCTTTTGCAAAAGTTGAAGTTCTTGCTGTGGAAGCGCATCGGGGCTGCCAACTTCGTCCTCTGCTCCTGGGAAAAGCATGTTCACTGAAGTTTCGTCAGCAACAGTTCCGAGATCCCCAACTGATATGACTCACGATGAAATGCTTTGCATTCCTTGTACGCAGACATGTACCTGGCCATGAAACTTCCAACATCGCCGCCTTGAGCGGCGTAGCCTCCGCCAAATCCCAAATCCAGCATCAACTGATGGAGTGAGGCAGCCACTGCTTCCTGACGCGTCTCCTTGTCCAGGGGGATCGAGCCCGACGAGAGTCCATACCCAGGTAGCGACGGTACAATAACGTGATACGGCAGGGTGTTCGGAGTGTATTTGTTTACCAGCAAATCAAGTATCGGGAAGAACTCTAGAAACGAGCCCGGCCAGCCGTGCATGAAAATGATGGGAACTGCGTCCTTTTTGCTCGAGAAAAGACCTGTAAAGTGCATCTCCACAGTTCCCAGTTCTGAATTCTCAACTTTGGACTTGAAGTTTGGGAATGAGTTGATGCGGTCTTCCTGCTTCCTCCAGTCAAACTTGAGCCAGGCGTCTTTGGCATTGATGAGCCATTCACGGGTGGTGCCAAAAGCTCCACCATCTTGCTTGTTATACCAGGTCTCCGGGCCGATTTTGGACAACTTCAAGAGCTGCTTAAAATCATCCAGATCTTGGTCCGGGACTCGAAGTGTGAACTTCTCAGGTGACTTGAGAACCCCGCTGGGGAGGTTGCCGAATGCTTGCGCCATGGTTTGGTGAGATGGTAAAGTTGTGAATAATGCTATGTTGAAAGACAAACAATTCTTGAGGTAAAGAAGATGAATTTGCCTGCGAGGTTTTTCTGAGCTTCACATAATGGGCACAGTCGACTTTATCGGGACTGGGACACAAGATGAGGCGCCAATTAGGAGCATCCCCGCAGCGGACTTGGCCAGCGCCGCAAAACTCTCCTTCAACAGACCACCAGTGACATCCTTCACAAAAGTGGCCTCAACCACAACATTCAATGCTCCGTTCAGAAGACCCCGCGGGACGGGGTGGAGACACCTCGGCAAACGGAGTGGTCGGATCTCGCAAAAGTCCGTTTCTCGCTGGGATGAGAGACAGATTGTATGCACGCACGCCGCTTAGGCCCCCGAAGGATACGACCATTTCTCGTCTGATAAATCAATGACATCCAGTGTCGTAACATGATGCGGTAGTGTGGGTCTCATGTCGGAGTGTCGAGATACCGTTGTGTCCTACTAGCGGGCTCGGCAACCCCGATTTGGCATCGATGGCTCACGAAACCGAGTCCGCCAAGTCCTAACGGGCAACATTCAATTGGCGACTTCTCCTACGGTTCACGTAATCATTGCCAACTTCCTAGCACGTTGCATTCAAGTCGACGCTTTTGCTGCTCAGTCATTGTGCATACACTCCGGGGATGACTAATCATTCAAAAATAGAATTATACGTCGATCGATTGAACTCTCAGAGCGAATGCTCAGCAGACTTTGTCAAACTAACCCTTGTGCTGGCATTGTCATGCAAGTCTGGAATCAAAGGTCTTTCGAAGCTTGCATCCAGTGAAGCCACTTCAACAGCTGTTGGCTAGCGTACAATAATGACTACGTGAACCAACTGATTGTTGAACATTCCTGTTGCATGCTACTGAAGTCAAAAAGTTTAAAGCGTTGAAGTTGTTCCAATATCATATGTATACCATTCTGTACGGAGTATCGTCGTATGATCTGGCGTTCTAATTGATATTCGTATTACGGCCGTATGTGCCAGTTGTTGTGAAGACCTGTCCGTCAACAATTGACTTGAACGTAAATTGCAGAGCACTTCCAGAACTAACAGGGCCCCTTCATGAATAGTTCACGGTACTGTTGATAGGGGTTATGCGGGCCACCTGCAGTGGTTCGAGACCTGTTAGCGGCTCGGCAACTTCAATGACACGGTTCAAAATTAGGAATAAAAATTATGTACGATACGAAAGGGCAATGCATGGAGCAGACCGATTACAAACCTTGTAGTTAAAGATCCAAGGGAATACGTTTTGGGGCTGCCTTAACTGCGGTTTAATTGACATAAGACAGTTCGTCAAGCTAAAGTTGGCATTTCCGGACGAGCTATTGTCTTCTTAGTCATTGCTTCAAGGTTACCTGCACTCCTCCCTGATTGACAGCCTTGTAGCAATCACACTTGGTGTATGAGTTATCCTCTAGTTCTTTTCACCCTAATTATAGCATAGTTTTGCGTCCAACCATGTCAAGAAATTTCCGCAGAAAAGGACTTTGACGTGTCGTTTGTCCAGACCCTGAATGCAATGTTGATTAATAATGTTCGACCCTGCACAAAGCATCCGGATGAAGTAAGAAAACACGCAAGTTTTCTTGCAATTAGAAGGCCGCCTTTCACGGCTCGCTGCCGGGATTAAAGAAGCTTCAGCTAACATAGCGTTCCGGTGTATGTAAGAGGCACTTATCCATATTTGGAAGTAGGCACAATAATTGCAGGCCATCCAACTAATCCATAACACCAGCATATTAATCTTGGTTTTGCTCATGCTAACATATAAGCTAGTGTCATTTGGCACTCTCATACTGCTGAACTCGCAGCTTGTATTTTACAATGCTCCCTAATCTTTGTCAACATAATTCTGCGGATTGTGAATTTTTTGTACGGAGAAGATGCCGGGATTGATCCCGCTCATGATTGAGGTAGCCCGGGATCAGCCGCTAGGCTGCTCAACCCCACACATTAGACCTTCATACGCAGCTGGCATACCCCTTACATACATGGGTCTCTTGAGGCCCAACGAGAGACCTGTCAGATTTCTCGTGCTTGTCTAGGTAGTATCTCACATACACATGCAAGGCCATCCGCTATCCTTACCATGGTCGGGAGAAGTCCCGGGGTTATTAAATGATATTGGGCCCAATGGTTTATCGGTACCACAGGGAAAGCAAAGCATGGAAGAGAGGAGACGGGTACAGTCTAATTAGCGGGCAAGACTCCTCAAGCTTAAGAGAGCGGCCTTCATCGAACCCTCGTTTGTAAATCTATAGTCCAAGTTACTCAAGACCTCTTTCAAACCTCTTGAAGACAACATGAAGTTCAGCAGCTTTCACTGTCAATTTCTTGCCCTCTCGGGGTCCTTTTTATTGGCATCTCAAGCGAGCGCAACTTCTGTATTCAAGCACCCAGGACTGCTGCATACGGCCAATGACTTCCAACGTATTACGGGCTTCCTCGCTGCTAACAAGGAACCATGGACCACCGGCCGAAACAAGCTCGCAACTCGCGCCAACGCCGCCTATACTCCAAATTCTAAGGAGACCGTATGCCGCGGCGGCGCTGGCCGTGAATGCAACCCGGAAAACTATGCATCTCTCTTCCGCGACGCAGCTGCCGCATACGCTAACGCTGTTTATTGGAAGATAACCGGCAATGAATCACACGCAAATGCATCGGCCAGAATCCTAGACAGTTGGAGCAGCTCGCTCAAGTACATCAACGGTTCTTCAGACAAGTTCCTCGCAAGTGGCATCTACGGCTACCAACTCGCGAACGCAGCCGAGATACTTCGGGAATGGAGCGCATGGAACGGCCTTCCTGCGGCGATCAAGATGCTGCAGAGCATATTCTACCCTATGAACCACGATTTTCTCATCAAACACAATGGCGCTGTCATCGACCACTACTGGGCGAATTGGGACCTTGCGAACATATGCACCATGCAGGCTATTGGCATTCTGTCGGATAACAGAACCATGTATGACGAGGCAGTCAACTACTTTCAGAATGGAGCAGGCAACGGCGCCATCAAAATTGCTATCTGGAAGTTGCACGATGAGCCTGGTTCGAATAAAACTCTCGGCCAAGGCCAGGAAGCCGGGCGTGATCAGGGTCATGCTCTGCTGGACTTTGCACTTCTCGGCGTCTTTGCTCAGCAGTCGTACAACCAAGGTGACGATTTGTTTGCCTATCTTGACAACAGAATACTTACGGGGTATTTCTCTCTGTGCGCAGTAATTATGGCCATGACTAACGAGTAATCAAGCGCGGAATACGCCGCAAAGTACAACCTTGGATACGACGTTCCCTTTACGAATTTGACTAACAGCCAGGGGACCGCGACGGCCATCAGCGACAATGGGCGAGGACAATTTCGGCCAATATGGGAGCTTCTTTACGCTCAATACGGCGTCATCAAGGGTCTGAATGCTTCTTGGACTGAGTCGATGCGTGACCTCGTCGTTGAGAACGCCGGGGGTGCGGAGGGTGGTGGTGGAGATTACGGCCCGAACAGCGGCGGATACGACCAGTTAGGGTTTGGAACTCTTCTCTACAGACTCGAATAAGGCTCATACCGTGTATAGTCAAGAAACTATGCAAAATCATTTTCTCCCGTGTTGTCTTACCATGTTGATAACTGGTAGCTGAAGGACTATATCAGGCCTTCTGTTTCTCTCGTTTAGCTAGTTTCATATATCTATGTCCATTCTGAAGGGGCCTCGCTATCCATTCCCCGGAATCTCATGTCGTGCTACAGACTAAGCGTTAATCAATCTTCAAATTGGCCCAAGGAACGCTCGTAAATGTTGATAATCTGTCTACCAAGTCACATATATGAGTCTATTGCAAAGACACCAAACTCAGCCGTAAAAGAAATGATATGAATCCAAGGTCTTACAAGAATGGGTTCGAAATTGTCTAACGTTGGTCAAATGCCTCGACCATCAAGGGTACCTAGCCAGCACAGATTAGACCTCCCCAACTTGTATGGTTCGACCCTGTCAGTTGACTCTCGGGCTCGATAGTCTGCTTCGCTTTAGTTATCCACGGCGCCTTCAACTTCTTTTTCACTACATAGTGGTAGCATCAGAGATGTCCCACATTGGGTTCGGCGCCGTAACATCGCGCTCGTATTGAAAAATAGTGCTCCAAGGCCCATTCACAAGCATTACCTCACACCGGAACCACTTCGGGTCATAAGTCACCGTCTGGTTCAGATTGAACTTAGCTGTGTAGTTGGCACCTTTCAAGAGCAAGTTGGCCCCCCTGGCTGTAGAGATCGAGGCCTTGAATTTGAGCTACGAGTTCGGCCTGGGCTGCCCAACCGATGCCTGTCATAGCGTGATGCTCTTGGTGTCAGTCTCAAGTATCCAAAAGTGAAGGCTGTAGCACGGTGGGCCTACTCTGATCATGTCTGGACTGATAGTTTTGGCCCAGGCTCAGACGTGGAGCACAGCCTGACGCAGGGATTGTTCAAGTACTCATTAATGGCGTATTTGCAGAAAGTGACAGCGTCCAGACAGGCCGCGAAGCTGAGGAGATTTTGGATACTAGCCATGCCGTAGTAGGCCTGACCAATAAGAATTGACTGCTGCGAAAAGAGCCAAGAGAGTTGTATACTGGAATCAGAGCCGCCCTGCTAGCGTGCTCCCGCTTCCGTCCAATTCCCCTCACAGCGCATGATCTCTACAACGTTGACTAAGAGATGGCCCTGTAAGTCCGACGGGAAGCGACCGATTGGTGACGATGGTGGCAACTAGGGTGGAACCCCAAATATCCAGGATGGTCGTACTGAAATTCCAGTGCGCATTGTCGCGGGTGATGTACCACATGAGCGTATCCTGCCACGTCACGCGGGAATCAGAGGTGGATGAAGAGTATTCACTGACGCTGCCTCGTCAAATGACAGTCTTCAGCCCCTTCATCTCGTAGGTTTCCTGGCTGTAGCTTTCCTTGCTGAAGACCTCGTAGGTCGGTGCTCAAGGATCTTGTGTAGGCCCTTGAGATACTTCAAGATTCCGTCTGCCTGTGAGACGGGCATGAGCGGATAGACTGGTCTGAAGACTCCTGGAATGTCGGCCACGGTTGCAGGGCCTGGCTGAACCAGTAAGATTGCCAGTGGCAGAAGCAAAAGAGGCAGAGAGCGCTGGTTAGCATCAGCATCGGAAACAAGTCTTGCGGCAGAGGCTGGGGCTACTCACTTGGATTGCGCGAAACCGGCAGCGCAACAGGTGGAAACACCCGAAGCCGTACTTATTTGAACGCAAGCTTCATGTCGCCAGCGCTCTCACATCACTGCATAACATACGCATGAGGCCGTGTGAGGTTTTCATAGTCCCGTCTTTTGCCTGTCTAAAGTTCATCATTGTCAGGGCCAGGGGAGGTTGGGGGCCAGGAATGCAACAGTAAGATTTAACACCCTAAGCTATGCTCAGAAAAGAATTAAGTCGGGAGGTGAGCAGAGTGAAGGAAAATGCGGAGTTCGCAGCCGAATAGTTTGATACAAAAGAAATATGAAATAAGAGTTTCACTTTAACACTTTTTTAATAGGAATCTTAGAATTTCAAGCGGGCAAGATATCTGTCGTTCTGTGAATCAATTGGGAATGTAGCGTAGCGATCCAGACGTCCACTGTGCACACCGCATCGCGTCGTGAGAAATAGCCCTTGCGGAACATCTACCATAACTGGTTTAGACGCCCCAAGATTAATTCAGCCTTGAACATTAGAAGTGCCCAAATCTCTGGTTAAGCGGCGCCTTTGCAGTCTAGAATGCGCTTTGCCTGGCTGCAAACAATTTTCTGGAGAAGATCGCTCTGTAGCATGGCTCGAGTGGTTTTATCATGTTCGTACACCATGCAAAACAAGCATAGAATTAAAGTGTGGTTGATGACCTGGAGGTGCTCTCCGCGCCTTGGCCCCGTGTGGAGGCAAATGCATGAGTCATCGACTGTGTGTGGGCACCATGTGGATGTGTGGGTGATAGTTGTCTAAAATAGTTTGTCATTCCATCAATAACAGCGGTTGTGTAGTGTAGTGGTAATCACTCCGGATTTTGATAACATCAAAATCGCTTATTCCGGCAACCCCGGTTCGAACCCGGGCACGACCTCGTGTTTTTGCCTTTTTTCCAGCCTCGTATATAGCTTATTGGAACTCGCAATGACTGTTATCCCTCCGGTTTTTTACTTTTCACTTTTGTTGACCCATTTTCTTCCCCCACAAGCTGCATACTGCCTCGCTAGGTCCGGTTTGCCTTTGTGTCCACAACTTGAACTCCGCTTATGAAAGGTTAACACACCAAGTGCAATGCAAACAGACCAAAAGGATTACCATGCCGCCATAGACCTGAGTTTCTCGCCTTCTGAGTGATGTGATCACAAGCTTTTAGAATTAAAACCGCCCTGCCGATTGCTATCGGGTTTATATCTTCAGTCCTGGCATCCCTCCATGGCTGCCTGCACCCGATCTCTCTGTAGTATCAGGCTCGCACTCGCGATCGCCAATGGGAAGCGCCGCATTGAGGTTGTTAAGGTCAGCGCCCAGTGTCGAGTTTTGCTCCGTGACGCCTGTGGATTTTTCCTCATGTTGAGTCGCATATTGGACCGTCTCTTGCTGATCCTACCTCTGCTGCCATTTGCGACAGTTGTGATAACAACGTTTACAGAAGGATTGCTAATGGATAAAATCTGTTTGGATGAAAGAGCCTTAATGCGGAGCCTTAGTCCTGGCAATCAATGTTGATACTCAAGTAGTTGAGAGCTACACAAATACCTGAACGCACGATTTGACTAACACGCTACCTGGACGCTTTCCAGGCTCAGCACTTGTCGCTCGATTCCGCTTTCATATTACTAGATCACTTTACTAAGAGATCACGGCCTGCTATTATATGCCACTCGCACGCCGCTTGAGAGAAGCAGACCACAACCATACCACTCCATTAGCCGGGTGGTGTTCTCAACACTTCTCTAGTATACTGGAATAGGTTAGTAGTACAGTTCGTCGAATTATTCACATAATTATTATGGATGAGTAGCTGGTATTTCATTTGATAATCTGACTGGTTTTAGCTTGGAGATAAAGTGAGAAATTTCGACTGGCCTGATATAGATTTTGCCTATGGTGTCGGGGAAAGCTGCCACCTAAAGGTGTGATATACGACTTTGCTGGGCCTCGTGAGCCTCCGCGGGAAATAGGGCCCATGAGGTCTCACTTACTTTAAATTATTCGGGCTGGGGAAACTGAAAGAACAAGAAAACTCCCTGCTGGAAGAAGTAGCGGATATCTGTATAGGTGAAGGGCCAGCCGGCCGATTGATGCGCTGCCCTATCTGATGAGCCGTGATATTGGTCTTTTCATATTGGCTATTGAAGTTGGGGATGAAACCAGGCAGCGAACAGGAAGATGCGACTCATATCGCCAAGTTTGCGACTGTGTATTACCATGCGAGAGAGCTTTGGGGTCAACGAGAACCTTCCGGGGCCGACTGGGTAGAGAGTGGCGTTGAGGAGGGTGTTTGCATCATCGTCCATGTCGATAGGATAAATGGCGAGGCCGAGCAGGCCTTTAGTATTGGCGTACTTCACCCTTTCGATAATGGAATCCCGGTTCTCGAATGAGATTCATTGGTCACCGTCGTAGCTGTTCAAGACGTTAGGATTCGCAGTAGTAAGATGGAACGGAAGAGCAGGGAATTAACTTGCTTCAAATAGCTGGTCGCAGTCTTGTCATTGTAATTGCTTGCGGTCTTGCCGAATTTCTGTTGAATCTCGTCGTAGAATTAGAAGCCTGGCGTGCCGGTACATTGACCTGCCGTACCAAATCCTGCTGCTGAACATCCAATCCCCGAGCACGACGAAGTAACGGACAGCTCACAAGACCGGCCAAAGAAACCAATTCCAAGGTTGATCTGAGTAGTGGAAATTTCCTCTTTTCCAAAGAAGCCCAGCATACGGGGCTGCAAGTCCGGCCAGGTCCCCGTGACCTCGGAAAAATGGCTCTGCTGGTTCTTTGACAACCAGTTAGCCAACTTCTGGAACACTTGGCCTGGCGCGCCGATTAACAGCGCCGGCGGCAACCTTTCGTTGCGCGCGCTGTACGCACGGTATATCGAGGATACGCTGCTCATCGTTGAGAGTAACGCCGCGACCTTTGCCAGCCAAGCCAGGGCCTGGTACCAGGCTTACTATACCTCACTCAAGGCTGATGGTAAGCGAGACTGTTCCAAGTCTAACGTTGACGATCCAGCGTGGTTCAACTCGGCTTTTGGTAACAGCGGATGGGCCACCGCCGCCTGTGCCAAATTTCCGCGGCCAGGATCCGGCGGGACGGGGTGGTCTGTCTTCGGCGCCACAGGGAACCCGTCTATGACGGTCAGGGGAGACGGAACACTGGTGAATCTTACGGCTCCGACACGTATCTAAATGATATTTCGACTTGGCCTGCATTGTTATACCGATCTTTCAGAGTATTTTGTTATCTTCTTTTGTTCAGTTATCCATGAAACTTGTGTCCTTGTTTATGTACGTGACTTTACACATTTAGATAAAAATAGAACCTCACCACTCGGCAGAAAACCTCCTCTTTTACCCTCTGTTCCTGAATCAACGGCTAGCATTGGCAGTTCAGTCGTATATAACTATGTCCTTATTCTAGTCGCTTCCAACTCTCGATCCAATATTCCTTCTGGCAAAAAGTGCCCATAGAACCTACTGACGCTCCGCGACAATCCCTCGGCTCCCAGCATGCGCCCAACTAACTCCAATTTCATCCGATTCAACCAAACACGTGCTTCAGGCGACACAGGCTCCTCGCAACGTTCCCACATCTCTTCGCGTGGCTGCCAGTAGACTGCGATGAAACTCCCAAACGGGCTGTTGAAGGCGTCCTCCTCCAAGACGGCATGTGAATCCTTGTTAGGGTGGTCCTCCAAGTAGCCCAGAGCCCCCTCCCATTGCTCCTCTAGGCGGTCAATTACGATGATCCCCCAGGCGTACCATTCATCATTAATACGCTCCGGGAGAAACCACGACTTGGCATCCACTAGATCAGCAATGGTGAGACGGTTGTTCCTCTCCTGCTCAAAGTGGCGAATACATTCCTCAGCGCGGTCGCGGGGCGTCAGGAGGGCGGATTCGGTAGACGTTATGAGCGCGACGACCTCAATCCTGTCCGGTTCGTTCTCAGCTCTCCTGCGTTCGCTCATGGTGCGATCGAACATGACGCGCGCCAGCCTCCCAGCCCGGGTCGCGTTCGCGCCAGTTGCAGTGTCGTAGATGACCAGGCCAAACCGGGGCCGTTGGTCAGCGGCGTCCGGGTTTCGACTGGTTTCCAAGACGAAGAATGCCGCGAAGGTAGATGAGCCGTCATGGCTGGGGGCCGGCTGGACGATTGTTACTTCTCGGGGAGCTTTTGTGGCCATTAGCGTCCGGGGAAGCGTGGCTCCCTGCGTTTTCAGCTCCTCCAGCTCGTCACCTTCATGGTCCTCCGGTTCCAGAATGTCCGGGTCCTCGTCGAGGATGCCTAGGCGTTGGCGTGCGAAACACACTTTGAGGAGTCTTTTTGTTTTTGTTTTTGAGGGTCTCTTGCTCTGGTGTGATGCGGTGGATGTTTGATGTCTGGCAGCACACACTCTGCTAGCCGCTCACAGCCTTTTAAAAAACAAGGTATCCCAGCGAAAACTACTTAGGGAAGCCAAGCCCGGGCGGGGATGGAGTCGGCTGAATGATGGACGAGGACGGGAATTTGTTCTGTCTCGGTTTTGGCCTGTTTTTCTCACTCAATGCAACAACTGGAACGGTGCTCGAATCTAGTTTTGATCCTGTGCCTTCGGCGGAAGAATCGCGAAAGAAAGAGGCCAGGCTTACCATGCTGGATGATTCTTTTGGCGGGGATAGAGTTATTGAGCACTTGCGATTGGTCGTGGTGGTGCTTCGTGATTGATGAAAGTGGAAAATCTAGATGTTGGTTTTGGGGTCGTGTTCTGCCTGTATTACGATCTTGCTGCCCATGCAATCAGCGCAGCCCCAACACCGCTGCCATCTCTAGCCATCCCTATTTTAATCATTTTGTCTCCATGGTCGCCGATCTCAGGGATATCTTTAAGAGCTTCTCGAAGATGCTTCTCAAAGTTAGGGAAATGTTCGACCAAAGATCCATCGACGCCAATATCAATGATTTCATCCTCGCCGTCGGCTTCAGTAGAATTGGAGTCATCAACTGAGCTCGAAGACGCCTTTTGGGGGGCGGTATCTCGGATCTTGACATGGAGCCAGCTTGCAAGGAGCTTCCAAAGACTCTGAACACCATAGAGAATGGGCTTAAGGATATTGATGCCCAAACTCCAAGACGGCGAAAGTTGTGCAACAGTCTTTGGCCCGAAGATTCCAGATTGCAGGGCGACCCCAGCAATCGCAACAGAAGACAATCTCGCGGATCTCCGACCAATCGCTTCAGAAAGAATCCGAATAGCTTTCGCGTCGTTCACTGATACATGGGTGGCTTCGAGCACTCTTGATATTTCGCGCCGTGCGTGCTCCAGCTCCAGGGTGTCATCCTTAACCGCCATAGACAAGAGCGAGCTGTCGATACTGTCGGGTACATGAAGCAAAGAATCTTCAGAGACCTTGAGCTCAAGAAGACCTGGCTGTGACTGGACTAGGTCGACGAGAATCCGTCGAAGGATCTCGCCCAGATACATGCCGGATATCCTCTTCTCAAAGTGTTGGTCATCTGGGTTGACGGAGTCCCGGTCCAGCTCGCGATCGTATTTCGTTGTTGGCAGCACCTCAAGCTTGTTGTCAAAACCACCCCACTCTGTATTGAGCGCCATCATTGCATTTGGTTCCGAGTCCCGGAACACCTTTTTGGAATGCAGCTTGGTAATACGAGAGATGCGTTCCATGTAGGCGCCATTGGTTCCCGTTCCAAAGATCGCACCAACCACATTACTAGACTGACCGGGCGATGTGTAGGCTCGGGCCGCCAAAGTGCCAACCGTGTCGTTTGCGAGAGCAGTGACCAGGAGAGGCAACTGCTGTTCGTCAAGGGCTTCCTGCAGCATTGCACAGGGATCGCGGCCCACCGCATCGGGAATGTCGAATGACTTGGTCCAATACATCAGAGTTCCCTTGTTGATGGCGTGTTGATCAAACGTGAAACTGAAAGTGAAGCCCAAGCTCTTACAGTGCTTCTTTCGTTCCTCCTCGGTAACGTTCTCATCTTTCAGCAACAGAGCCCATGCATCCAAATCTGGAGCATGGTACTTCTCCAAAAAGGTCTTGGTTTGTAAGGCGATGAATCTAAAAAGATCTTTGTAGGTTGGTGCGGACATAAGATGTCTTGGGATCACCGCCTTAGACTGAGTAAGAGAGTACGTAGAATCCCCGTTCAACTCGACCGAGCATACTCTCAAGTTGGTACCGCCGAGGTCGATGGCCAGACAGACGCCTTTCTCAGAGCCATTGGGCAGGTTTGTCACAAAGGACGGAATCTGGCACATTGAGGTGCCATCTCGCTGGAGTCCCTCGTCTTGGTCATGTTAGTGCGGGCAAGTCAATCGGACAGGAGGTTTACTGACTAAGCTGCTTCAAGAAGTGGAGTGTTGCGCGCCGGACCTCCTCCGCTGGAAAGTCGAAGTCATGTGCGATTTTCCGGGCGTGGGCTATCAGCTTAGGAACCCGGTCTTCTTCGAACTCGGCATAAGACATTGAGACGCCGACTTCTGTAGAGGGTGCTGGTTCGAGGCAGTGTTGGATGGAAAGCTAGGTTCATGGGTGCCAACACCTCTCAGCAGGCTACTCGATCAAGTACCCAAACATTTGCGGCAAAGTTTTGTAATTCGCATCGGAGAATTGAACCCGCATGAGGAATCACGGCGTTCAGCGGAAAACCATCTCATCGGAGCACACAACGGCAACTGGTTAATTAGTTAACTGTAGCTTAGCCTGTCACCGGATTGCCGTCCGGCCAACCCGGGCCGGGTGGGCCGGGTGGGCCGATCGAAATTGGCCAGAAATTCCTCCAATGACGGTTCTTTGGCCTATCAGGTGCCAGGTCTAGGTTTCTCTTGCAGCACCAACGACTTGAAGCTTCAAAAGCCGGTGTCCCCCGGCGCAACCGGTAAATGACAATTCAACTCCGATCCCACCTGTTTCACCGGGCCTCCGCCGAGCGCAGCAGTCCGGCCAAAGGAAAGCCGCAAACATCAGCGCTTTACACAAATTTGTTGCACATGGTAGAGTGGGACTTGAAGTACCAGTGCACAAGCTGTTCGCAATGTCAGCTCCAGCTCAACAAGCGAGAGACAAGGCGTCGGTGGGGCTTGAGCCCGAGGAGTCGGGTTCGAGTAAGGCCCGCAAGGCGTGCGGTAAGCCATGCCCAATGACCATACTTGCCTGCCCTGTTGGTGTGGAGACTGATGCTCGCGTGCGTATTCAGTCAACTGTAGAAAGCAGAAGGTATGTCTGTTGAGACCCTCTGCCAAGTCTCGACTCTGACATGACTCTCGCGGATGTAGATGAAATGTAGAATCGAGAATGGGTCCACCTGCCGAAGATGCTTACGAGCAGGAGTGCCTTGTGTCTTCGTACCTAGAGCCAATGTACGTTATTCCCGCCATGTTTCTATCTCGTTCAGGCTATGTGGCTTTGTCTGACAACCGTGCTTGCTGTAGTCGGCCTCGCATCGTGAAAGTCTCTCGCTTGCATCCCTCCTCCAGGCAAACGAGCAGAGCCCTTTGCTAAACAAGTCCATCTTTCTTCGCTTGAAACGAATCGAAGACCACTTGGGGCTTCCGTCACTTAACAACGTCGAAGAAGTCGAATCGCCCGCATCTCCAGATTTGATGACAGTAGAGCCTGAGACGCCTGGAGAAAACTCTTTTGGCGCTCTGTGGGGTGCAGTAACTGTCCTAAGAAGGAGCTGTTCTTCTAATGTTAGTTCAAACATATGGGACAAAACCTTGATCAAGCGTCTATGGCTGTCGTACGTGCATTCTACTACCGGACATGAACCACCTTTCAGAACGCTCAAGCATAACCTCGCAGATTCCATGAAAGCATGCCAGGGTTGCACTTCCTTCCTACCAAACAGACCTTCTCAGCTCCTAGACCACTGATGTTGGCTTCTATGCTTTACTGTTCAAGCATCCGGGGCTCGCCTGAAGTCGCCGTCTTGGCGCCGGACTATTTCACCGTCTTGTGCAGTGCGATCTCTCAGCTGTGCATACCGCAAAGTGAAGTCGGCCAGGCTCCAGATGACAAGGCTTCTGCAGAAGAGTGGGCGTTTCAAACAGTTTTGGGCATCATACTTGCCGGTCTACTCAGGGAAGCTGTCGTGAAAGAGACTGGTATCTGGATATCGCTTGCATACCGTCTCATCTTGGAGCATTGTCCATCTAATGCTGACGAGCGATCTCGCGAGTGGCGACGGCTATTCTCCGGGCTCCAGGTATGTCTTACCGTTGCAGTTGTGAAGTCGTCCTAATGCTTTTAGATTGTGGATCTTGAACACGCGTCGATCCACCTCTCTTGTCCGATCATCCCTATCGAAGCGCCGCTGCCAAGGCTGAAGATCCCCCTGCAGGATCAACTCTATCGGCTGTCAAGGATGATGCACACAGGCTTGACACACTTTACTGGAAGAGGCCTCCCGACAATCTGGTCATGCTTTGAAAGTGAGCCTAGCGTTGCAGAGATCTCTTTCGTCCCTTTCAGTGGGGTTGACGGAGCTGTCATCCGTGACTGGGCACGTCAACTGGATGACTGGCTAGTAGAGTTTAGTGACAAGGACTTTGAGTCAGAGCACGAGAAAAAGCTCGTGTTCCGGCAGTATATCCTGCATCGACTCCTTGTCTTGTCTATATATCATCCAGCCAGGGGCTGCAACCTCTTCTCGAACACGACTCCTAAAGAGCAGCATGAACTTCTAGTCTCAGCCAGAGCAGCTGTTAAGCTTCAGATGTGTGACTCTGCTATATGGTCTAATTGGGACTTGGTCATGATCACATGGGCTGCACTCATCGTACTTCAAGGAGTTGACGGAGGGGTCGGAGAACCTGATGGTAAGGCTGCACGTGTTACGTGAAACGGGTTGTCAAGCTGACGTATTATCCACAGATCTAGAAAACGTCGGCGTTCATCTGCAAAAGTTGAGAGAGATGCATGAGCCAAAGCCTAGTTTGAGAGGGATTTTGGCTACACGGCTTGAGCAGAAGCTTCAGGGACTCCACACACCCGCATCTGGGGCAGCTGAGGGCTTTGAACAAGAAATTCGCAATCTGGACAACTCGTGGTACATTTTTGATCAGTCTAGTCTTCAGGCGGGATATGACCTGTGGTCTTATGAGAATCAGGGCGGTTGAGCGTCAATTTCACTTATTATCATGAGACCATCCATAATCGTTGTTCAAACCTCCTTGAAGCATGTTTAGGTCATCAAATCATTCTACCCATATAACTCCTTTTAGGTACACGCGACATATCTACTAGTAGTGGCACCCTTCTCAACATCCCACTTTAGATTCGCGTTCTACCTCAAATGACGGGCCACGACGCAATGCGAGATGACATGCTATCCGGTGTCAACTCTACAAGGTGGTCTTCGTTAAAAGCCGGCTTGTTGTCTGCTGGTGTTTGAGGAGGGCTGGCAAGCGACACGGTCCTCAGCCTCAGAGGCAATTTTTGCTCGAAACCCTTGCCCAACCCGACCTTTTCGATGCTCTTAAAGTACTGTGCGATGAGTGTCAGAAAGTTTATGTTTCGTTTCCTCAGAACCCTACGCACCTTTACTGTCTTCACTTGCAACTCCAGAGTCGCATCTTCATCCGCCACAATCATCGAGTAGGGGTGGAGTTGAAGACATGATAGCGTCCACATGTGGTTCACTCCACCTTCAATCGCCTTTTGAAGAGCAATAGACTTGCTTGCTCCGTTCACAATGATGACGACTTCCCTCGCCTGTCCGATGGTTGTCAGCCGAGTCTCTCGCAAGTTCATGTGTACCAGAAAGCCTTACTTCCATGATTGTCTGCACACCAACAGTCAAAGCCATTTGCGGGACCTTGCTCAGGTCACCTCCGAAGAAGCGAGCGTTGGCACGTATAGTATCCATCGCCAACGTCTTCACTCTAGTTCTAGAAGCCAGACTCGACCCCGGCTCATTGAAGGCGATGTGACCGTCCGGACCGACACCTCCAAGGAAGAGGTCGATGCCACCGGCTGCTTTGATCTTATCCTCAAAAGCCGCGCACTCAGAATCCAAGTCAGGCGCATTGCCGTCGAGGATGTGGACATTTTCAGGCTTGATGTTCACGTGTGAAAAGAAATGGTGGAACATGAAGCTATGGTATGACTCTGGGTGTGTCTGGGGAAGCCCGACATACTCGTCCTAGAAGTCCATGTTAGGTTGGACTCAAATACAAGGGAACACATACGTTGTTGAATCAACTGCATCGGTTCTCGATACGTACCATATTGAAAGTAATGACATTTTCGAAAGAAATACGGCCAGCCTTGTATTCAGTGACCAGAATTTCGTAGATTTGAATAGGGCTGCTGCCCGTAGGAAGTCCAAGAACAAACGGCTTCTCGGGTGTTGGATCAAAGGTTCTGATGCGATCTGATGGGTGTTAGAATGCTTCTGCTTCGTGTAGCTGACCAAGGGCGTGCTGAAGCGTTGAATGAGGTCATACCCAGAATGTAGTGGGCCACATGGGCGGATGCCGATCTGCTGTCGGGTCTAATGATAAGTCTCATGTTGGCTTTCTGTCTCGACGTGCCTAGTAAGATCTGGATATGAAAGCAAGTGAAAAGGAGGAGGGTATCAAGAAGATGTTGTGGCAAGCGGTAGTCTTAGTTGGAAATAGGCAAGCTGGAAAGGTTGAAGTGGCAGTTTAAGGGAGATGACGAATGCACTTTTGTCCTCTCTCTCATCATTTCGACGGCTTAAAGTGCATTACAGTTCCTAACGCATGACCATGCAAAGGTATCGGCAAATCTCCCGGTTGCCGGCTTCACCCCGCCGGTATCACCGGTAGCTCATTTCACAGATGGGGGCCTTCTGGGACCCGTTTACCCCACGTGGCGAAGTCCATAGATCCGGTAGACGAGCGAGCTTAGTCCCGAACGTTACCGGAAGCCTGGGCCTCTCCATACGATCAATCTGGGTACCCGCCTGCACTAGGTATGGACACAAGCGGGACTGCGGAGTGACGGGATGGCGACATGCGTCACGACTGCATGTCACGTTCCATGGCACACATGTCAAATTCTATAACTCGATCTTTTATACTGTATTTCGACCATACTGGCCCCACTCCACGTTTATACTGCCACTTAGAAGGGCTCTACTCTACATGCCAATCTTCCAATTATTGGCCTTTACGCTGTACAAGCCGCTCTACTGCGGGTCCTCACCATATCATCACGCTGCCCCTTCCAAGATGCCAAGTGCTTTAGCCCTAGTAATCTCGAATCCATTTACTCCTCCTTTGCCTGGAGCATCTTCTCGCTGTATTGCGAGCCGACCTTGAACCACCAAGCTCCAACCAAAACGGTGAGTCCACCAACAACAACACAAGTGTAGTTCATGTTGGCAGGCTCCACGGGCATAACGTAGGGGAAGGAGAAAAACACAATGGCAAACGTCAGCCAGCATACAGTAACGCCGTTGACGATGGGGCCCAGGGTAGGACCCATGTGGAATACGCCGTGGTGCATGTTCTTTCGCTTTGTGAGGAGATTGGTGACGATGGGGAACATGTAGGAGATGTTGTTGATGGTGACGGCGGTGCCAAGAAGAGAGTTAAAGGCAGTCGAGGAGCCGAGGTAGAGGCATCCGAGCGCCGCTACGACGGCGGTGACAGCCAGTTGGGAGTTCATGGGGATCTGCCACTTAGGGTGGACTTTCGACCATCTGATTTGTACCTTGTCAGCTTGGATTCAGGCCGCTGCACAGGGAACGCAATGAGACTCACACTTTGGAGAAGGGCATGGCACCATCTCGGGAGAAGGCCCAGAATACTCTTCCAGTGCTCAGCTGGGAGCTGACAACGCAAGGGCCCAGGGCAATGAAGAGAATGAAAGTCAAACCAAACGCTCCGCCAGCGCTCTGTGTAACCTGGCGGAACAGCTCGGCAAGCGGCAGACCGGTGTTGGTCGTGGAAAGAGCGTCAAAGTCCTGCACGGAGAACATGAGGCAGATCAGGTAGGTGATACCTGTGACGAAGGCGATGCAGAGCGTGATAGCAATAGCAAGAGGCGCGTTGCGCGACGGCTGGTGAAACGTTAGTATACCCTACCCTGCTGCATTGGGAAACCTAGGATCGACTCACGTTGGGCATCTCTTCCGTGATGTGCGTAACGCCATCAAGTCCACCAAGACTGTACAGAGGGTTGACCAAACCAGTGATGAAGCAGACCACCTGGTTCTCCCAGCCTGTGTTGTTGATCCACGTCCGGAACACAAACTCGGTGTTGCGGTGGGTGGGCGCGCATGCAACGACGGTGACCATGACGACAAACCAGCCGATCTGAAGGTAAAAGAGCGAGAACTTGTTCAGCCCGGGGATGATCTTGTTGCCGAACATGACGATGGCGGCCGTGATGAGGTTGAGTCCCTGGTAGACGAGGAAGGTCTGCCATGCTTGGATCTCAAGGTCGCCATGGTAGACCGCAATCAGGGCCATGAGGACCTGGGCGTAGATCAGGTTCGTCGAGGCGGTCGTAAAGATCCCTGTGGACCGGTCAGTGTTGCGATCAGTGCGTCAGTAACAAGAGCTCGACTCACAGCCAAGTACGCTGAACCATCCGGTGAAGAAACTCAACACTCCCGTCAACTTCCTGGGCGCGACGGCGGCGATCCAGTGGTACATGCCACCCTCGGTCGGGTACGACGACACGAACTCGGCTAGGGACGCGCCGAGGAAGCACTGCAGCAGAGTCACCAGGATGAAGCCGTAGATGACGGCGCCCGGGCCACCGGCGTTAATCTCAGTGATGAGGCCGAGACCCAGGCCGGTCCAGGAAATTGTTGTCGTTGATGCAAGGCCGATGAGACTGAGCGTGCTGAAGTGACGCTTCAGCTCCTGGGTGTGGCCTAATCAACATGTTAGAAAGTTGAGGATGGATGCCCGTGACTTGCCAACTTACCCATCTGGGCCAGACGAAGCTCATCGGCATCGAGGCTCTTCTCCGGCGCAGCATCGACGCTCTTCCTCGGACTCGATGAGATGTCTGTGGACAACTTAAGGTCTGCCATTATGTTTGTCTTTGACTTTGCCGTGATCCCGAGTTGTGCAGAAGACAGGCTTCAATTGTCAATCAGCAACAGTTGTGATCTCGTGCCATTGTGTCCCACTTCCACGCGCGTGGGCATCACGAGAAACATATATCCATGGCTCATGCACAATGTACAGAACCCCTACGGTGTTTTCGCCCCTAATTGCCGTCAGTCCACAATTGATAGCACCTTGCCAGGACCCCGTTGGATGATTGCACCAGCCAACGGAACCCGGACACAAGCCGCTGTTTGCCGCGACCCGATACGCTGCATCCTTACGACGGGGCAGATTGCGTTCTGGGGCTAGTTAGCGGACAGGAACGGGAGACGCAATGAGCAAGAGATACGATAAAAGCGCAGCGGTTGATAATATCGATAGAGCAACTTTATCACCCGGTCAAAGCCGGGCCGGGCTGTCAACCCGGCCTATCGGACCCTTTAACTCGTCTGAACAAGGGCCACTCTGCAGTTCTCGACCCGACAGGACTCCAAAAGTGCGGAGAAGTAACACGGCACCACGGCCTCGTCAGGGTCGACATCGAGTCATCGTCAAGGACGATCCCTGCCGAAGCTAATCAAGCATCTGTCCCCCGACTTTGCCTTTCTCTCTCTTTCCCTTCTCCCCGGCTCAATGTCGCGCTCCGCTATCGCCTGTTCCCTTTGGCTCGGGAATGTACCGAATTACTGCTTGCCATTGGGGAATTACAACGTCCCACTTGTTGGCGAACGTACCCTCTCTTGTGATAGTGCAATGCCCAGTTCCCACCCCTCGTTATCGCCTCCGCATTCTTACCTAACACGGCCATCAACACCGACCCGGTGGCTGGGCCACCGGTTGCCAAGGGCTAACACGGCAAGTTAGCTTAGCTCCCATGTAAGGGTCGCCCGTGGTTGACGTCTCTTGGTACGGGGCCTCTGCCCATTGCCGTCGTCGGTCACGCGCGGGCTGACATGGGCCCTCTTGCAATGCAAGGTACGATGACGACGGTCCCCTCGGGTCCTGCGCTGGATGGTAACCTGCGCCCGCGGTCTTGGCCGGGGGAGAATCAACACGATGTATCGCTATACACCTATATTAAGATAGCCCGGGTCCCTGGGCTCCCAATTGGCCTCTCCTAGGTTTTCCAGGTCTCTGCAGCTTTGTCCATTGTCTCCCCTACACCAAGCCCCCTCAATCACCCTCTCACGATGGTCTTCAGCACGTCAAAGGCAGTGGGCATCTTGGCCCTCGCGGCCGGCTCGGCGACCGCCTCGTCGTATGCCGCCTCCATGCCCGTCCGCGCCCAGGGCCTCTTCAATGAGTCCATGTCCTGGATGGACAATTACTACGACAGCAAGGCGGGCTACCTCTACGACATCAGCGCCGCCGCGGCCCTGAGACACGAGACGCGCAGTTCCATCTGGTACGCGCTCGGTCTCCTGGCACGCAACGAGGGCGACGACGTCGCGCAGGCCGAGAAGATCATCACCAACACCATTGGCGGACAGTTCAAGGTTGTGTCTGAGCAATGGTAAGCTTTCCTACTCAATTGGACCATAAAAGGCCTAAAAGTGCGTGAATCTCACAAGACATAGGTATGGTGACTACCAAATGTACCCCGAGCAGCCGTACGTGGGCTCGCCGGACTACGCGCCCAGCATCTACAACTCCTGGGACCCCAACTGGCGCGGCTTCGTCGGCACGACGCTTGTCATGGCGCTCGAGGAGTTCCCCCACCTGTTGAGCAACGACACGCAGGATCTTATCCTTCAGTCGCTGTACAACACCACCAAGGGCGACGAGTACCGCGTCGGCGGCGTCGACGACGACAACCTCTACCCCGCCTACAGTAACCCCGTATGTGGCCCGCGTCACCTGCCCCTTTTAGGACATTGAAACTGACTCTCCCAGGCCATCATGCGTGCCTTGGTCTCGGGCTACACTGGCCGCCGCTTCGGCGATGCCAACATGACGCAGTCGGGCGAGAACTACGCCCAGGAGATCATCGACCTCTTCGACCGCGCCAACACCCTCTCCGAGTTCAACTCCGGCACCTACACGGGCGTCTCCCTCTTCGGCCTCACCCTCTGGTCCAAGTACCTCCCCGAGGACTCGGTCATGTCGATCAAGGGTCCGCAGATGCTCTCCGACACGTGGAAGTCCGTCGCCCAGCTGTGGCACCCGAGCATGAAGAACATGGCCGGCCCCTGGGACCGCGCCTACGGCTACGACATGAACCGCTACGTCAGTCTCATGGCGCTGTGGTTCTGGACGTTGATTGGCAAGGATAACTCGTCCATGATTGCTTATGTGAGTCAAACTCCTCCGTCTTTCCCAACCCTGGAGATGTTGTGCCTGACCAGAGTGATGCTGACTTTCCACAAGCCCCCGGCCATGTCCCATTCTGCCGACTACGCCTGGGCCCCCCTCTTCGCCATCCTTGCCGAGTTCCACGAGAGCCTCATGCCCGAGGGTCTCGTCGCGAACCTGACTACCTTCTCCGGCGAGCACACCTTCTCGGCGTCGACCTACTACCCTCCCTACGACCTGGTCCCCCGCAACATCTCCTCCTGGCTCTCGGAAAACCTGACCATCGGCGCCGAGTCCTTCAAGGAGAACGTCATCGGCGGGCCGGCGATTAACCAGGAGGCCTTCAACCCGGCCGTGATCCAGTGGAACACTGGCGACGAGATCGCCTTCATCTCGGTAGGTTTCTCCATCCCCTCAACTTATCACACTCCGTCGGAGAACCCCCCGCCAGCTAACACGCCTCACAGCTCTACCCCACCGAGATGGAGCTCGATGTCGAAGTCGCCCCGAACAAGCTGAGCCTCACCTACCCCAACGGCACCGCCGACTCCATCTTCACCTTCGTCGTCGCCACCTTCCTCAAGAAGCCCACCGTCTCCGGCTGGGCCGACGTCCAGGGCCTGGCCGTCAACGTCACGGGCAACGTCAACGAGACGTACAGCCTGTCGTTCGCCGGGTCTGTCGGTGGCACCAGCTCGCCGCTCCGCGACTTTGAGTTTTGGAACTTTACCTACTCGATGCCCCAGGGCTTCGAGGGCACTCCCAGCGTTGTTCTCGACCTGAAGCTGTTGTAGAGGGTGTAGTGCGACTAAAGTGCGTAAACTGCCTGACTGAGAAGGGGAGGCAGGCGGGATTGAATTCTAGTACATATTTTGAATATCAACCGAGGTTGAGAAGCCTCTTTTAAATGACTGTAAATAATTAAAGGTGGGAATGAGAAGCGTTGTCGAAGAACTCAATATGTCGCCTGATTCTGGCTCACATGAATGAGACAACAGCAATAGGGGCCCATGACCATGTGTATTGACATTCCAACTGAGGGCCATCAAAACTGTCACTCGGTATTCAATCGATGATAAACGGTGAACAGATGAAAATTTTCATTCAAAAGTGTGCCATCATTCGCAGGCAGTTATTACACTATTCAGACAAGTTCTATCATATATCGTTTCAACCACGGAAGTAGGCAAGCAGGCCTCTCTCGACAACAGCACCGGCAACACCAGACGCGGCAACGATCCACACCCACTTGTTGTCGTACTCGCCGAGGCTGGGCCAGAAGCTGTTCTTGTCCCGCTTGTACTCCTGCAGCTGCTGGAACTTGAGCGGGTTCTCCTTGGCGTAGCGCACCTCCTGGTTGGCTTCGTTCTCCTTGTCGCCGCCGAGGTAGCGGAGGACGACGTAGTTGAAGATGGGTCCGAGGACGGCGAGGGGGTGCATCATGCCGGCGCTGTAGAGCAGAACGGGGAAAGACAAGTGGCAGAGGGCGTCGCCGAGGTAGCTGGTGATGGCTTGTCAGTGATATGTCCTTCAGGTTTCGGGGCTGGGTCTACTTACTTGGGGTGGCGGACGATGCTCCAGACGCCCTCACGGGTGAGCTCGTTGCTCTTGCGAGAGTGGTTCTCAAGCTGGGTATCGGCGAGGGTCTCAAGGGCGAAGCCGGTGGTGAAGAGGAAGACAGCCAAGCTGTGGAAGGTCTCGGGGTAGTCGGTGAAGGGTGAGGCGCTAGCGCTGGTGAGAGGCGCACGGAACGGCAGAGTAAACGGCAGAGAGATCAGTGCCTGCAGCGCAGCCTCGGGAAGGAACATGGTGAAGAAGGCCTTGTCCCAGAAGTGGGGGTCCTTCTTCTTGGCTTCCACGTAGCGGGCATCATCCTTGCCGCGCTTTACGCTGCGGGATGCGATGCGGTAGAGCAGACGCAGACCCCAGGCGCTGACTCCGGTGAGGAGCAGCTTCTGGGTATAACCGAGGGAGTTCCATGCAGAGGAGATAGAGAGGCCGTCGTTGGCCACACGCGTTCCGATGGCGGTCCACCAGGCGTTGGCGACCATGCCCGAGGGCCAAAGCCAGTCCTTGACCTCGGCTCTGTTGGTGTAACGAGCCACGGCGTATGTGACGGTGCTGAGACCGGCGTGCATGCCGAAGGAGGGAAGGAGGGCGTTCTGGAGCAGACCGAGCGTCGTCGTCGTTGCGGTGTTGACAGGGTTGCTCGGGTGAAGGCTGAAGTGAGAGCTGTATCGGTCCTGTTCCGCGCCGGACACTCTAGGAAGCTTGTTGTAGATGCGCTCTGCCGACGGGGCCTTGCCTTCGAAGTGGGAACCGAAGCGATCTTGCTCGGCTCCTGAAGTCTGGGGAATATGCTCCTTGACTTTAGAGGCGGACGGCAGCTTGTCTCCGCCGAACCAGCCACCGAAGCGCTCCTGCTCGGCGCCAGCACCGCGCGGGATATTCTCCTTGATCTTCTCGGCAGCTTGGTCGATCTTGTGACCGGCCTTGTCGGCCTTGTCGCCAAACCAGCCGGCAACACGCTCCTGCTCGGCTGCGGTGCCGCGCGGGAACTTCTCTTTGATCTTGTCGGTGACCTTGTCCACGGCGCCCTCCCAGTGGGCAGCGTAGCGGTCCTGCTCGGCACCCGAAGTCTGGGGGAGATGCTCCTTGACCCAGGTACCGGAGGGGCCCTTGTCGCCACCGAACCAGCGGTTGTAGCGGTCCTGCTCGGCGCCCGAGACGTGCGGCAGCTTCTCGCCGAGCTTGTCAGCTGAGGGGAGCTTGTCGCCGCCAAACCAGCCCTCGTAACGGTCCTGCTCGGCACCAGAGCCGCGTGGGAGGTTCTGTCGGAGCTTCTCAGTGGCTTGGTCTCCCTTGCCGCCGAACCAACCGCCGTAACGTTCTTGTTCGGCGCCGGCGCCGCGGGGGAGGTTCTCCTTGATCGTCTCGGCGGCCTGGTCGATCTTGTGACCGGCCTTGTCGGCCTTGTCGCCGAACCAGCCGGCAACACGCTCCTGCTCGGCTGCAGTACCGCGGGGCACATTGTCTCTGATTTTCTCTGCGGCCTGGTCCATCTTCTCGCCGACCTTGTCAGCGGCCCTTCCGCCGAACCAGCCGCCGTACCGGTCTTGTTCTGCGCCCGACGTCGCGTTGGGCAAGTGTTGCGGCGTCGGGATCTCGTTTGTGTTCACGCCCAAGCGGGCGTTATAGCCTTCTCCTCGGTCGGCCATTGTGCTTATGGCTGAGGCTCAATGGTATATGTGTTGAGTTGGTGATGAATGGGAGTTTTACAAGCCCACGAGGAAAAGAGGGGGGAGAGGGGCTTTTATTGGGAAATTGGTTTTTTAGTATGGAGGGGAATGCTCTGGATCAAGTTCTAGTGGCATATGTAAAAGTGACATGAATGACATGAGACTGAGGGAGTGACTGAGTGTCCGGGCACAGCAGCTGCCCTGAGCTTGGGAGGGAGCTCGAAGCTGAAGCTGTAAGTATGACGTCTGCTTTGTGCTGTAGAGGCGGTTGCGGTCGATCCACCCCTGCGAGACTACCCCTGCAGCCCTGACGTCACTGGTTGCCCGATCCGATGAATTGGCTGATGTGATTAGTCCCCTTTTACGCTGTGGCGGTTGAGCTTCCGTTACCGTATGTGCGTTGGGGGAGGGAGGTCGTCGGCCAGCTTGTTACTTTCACCTGGTTGTCAATTGCTTGCAATATTTACCGGTGGTTGTTTAGGGCTTGCAACGCTATCGCTCAATTCCGCTTCCAAATTACTAGAACACGTTACTAAAAGATCACTGCCTGCTATGATATGCCATGTACACGCTGCTTGAGAGAAGCAGGCCACAACCATACCACTCCATTAGCCGGATGCTGTTCTTAGGCCCAGAACGGAAATTGAATCCGAAAACAATCCTCGCCTGTTACCTGAGGCAGTGAATCTTGGCGCTCTTTCTCCAGCTTCGAGTCTTGAGAATTTCCAATCTTTTCATCATCACGACACCTCCAACGCTGTTCGTCATGCCACGTTTGTGATCGATGCAGAGCTCTGGCACGGCCTGGATTCATAAACCATGCCTCATACAATCTTGCAGCGTCAGATTGTTCTTTTTCAAGATCGTTCTCAGTCGGAAAATGTGGTTTTGCACCAGAGGATGGGTAAAACCGGGCGTCATCGAAGAACACCCACGCCCGTTGTCGGTATATGTCTCTGTGCAGTCGAGACGAGCCTGAAATAAGCGGATAGAGCACACGGTACATGCCTGGGCCACTTTGATGATCATCTTCGTCTCTATTCTCGCAATGAGGACGCATCAACCGATCCACCGAGGAACCCCATTTGAACGTCTTATCCCACGGCTCCTGCCCCGGACAGACGTCCATAAACCACTGCTTGAGGCGATCTCGCCCATGCCGTCCGGCCGTGGCGTATCGAAGAAAGTTCATGACAAGGTCGAAGCCAGAGTTCGCCAGTTTCAATGGAATTCGAACGCACATGCACTCCCGGCCCATATGGGAGGCATAAGCTTTAGAGTCGACGTATAGGTTATCTGGGTAAAGCAGACTAGGGTTGGGAGATGAGGTGGGCTCCGGTAGCCATGAATCGCTGCAATGTGCGAAAATGGCTGCGTAAAGAGACTCTAGATATGCACGAACGCAAAGAATGGCCTCTCGGTCGAACGGCTGAAATTCCTGGCCCCCGTACTGACGTAAATTCTTCAGGAAACATCGGGCTTCAAATACTTGTCCACGATAAATCAAGGACATGAGTTGACAGCGCAAAAAAGCTCTGAGTACTCGTTTTCTTTCGGGACCTGTAAGATTGGCCGCATCAAATGTAGGACCAAATGACTGATCCTTGAACGTCAAATGGTTCTGACTTCGTGATAAACCAGAAAGGCAGATGTACTCTCGTGGAGGAAAGACAGCAGTAGCCTTAGTCAGGTAGTCCTCGATAAAAATAACAGGCGCCCATGTAGTCTGTCGAGTTTCTTGATTAATCGACGGTTTCTTTCTTTTGAAGGTTTGAGTAGCGGATTGGGGAGCTGTTGCGCTGCCCAAGCTTGACAATGGCGAATTTCTGTGAGCGTCAAGGGTTTGGTGGTATGCAGTGAAGGAAAAAGAATGATCGCCATAGCGTCTTGAATCATCTCATCATCGAGGTCGGAGGCAAGCAACGCTCTTATGATGTATCCTTTCGATGTGGTGTATTGTTCAAGCATGACAGGCGAGGCCTGGATGAAATGCAAAATAGTACGTCGTGAACGGATCATCAAGATGACCTGTACACGGAGCTCGGCTGGAAGCTTTTTGAAAGGATCCATCTCAGTAAGCTCTCTGTTGTCCTCGAGGCTGAAGGCTGTAATTGGCAATGCTTGAGTGGAGAGTCTAAGTAATGAGTTTTGGAAGCCGGGATGATGATGCTTTGAATCGCTACTTGAAAAGATTGGTAGTACAGTTCGTTCAATTATCCGCACAGTTGGAACGGACGGGTAATTGGTAGTATGTTGGATGATTCGAATTGTTTGCGGCGTAGAGAAGAAGTGGGAAATTTGACTGGTAAGATGTAGTGTATGACCTGACGTTTCGGAGAAAGCTACCCGTCAAGATTTTCTCCGAATCAGATGCGGCTTGAAGCTTGATAACAGGCAACCAACAACATGAAACTTAATTCGGATTTTGATGGCTTGCGCGTCTTCTCAGAAACATTTGACGATGGAAGCCGATGACCAGTCGCTCTGGTTCTGGTTGATAGGGATGGGCAAAGATGCGCAAATAACGAAAAGGATTGGAAGCTTTCGGTTGACAACTCTTTGTTGGAGATGAAGATGAATAGGGGAGTCGCCAGTTGTTTTTGTTGACTACCAGATGTTTTCTTGTAGCGATGGCTGGTGCAAAAGCGAGGGATGAAGTGACTAGTGACGGAAAAAGCAGAAGTTGGCTGGCTTTAACGAGCTCACATGTGGAGATGGCAAGCAGACGACAGAATGCCAACGGCGTTGGCAGAGACTGGCTTGATGACCAAAGCTGTTAGGAGCCCGTGGCTGGTTGTTCGGACAGATAGTACTGGCTTCTCAAGGTTGATAGCAAATGGTAACCGTGGCAGTCGAAGCACTATACCCATGTTGAAGAAATGACTCGTGGTTAAGGTCGGTGGATGTTGCTGATGAGGACAGTTGATGGTTGAGTTCGTCTTGGCCTCCTTGTCTTTACGAAATTTCTTTGCGGCAAGGAGTTGATCGTCGACACTGCGTAGAAGTGCGAACTCGTCGTCGACGTACCCGATTTGGTCATTGCCATTATCCAGGTGTTGAAGGGAGTCGTCAACCGTCAGACCTCAAGACCTTCAGACAACACTGGACTTGACCGCATCGGGGGTTTTGTACGTTTTCCTTCGCAGTAGAGTACGAGTGATCTTTTCCTCGGGTTTCTTGCGTTTTCCTTCGCATAATGAATGTGAAAGGAACACCCACTTGTGTCCTAGTGGGTGTGGTGGTATCCTCCCGCGAGCCATCGCCGAGCCATTGCCGAGCTCTCAAATCGATCGAAAGGTTGTCGGACCGTAAGGGCGTTAGATTCTGGGCATTCGCAACTCGAGATCCACCAGCAAATTTGGCCGGCCCATTTCCTTCTCCGCTCGCTCGGCCGCACGTAGCCTCACGGCCACCCTTACCTAGCCGAGTGCGTCCTGGCGCGATTCCGCCGCGTGGCGCTCGTGGGCCCGGCGGCTGCTGAAGGTATAGTAGCCGTATTTTCACTCTTGGCCTTGTTTTTTACTTGCCAGGAGAGAAGCATGTCGTTTTGCCTGCCTGCTGCAATGTTAGTGATGCTCTTGGGCTGCTATCGACGGTTCACTTACGCAAAAGCCCAACAAGCTGCGTCCTCGGCGAACTCAGCCAATTCGGCTATATCAGCCACGGGTATGGACCCCGAGTCAATCCGACTGTTCAACCAACGGCGGTGGTCATCCTATGCGTATGGCGGCTTACCACCACCGACCACCTTAAGTTTCCCAAAATACTCCTTTTGGACATCATTATGCCACTCTTGCATCAATTTGTGTTGACGCCGCCGCTCCTCGAAGGCCCTCGCTTTCGGAATGGTATTAAACTACTTCCTATCCTGTGTCTCTTGGTACTCAGACTCGGACATCGCGGCCATTGTTGGGATTACCAACACGTTGGCGAGAGCAGCAAGGGTGTCCGGCAGCGGCTCGTTGAGAACCGACTCGCCCGGGAACGGAAACCCCATCGCGGCAAGGTGGGCTCGGCTGGCGGCAGCCTCGGCGGCGTCAGATACGGCAGCGGCAGACATGGCAGCGTCAGACATGGCGGCGGGAGAGGCGAATCTTAACGGGATACTGTATTCAAAACGACTAAAACGGAATACTTCGATAATCGTATGCCGGAAAGGACTCTGCCAAGATGTATGAAGATGGATGTCTGGATGAAGTTCCAAAAAGGGTTGCTAGCACAGCTGCGTAACTGCTTGATGATTGCGCATCGACACTTTCTGGCTCCTACTTTGTCATCTGATTTTTAAGCAGCGCAAGAGCAAACTCGCGGACTGGATGTTATCAAACGGCAACAACATGAAGCCAGCTATTGTCAGAATGACCCAATCCACCAGAATAGCAGTATCCGTTCGTAACATGCCGCATCATAGGCAGGTAAGAAGGAACTGACGGAGCCTCTGAATGTGGCGCCGGAAAAGAAAATGCATGGAACTATGGCAGGAACACATAGGATGCTCGATTTTGACCGACCAGTGCCTGCTGGCAAAGAAAGGCCAAGGCACAAACTCAGGCATGACCATTGAAACACGCTCCTCGGGCAGCGGGGCAATCTCAGCATTTAGTGACGAAACGTATCGAGAGGAGGCGCAGCGGCGCGGGCGAAGGAAGCAAACCAGAGCCATCAGCCTTGAGGAACTGGAACAGCACAGGCTTGGTCGCCTACCAAAGTTCATCGGCACACCGGACGCAGAAGGGCTCGCCTCCCTACCCAGCATGGGCCCGTTCGACCCCTCAACCCTCGCGACGTCCCTCCACCTTGACCCCGACCTAGAGATTGTGGATTGGTACTGGTTTCACGATTATCGCGAGGGAGAGAGGCGCAGACCGAGGGGATACATATGGTGTGCATTGGTCTTGGTATAGTCTATCGACAAGATGCATGAGACAAATGGGAATTCAATCACTTGCTAAAACCCCAACGCCTGGTTCCAATGTTGCTTTTCCGACCAGTACTCGCGATATGAAACAAAACCAGAAGGCTTTCCTCATCGACTTAAACCGATGGTACGACGGTGCCGGCTACTATATACCAGAACGCCGTGTTGCTACCCATCAAACAAAGGAAGTCAGAAGAAGTTGCCGTCCTGTCCGAACCGATCATACTTGGACAACCCGACTGGCGGAAGAGGAAACATGGATGGAACAATCTCCGTCTTGCGGTTCCCATCGTCATCGAGATAAGTGGCCGAGTCGAGGATCAAGTCGAATAGCGTCTCCTCCTCGCTCTCGTCCACAATGCTCGAGGTGTCCATCGAGAACAGAGGTGCAGCCGATGTCGTGTCCGCATCCTTGGGCACACTGCCGGCGACGCCACTGCGCCTCTCAGACTTGGCCGCCGGCGACGACGTCCTCGAATAAGAATTGATGAGTTCTTCCAACATTCTGCAGCTCCTGCACAAGATCCCTATCCCCGAATCCGAGAACCTGCACGTCGGATCTTGCGCCTGGGTAGCCGATGGCCCTCCGCTGAAGTTGGGATCGGCAAATATGTCCTCGTCCGGCCGCAGACTCGGTCGCATGTTGCATTTACTGCAGCGTATGTCCGTATGATTGGACTCCCGGAAGCTGCCGGCGCTGCTCGGGCTGGAATCGACTCCCGAGGAATACTCGGCGTCCGACACGGGGACTTTCGGGGAGCCGTTCAAGTCTTCTGTTGCTAGGCTGAGGCCCACGTCGGACTGCTCTGTCAAGGCCGATATGCGCGGGAACGGGATCGTGAGCATCTTAGAAACCGGTAGGGTCACGGCTCGTGATGTTTTTACGGGCCTTGTCTCGTCGCTATTCCCTTTTTGTCGATGGTTTCGGACGCGGAACGCATCTCTCAGAGTGCTCTGCCCTTCGTTGAGGGCAATGACTGGGCCACGGTGATCCAGCCTGTCAATGCTCCTGGCGCTGGACGAAGATGCTGATGAAAGATTCCTAGGCCGGCCAGTCACTGAGTCCTTTGTCAATGATACCTTCCTGGAGTGGCTAGGCGGCTGGTTGCGGCAGGCTATGAAGACACTTCGAAGATGTGCTTCGACGACCAACGACAAAGATCCGGTGATAACCGGTATCTGCGAGGAAAACGACTCGTCGTTGGCCGATTGCATTGCTAGAAGCCTGAGACGCTCCTCCAAGCTGGCTTTCAGACTAGACATATTGCTGCTTGCGAACACCTCCTGCTCTACCTGTGGGAGTTCGACGGCGGGTAGGGTTACTACACTTGGTCAGCAGGTCCGCCTTCATTCGTTCGCCAGTAGAACTTACCAGGCCGTAGCGCCACCTTATCGGATGGGAAGAGCCATCGCCAGAGGTCGTCCCAGGACTTTAACCCCTCGTTCGTTACCTTGTAGGAAAGATCTCGCGCTCTGGCAGCCGTGAGACCATCTTCTACGTCGGCGCCTGTAGAACTTTCTTCAGACGTGGGGTCGCACATCTGATCTTTCGGGAGCATCAAATGTTCCCTGAAAGCAGCAGGATCTGGAAAGCCTTTCTCGCAGCGCGGGCATTGAAACAGATGGGCATTGCTGGATTTCTTGTGGTCCTTGATGATGTGTGTCCTAGGAACTGTCAGCATTCGGTTTTAGCTGCCATACGTTGGAGTTCGTACTGTAACTCTGCAAGGTTCTTCCATTTACCAGTGGCACATTGCCATTTGTCACTGACGTTGAATCGTATCGGATTGCGAAGTCTGTATGGGCATGGCAGCGACTGGGCGTGACTGTGGCGGCTTAGGGGATGATCTTTGAATGGATGACCGGGCATCGGCATGTCGTTAAGTTCGACGACTTTATCCTCCAGGCTTGGGCCATGGGGATTGTCGTTCACAGCATTTCCAGTATTGTCCTGGCCAACACCGCTAGCAGGTGTCTCCAGGGGCCGTTGTGACTCCGGGGCTTGACAGTCTGAAGAGAGCAGCTCTTCCTGTTTGCCAGCAGGTACTGGTTGTCCGAGCCGCGATATGTCATCTAAGCACCTAACCACAGTATCCCAGACCTTGAGTGGTGTGGAAGACCTGTCGGCGCCAGCGCCGAATTCCTCATCCAAGATCAAGGAACAGATGCGAGACACTAGTGGCTTCTCAGCAACCAGCGAGCTATTAGCGGGATTCTTCATTGCCACTTGTTGACTATCCAAGTTAGTCTCCCTCGGCGGAAGACGTGCGGGTGGAGTCGGTGGCTGCGGGATGTTGGGCGGGTGATCGCAAGGACGAATTCCAAGTCTGACAATGGGATTAGCGTGCGACATCAACAGCAATTAGGTTACTTCTTTGCGTACCTGGGCAGATCCGGAATTCTTGACTTGGACGGAGTGGATGGCATGCTGCTCATCTCCGACGTCTCGGATCGAGCTCGTTGCTGTCTCAACGGCGGTGGTGGCTTTCGCGGCGTACCTGCATCGGTCGATATGGTCCCCGTCGAGAACTCGGCCGAATCTTTGCGCGTCAGGAGGATGGAATCTCTCAGCGGCAGCCGTCGACGCTTCGGGGAAGTCAGCTTGCTGTTTATGGATCTTCTGAGACCTGGCGACGGAGGAACATCGTCTGCTGAGCCCTGTGCCAATCTGTTCTCTTGGTCATCCTGTTTCTTCTCGGCCCGGTTGCCATGTCGGCTTGGCGACAATATACGGAGTGTCATAACAGGACTCTGACACCGATCGAATGGCCGGGTTGGTGAGCTGTACACGCGTCCAGGGGAGCCGCTAGAGCGATGGGGCAGCGTTGACGGAGCAGCCGTCTTTGGTGCATCTTCAGGCGAAGTGTATCTCGCGAGTATAAGAGGCCTGTTGCTGGGAAGAGGAGGGCGGATTTGTGTTTCGACTCTGGTTCGTTGAACCGGTGCACTCACTCCCCGCGATCGACTCCTGCCTGGGTGCTCTGGCCGGCGGGGAGAACCTCGCTGCGGATTCGAGAATTGCGTGTTCATCTTCGGCCTGGGTGCATCGGCCCGGGGCCGTCTCCTTGGTGCTCGAAATGCAACCAAGTTCCACTCGACAAGTAATCTCAGAACACGGAAAACAGCGCAATCTTATGCTCGCAAGGACAGTCTATCAGCTGCAAACCATCAGTTTCCTTGTCGGCAAGGCAACAGACAGATTCCATCCACCATGTGCCGGCATGAAGTGGGATCTGAACAGTGATATGTAAAAGCCTTGCAAATATCTCGGGAAGGGATGGGCGCTCGTTCGGATGTTGGTATTCATGAGGGCGAATGGGACGACTCAGATCCACCAGACAAGCCGTCACTAGTCCATCGCTAGCCGGTATCACTACCAGGCCCCTTGTGTGCAGAATGGCATCCCGAAACTCAATGACAGCATCGCATTCATTGGTTCCAGTCGAAGGGATAAGCGAAGTTTGGGTGGGCATGACTCTAGGATTGAGTAGCCAAGACAAAGTCTCACACTCCAGCAGGCGGCGGGGCAACTAAGTCGTCCCTTCTGAAGGGCCTCATCCTTCACCATTGGATAGCTAGTATATCCCTTCCATTGAGCGGGAGGCAATGGGGGAGGCTGGACTCCCTGGATGGCTGGGTTACGACGACGTACGCTATATGCAGGGCGACTTCGCCAACGGGGGCATCTTCCCAGTGGGCCGCGTTGCTCTGAGCTATCAGACGTGCATCAAATGGATGACAAGTTCTTTGCCAAAGTAAAACAAGCTTGAGGCTACGTTGGCGGATCGAAGAAAAGCCGTAAAAAAAGACTGTAGTTTCTTTGATGCACTGGACTGGCGTGAAAATGACCATGATGTAGGGAAACAAACATTTGCATCGTTCCTCGTGACTGAGCCTATAAACTTGATTCAAATCGTGACCACGTGCTGCCCGAGTCTTGCCTCAGCGGTCACTTTGGCTCTTGGTATAAGTCATGTCCGTATCACTTCAGGAAAGCCTTGCCTTCGCTAGAAATGCACAACTCAAGGAGGGAGGGGCCTTGGTACCGTCGCGGCCGGCTCCAAGCAGCCGAGAGGACAACCAAGTCGCAGTACTTACTGCCACTCATCGAGGGTTTTCAAGGCTATTTGGCGTCGGTCGCTGCCGTCGTGGCCTTGACCGTGGGGTCAACGAAAGGCGACTGATGGGATGAACATGTGGAACTAGAATGGGTTCAATGGAGATGTGCAATCAGCAACAGCGGGGTGTCCCTTGGCGCAACGACATTACCTCAGCAATCTTATCTTATCGACTCGCACTCCTCCGATCCGTCAAGGTACGTACTGTGCCATGCGCCTCCTGGAAATCAAGTCGCGGACCAAGATCATCATCCCGTCGGGCACTCGACCTCGTACAAGGCTCTCTACGACGCCCAATCAATCGTTCACGACTCTGTTGAGCGCGCCGAAACAGTCGCTCTTTAAGTTGGTCGCATCGACGGCCGAGGTTTCCCACCAAAAGGATCTCTCCGGCGACACATCGTCTACCCGAAGCTCCGACGACGGAGCTCCTTCAAACGCTCCAACATCTCGAGATACCAGCGAAAACCCTTTTCGAAACGACCTGCATCAGTACATAGGTGGAGGATAGCTTCTGCGCGCAATGGCCGACACTTCTTACAACAATGGCCCGGCCAATGCGCCCCTGGCTGAGGTCAAGAAACCCAAGAAGAAGAAGGTCCTGCTCATGGGCAAGAGTGGTTCGGGAAAGTCTAGCATGAGGAGCATCATCTTTAGCAACTACATTGCACGCGACACCCGGAGACTGTAGGCTTCCCCTCGCTTTTCTCTTCGGTTGCAGCATTGCCGGCTAATCTCTTCTTTCTAGCGGTGCCACAATAGATATCGACCTCTCCCACGTCAAATTCCTCGGCAACCTCACCCTCAACCTCTGGGACTGCGGTGGCCAGGAAGCCTTCATGGAGAACTACCTCTCCCAGCAGCGCGTCCATGTCTTCTCCAACGTCGGTGTCCTCATCTACGTCTTCGACATCGAGTCTCGCGACATCGACCGTGACCTCGCCACCTACGTCTCCATCATCTCCGCCCTCCTCCAGTTCTCCCCAGGCGCAAAGATCTACGTCCTCATCCACAAGATGGACCTTGTCGTTCCCGCCCACCGGGAATCCGTCTACGACGACCGTGTCCGTGTCGTCCGCCAGCGCACCGCCGAGTACGCAAACAGCATCGGCTACCTCCAGCAGCAGCACCCGGACGACGACCCCACCAGCCCCTCGACGGCACCCGTCGGGCAAGGTTTCGATATCACGCCGTTTGCGACGAGTATCTGGGATCAGAGTCTGTACAAGGCGTGGGCCAGCATCATACACGATCTGGTCCCCAACTTGGCCACTATAGAACGCAACCTCGCCAATCTCGGCGTTGCAATCGAGGCCGAGGAGCTGCTGCTGTTCGAGCGCACGTCTTTCCTCGCGGTCTCATCCTGGACCTCAGAAGAAGGGCAGCGGAACCCCACCGAGGACCGTTTGGAGCGCATGTCCAACATTATGAAGCACTTTAAGCAGACCATTAGCCGCTTCACCGGCACCCCGCGAAATGCTGAGCAGTTCGTGCGCATGGAGCACAAGGCCGGCACGCGGTTCAACCTGTTCATCCTCAAATTCACGACCAATACATATCTGATGGTTATCCTGCCACCAGGTGAGGCCAGGTTCAACGCCGCCATGCTCAACTGCCAGATTGCCATTGAACACTTCAAATTCCTCGACGGCCCGGCCACAATGATTTCTCAGAGCGGCGGGCATGCATGAGGGGAGCGCGAGGCGTGGCTGGAGAAATTGTAAATCTACTTTACGTTGGAGACACGTGTGGGCGACAGCTAGCCGCAGTGGCGCATGGCAGGGATGATTAATGATACCATTTCGAAGGGCGTTGGAGGATTCTGAAACTGTACAACAGAGGTACACTTAGCATAAGGCAGTGCAAATAGGCATCAAAAGTCACACTTAACCACGTTGTTGTTACTTGTGGGCATGTCTATTGCTCAAGCTAGTCTACATTCCGCGCAGAGGCAAACTGCCTCGATGCCCGACCCAAAGTCACCCAGCCACGAGGCGGGACCAAAGTACCAAACGCCGCCCTATTCCCGCCATTTTTGTAATGATCCCGCTCAAGCCCACTTGACAACTGCAGTACCGCCCTTCTTGAACTCGGGCATTTCGCCCAGAACCAGACTGCGGTCAGTGTGATCCTTGTTCGGGAAGGTCGTCGCCAGAACCCACTGCCTGGTGCGGGTGTCGGCCGATGCACGCTGCACGAATTCGTAGACGTCGTTGACGGTGTTCGTTGTGTTAAAACGAGCAGGCAATCTTGTGCCGTTGGGCAGCTGGATGCGCAGGGTCAGGGTGGGCTGGGACTCATCGATTGCCTGCTGAGGGTCTGTCGAGCTGGCGGAAGTGGTCTGACTGCTGGCTGAGACAGCAGGAGCAGCCGCAGCCGCAGCCGCAGAAGAGCTGCCCTCGCCGGGAACCGGGCTACCGAGTCGGCGTCCCTCCCCGCCAAAGGGCTTGTACTTCTTGGGTAGAGCGTGGTAGTTCTCCTGGTGCTGGTGCAGCTTCACGTCCACCGGCTGGTCATAACGGACGTTCATCAAATGCAGAGGAGCTCTACCAGCACGAATCATGTTCAAGTCCATTGCGTTCTCCGGGTCGTCGAATCGGTGAAGCTCGCCGTCATCGATGCTGAAGCCATCCTGCCACAGGTGCAAAGTGCGCTCCTGAGGCTCACCGCTCGGGCCCGGCGGACCGCCAGCACCCTCCTGGAAAGCGTCGGGGTCGGGGATGCTGCGGCTGTCGGCTCCTTCGCCACCGACGGTGTTGCCAGTTCCTCGAAAGACACTGGAGCGCGAAGGACCAGCGGGCGATGCAGTCTCGGGGCGAGAAGCATTGCTGGCTCTTGTCAGTGACGGCTTAAAATATTCTTTTGGTAATTGGTACTTACGCCTTCGCCTTGGCAAGAATGTCACTAATGATCTTCTTGGCGCCACCGCCCTCCTGGGACGGGTCCTGCACAGCTAATCCAGACTTCTCACCTCCAGCGAAGAGGTCTCCTCGGCCTCTGTCGTCGTCATCTTCGTCATCCTCATCATCGTCGTCGTCGTGTGCGTGACCGCCGCTGATGGAGCTGAGCGTTGCGAGACCCTTCTTCTTGGGTGCCGCCTTCTTCGCCGTGCTGGCTCTGCTAGCAGACTCCGGTGCGGGTCTGCCATCGAGAGTTCGGGGACCGGTGTATTCAGCGGGGGCAGGAGCTGCGGGTTGGGCCTGCGCGACGGGCTCGACGTCGTCCTCGGAATCATGGTCGGCGTAGTAAGCCTGGGCGGCGAGGCCAATGTCCCAGTTCGCAGCCTCAAGGTACTCTGTGCACTGTTGGAGGTTAGCAGGGTAAGAGATCAAGACGACAGGCGTTGCTTACACGAGCTTCGGGCATGCCCGTTAGGTTCTTGAAGTCCCGCAAGATGTTGTTGCGCGAAGCGCTGTTGCTGCTGCCGGACATGATGGCGGCACTGGTTGTGATTTGGCGGGGAACCGTGAAGTGTGGCGGTATCTCGGGGGAAGTTGGGCGAGAGAGGATAATGTGCGATGCAATACGGGGGCAGGCAAGAGAATCAATGACCTGTATGGAGAAAGTGGTGTATGGGTTTCTTTGAAGGTTGCGCCCTGCAGAAGTTCAAAGACGGCGGAGGTGAAGACGAATAGCAGGCAGCTCAGTGGTCGTCAGTTGGAGCTTGCTGCTGCATCCGTACCTCTCTAGTACGTTCCTTGTGACGTGAGGAGCCACCTTCCACGTCCCGCTCAGAAGAAGTACGTACCTACCTTATTCCCCCACCATGGAGGCCTGATGAGAAAGTCGACCGCTACGGCGTGCTTATCTAATCTCCAGTGGCTGAAGCTGTTCCTTGAGATGCAACGCACAGACCCCGCAGAGTTCCTCCCGTTGTCCAGGTTAGGCGGCAGCTGTGATGATTTTCCGAGGTGACGCCGTAGCTCCCCGTGCTAGCATCTACTGCGCCGAGTTTCGGGAACCTCATCGTCGACTTGATCTCCCCGACAAACCTCCCATTCACCACCGTCATCACCCCCCAAGACAGCCTCGACGATGGCTTCCGACGACTCCCTGCACCCCCTCGCCGAGTCCGGCGTGACAATCCGGTCCGACAGCGAGCAGTACTCCCAGGGCGAAGACCTTACGGAATCACCTCCCTCGTCGAACTCGCCAATTATCCTCTACAAGCCGCCCACGTTCTGGGGCCTGGTCCGCGGCGCCGCCATCAACCTGTTTCTGCCGTTCATCAATGGCATGATGCTCGGATTTGGAGAGTTGTTTGCACATGAGGCTGCGTACAGATTGGGATGGGGCGGCACCAAGGTACGATGGAAATACCCCGCGAGGCTGGCATGCTCGTGCTGCGAGACCATGCAGATGCTTCCGACAACTTGCACAACGTGTGATATAGCTTGCAGTGATTAGTCTAACACGCTACAGGTCTTCCCAATGTCCCGGAGACAAGCGCACGCTATTGGCCCCGGCCTGGAGATTCGAGACAAGCACCGACGGCCTACCACAGGTCTGGACGACCTGACGAGTCTGGAATGACTAGGTGGATGGGAATAAGGGCCTTATTGCTTCAGCGATGCCGAGTTGTCTCGACTTATGGCAATCGCGAGCCGTTTCTGTAACACAGGAAGGGATGATGCTACGCAGCAGAATTGAGGCCATTGTGTGCGGCCCTAGGACTGCTTTGGCATGAACTGCTCTCTAAGCAAGGTAAAAAGCATGCATCTGCGTAGAGGAAGACGGAAGGCATCTACAGAAGACGGAACCATGGTGACTCCTAGACAGGCGGCGTGGGTGGGCCGGGTGTAACAAGTCCAAGGCCCGCGATCCGTCCATATGCAAGCTCTCAAACCAAAAATCAAAACAAGGCGTTTTTTTCTTGAACAAAGGCATTGGCAGATCTTTAGTTGAACAAATCCGATTCAAAGCCGAGATTGAAAGAGCTTCCATTCGTCAGTATCCAATGCTGACCTCACTTGACGGGTTGGCCGCGGCACGGAGCCGGAGCTTGGGCCCGTGTCCCGTTCAAGGCGACCCGACATTTTCCCGGCGCGTCCGCGGTTCCCAGAGTTGGTCCCCAAAAATTTCCCAGCAACCGCGCGCATTTGTCGTCGAGACTTTGGAGAGACAACCTTCAATTCCGACACCCCCCAACCCTCTCCTCTCCATCCAGCCCACCATGCTGCCCAGCAGAGGCGTCCTTCGCTCCCTCCCCTCCGTGAGGGCGACCAGCAGCATTTCGAGCCAATCTGTAAATTCCGCCCAATCCCTGACCCCAGGCACTACGGCACAAGTCGCGCCCAACGCTAATGCTCAACGGCCAGATCTCCAGGTCATCCAGACGACTCGGCGATGGACGGCAATTCGGAACCTCCCTGCGCAGCAGTGGTGCGCCCTGGACCTCTCTGAGGACCGGTAACTCCAGATTGGGCGGCCTCGCCGGCACAGTAGCCATCGGCGGATCCTTCGAGTCGAGACGAGCCTTCTCCCTCTGGAACTCAAAGCCCGAGCCCGCGGCACCGGCCCCGACACCAGCAGCTCCCGCAGCAGCTCCCGCACAACCTCCCGTCGAACCTGCCGCTGTCGACGCCGCCTCTGCCTCCGCGCCCTCCATCCCCACCCCCGAACCAGCTCTCGCTGCCGCCACCCCCTCGGGCTCTATTCCTGACCTCGACGCCGCCGCGCTCCTCGACCTCCCGGAACAGATCGGCTTCCTCAAGACTCTCGGCCTCGATTTCGGCTGGGGCCCCTCAAGCGTGATGCAGTGGGCCTTTGAGCACCTCCATGTCTACTCAGGCCTGCCCTGGTGGGGTTCCATCGCCGCGACCGCCATCCTCCTGCGTATCGTCATGTTCAAGCCCCTCCTCATGTCCCAGGACACCTCGGCGCGCATGCAGAAGCTGCAGCAAGACCCCAAGTACGAGGAGATCCGCACCGGTCTGCAAGAGGCCATGTCCCGTGGCGACTCGGCCGGCATGGCTGAGCTCCGTCGCGACTTGTCCATGATGAACAAGCGCGCTGGAGTGAACCCTCTGAACGGTCTCTGGGGTCTCCTTCAGATTCCCTTTGGATACGGCATGTTCCGTGTCCTGAACGGTGCTGCGTCCATCCCCGTTCCTGGAATGGAGACGGGTGGTTTCCTCTGGATTAGCGACCTGACCGTGTCTGACCCCTTCTTCCTCCTGCCCATTGCCGGTCCTTTCGCCATGTTCGCCATGGTCAAGGTATGTCCTACCTAACCACTCTCAACATACAAATCACTGACGTGCAACTCCCAGCTCGGCTCCCGTTACGCCACACCCCAGGCCAAGGCCCAGCAGAAGCTGATGATGTACATTCTCGGCCCCCTGTCCGTCATTTTCACCGCCTACCTCCCTGCCGGCGTCCAATGGTACTTCTTTATCACTGGTCTTGTCGGTGTCCTCCAGAACTGGCTCTTCACCAAGGCCGGCTTCCGCAACTTCTTTGGCCTTATGCCCCTCCCCTCAACGCCCGCGCCCGCCACTACGACCGCCCCTCCCTCCCGCCTGACATACCAAGCTCCCCGCCGCGCCGCGGCCTCCGCTCCCGCTGAGACGCCTGCCCAGGACGGCAGCATTAGCGGCGTCATCAACAGCCTGAAGCAGACTGTACACAACGCCAAGGGCGGTGCCGGAAACTACATGGAGGCGAACCGCTCGAAGGAAGAAGCGAAGCAGGCAAAGAAGTATGCTGAGAAGCGAGGCGAGCAGGAGAGACAGAAGTTCTGGAGCGAGATGCGCAAGAAATGAGAGGCGCGCACCCGGAGTTTTCATGTGAGACCAGGCTCATAATTGTAAAATATTGAAAAGGGACGGCAGGCTCCCGACTTGAGAAGAAAGAGCACGATACTGTACCATATGGGTGTAGAAGCAACCCGAGACAGCTCATGTATCATCTGGACACTGCATCGCAGAAATAATAGAGAACCACTCTCCCTATTGTCAAATGTTGTGTCACACAGTGAACGGAAGAAAGCTAAAGGTTTCTATTGGAGATCTACAGCAGAACTCGAGATGTCAATGTTGTATTCCTGCTGACTTTTTACAAGTCACGGTCAGAGACAAAGTCTCATGTTAGCTGACTCATATTCCCAGGACAACAATTACAAAGACAGCGACTAGACATGAACTTCGTCGCCATTTTCCCGACGGTTTTGAGCCGGATTGAAGCAAGACTTTCATAGACACGCAAGTAACAACTAGCCATGTTGAATGACGACCCAAAGACCGCAAGCAATCACCTTGCCTCTGAAAATGACGCAGTTTCTTCACAGTTTGCCGTCAGCTTTGGGACAGGGGTGTATTGTTTTTGAATGAACTTTCTTGAAACACAGTGCTACTCGCTAGTTGTGTTCTCATTGGTATTCGTTTTCTTTCCTCCTCCTTCTTATTTGTGCATTTATCGTAGTACATCACAGAGATGATGTCAGGCAACAGCTCGAATTGTCCATGCTTGAACAGAAATCTTCGAATGACTCGCAGAATGTTGGCAGGTTGTCGGTCGAACGAGGTTTGCACAGCTCGATGATCTTGTCGGAGGATTTGGTCAAGCCACGGAACTCGTCTGGATGTCTCAACGCTGGAGAAAGCTCGCTTTGAGTGAGGAGGGTCATCAAAAAGGCCAACAGGAAGACGGATTGGGACCGATTGGATAGAGAACGTAGATCGCCTTGCTCATATCTATAGAGAGAAATATATCACTTGTAATCCCTAGATCTCTCCAGCACGGGGGGAAACCTGCTGGCATGATAATAGGAATCCAGTCACACGACTGGAAGACCTGCAGACAAAATATCTGGTTTTAAGCTCCTTTGTGAGAGTACTCAATGTTCCAAAGATTGTTCCATTGCCAGGTTGCCCAGTTCAAACCGTTGCTGTATGCGTGAGATCACCGGCTACACTGTAAGCATGGAGTAGTTAACCATGAGAACCATCTATTACAAGAACACTAAATGTTTCTTGTGACTTTCCAACTCCAATTGCATACCATAACCTTTCTTACCACTTCGCTATGCGTTTCCAACGAAACTTGCTAACGCTCGTGCAGAAAGTCACAACAAGTTGACAAAAAGTATTGCAAGTCCTCATGAAGCCAACAGATTAACCCAGCCCAAACCCCTGACCCATCCCGTCTGGAACACCACAAACAGTCCTCAAGCAGAAGCAACCTCCCCCGCAACCCTCCCAAACACCCCGACATCGAGCCCAAACCTCGCCATAAACAGCCCGTCCACCCCATCCTTGACCCCCTCAAACATCCCCGGCCCTGCGCTGCCCCCGTACACGACCCTGACCGCCCCCCTCCGCAACCTCACGCACTCCATCTCCCTGATCCCCTGCGCAACCGCGACAACATACTCCGCCGCAGCAGGCTCCGCCGCCCCGATGGCCCACACGGGCTCGTACGCAAGCACGACCTCCCCCTCCTCCGGGACCCCCCGCATCACGGCCTCGACCTGCGCGCTGCACTCAGCGATAGCGGCCTCTGCGCCCCCCGCCTCGGACCTCGCCGCCTCGCCGACGCAAACCAGGGGCACCATCCCGTTCCTCGCCACCGCGGCAGCCTTCCTCGCGACGAGCCCGTCGTCCTCCCCAAACATCCGCCTCCGCTCCGCGTGCCCGACCATGACCATCTCGCATCCGACCTCCGCCAGCACAGCCGCCGAGACCTGCCCCGTAAAGGCGCCGCGGTCTTCGGGAGAGGCGTCCTGGGCGCCGATGCGGAGGCGGAGGGAGCCGTTGTGGGGGCTGGCCTTCCATCGGGAGACGACGGCGGCGAGGCTGACGTGGTCTACCAGGAGGAAGACGTCGACTTTGGAGGACAGGTGCGGGGTCTCTGCAAGGGTGTCGATGAGGGCGTCGAGGTACGCTTGGGTTTGAGCGTGGGAGAGGTACATCTTTGTCTGGACTCCCACGAGTCGCCGGGTTGGAGCATCCATATTTGAGGATACGACGGTGTGACAAAACGGCCTTGAGATATCTTGCAAAAGTGGTTCAGTGATCTGTTTCGAGTTGGGCGGTTGTTGACAAGAGGTTGTTTTCCGACAGTATCCCTGCCGCGTTGCGGAATCATGAATTGTGTAAGAAGAACGCTGTCGAACTGGGCTCTGCGATTTCAACACCTGCAAACTCAAGCAGTGGATTTGAATTTCGTTTGCTATTATTTTAAAATGCAGGACTTACAATGGCCACCGCTCTTCACATCGCTCGCTGTAGGAGGTACATGCCTACTCGGAACAGGTCTCCACATCGACCGGCCTCGGCTCCGACCCGGTCCGCAAGGATCCCCGCTTGTGACTTTCCGGTTGCAAATTTTGCACACCCACATTATCATCTCCCACATTGATAATACCTTAATCCGCGGACTCCATACAACAATTGGTCTGGTGGTGTAGTTGGTTATCACGTCAGTCTAACAGTTCGAGTCCTCTCGACTGAGCACACTGAAGGTCTCCGGTTCAAGTCCGGGCTAGATCATCTCATGGGCGATTGGTTTAGTGGTATAATGACCGCTTAGCATGCGGTAGGTCCTGGGTTCGATTCCCAGATCGTCCATCCTTTTTGTCCAGTTATGACGCAACGTAGTCCACACGAGCATTGTTTTGCTTTGTGTTGTTGTAACTCTTTGATTGACTTGTAGTATCGTGAGGCTGTTTGGACTTGGGCGATGATGTGTATGTACCGACAGGCAAGCGGTATGCCGAACAAAAGATAGCCACCGACGCTTCCACGTGGTGGCACGGTAGAAAGGCGCCATCCAGGGTCCAAGCTAAGAAGCTGTTATCCGCGGTGGGTTCGCTCTGGACTCGTCCCTATCCTAGACAGATAATTACTCAGGCGATTTCATTCCGGAGCGAACTCATTCCGGGTCGTACTGAGACATGACCTGGGCGACAGGATTGCCACGAGCGAGAGTCTTCGAGCTACCGCTGGATGATGGACGAGCTTATTGACAAGCGGGGGCAATCGACCGAGACCAACGAGTCTTCTCTCTAATGATGGTTGTACCGCGTTATTCCCTGGCCAGTAGCCCTAGACGCTTGTATTGACCTAGCATTGGCCGGCGCTCAAGCCATAAAGCGAATTACCGGCGGCAGTGGCCACGAGCTGATCTCGCATTAGGAATCAGGAGTGCCTCCGACCCAGACCATCGGTAGCTCAGCATGGCCACCTCGTGGCAGTGTCGGGAGGTGGTCTCCCGGAATTGTGCTAGGCCGGGGGGCTGCGTCGCCGTCGGCCAGCAAGCCTCCTTTGCGACTTCGAGGCGGACTTGGCAAGGAGTTGGAAAGGAGATGGACACACGATGATACTGAAAGCAGAATTACCTTTTAGCGGAGAAGGACGCCGGGAGCGGAGCCACGCTGAACAGCACATTGGGACAAAGAAGACGCATGGCAAAGTCCAGCAGCACCAAATTTTCGATGGGACCACCTGCTGAGCAACTCCCTTTTCGAGTTAGACCCCCCTCGTAGCCCTGGATTTGTCGAAATTCGAGAAGGCCAGGCCACTTCAGCCCAGGGCGACACAGGGCACGTTTGGGCCTGAGCTTGGTGACCGGGGTGGTTCAAGGGCATCGCCGGGGTTGTTGTGAGAATGTGAGAATGGAGCGTCTGAAATGCCCCCGGCTCGTGAAGAAAGTGGCACGAGCCAGTGGGTGATCCAGAGTCTGCTCAAGATTGGTATTTCGCACTGCAGCGATTTCGTTACAGCGTCAGAATCTGTTGGCAAATGACTCGGTCCGAGGTCGCTGTTCGCCGTGGCATTCGAGACGGATGCTGTTGTTAGATTTGGCGCACACTGGGTGACCTGTCAAAGGGCGCCAAGCGCAGTCGATCGACAAGTTCCCGCTGCAGCTGGGCCTTCAAGGTCCTGAGCGCAAGTGTCTACTAGCTATGAATGTCAGATGTGAAGCTATACCCGCCTCACCTACTGTATCCCGGAGCAAACCTCCTGATCCTCCCACCCTGGCCTCCAGAAACGAAAACGAGTTTTGAGGAGCCTGTTCGCTCATCATCTGGCCCTGTAGGTCCGCGTTTGAGTCCCCACGACGCGCGACAAGGCGCGCCCATGGCTCTTTTCATCCCAGTCTCGACACGTTTTTGTATTGTTAGGTCCGTTCCAGAGAGGGGTTGTGGCGCCGACTACCCGATTGACGGTTGGGCTGGTGCATCTCACTTCCGTGCTCCCAATCGTCGCCGGTGCACGAATATTGGCTTGGTCTGCCAGACCAGCAGGGGAAATAGCAGGGGAAAAAAGAAGCACTATTGCTGCTTTGCCGACGTCGACCCAAGATCCGATAGAGAGAAGTTGCGCGGCATGGTGGTCAAGGGCACCGAGTCTCTGATCCTGTGCTGCCGCTGCCTGCAGGTATGTGTGATTTCTGGCACCCTACATGCTGCAGGGCAACGGCAGGGTAGGCATTCAGCCAAAATCGGCTCGACATTTGGACGATTCCGGTGATAGGGGCTGCAGCGGTCCATGGTCCAATGCGATCAGGAAGCGAGGCACCATGATCGACGAGGCAAGTGGAAAGTCATCCACCACACGAAAGCAACTCGGGCATCGAGTGCAGCGCGGTATGCGGTCCCAAGCCGGGGCCATTCCAGAAGCGTGCACAGTCTCCCGTACCTTGCAGGCTTCAGATGCACTGCAACACAGGCCGGCCACCCTCCCCATCCCACAGAGCCCGGGTCCCTGGTAGCGTCACCTCTTTTTGCCAATCTTTGCAGCCCTCCGGTTTACCATAGGTCGTACTGGGCAGAGAACAATCGAGCTTTCCTCGGGGTCGTTGAGGGGGACCCCTGCCGGTCCATTTGCTGTCGTGTTTGCCAGCCTGTAAGCACGAACCTGTATATTTGTATCGGTTAATCATGCTCAGCTGCAGGACCAAGCAACCGAAGTGAGCCGGTCTTTGGCGTTGCATGTGCCTGGGTGGCCGACGTTACATCTGGGAAGCAAACCTTTTTCTCTTTTCCCACGAACCGGAAGTGCGGATGGGGCAATGGCCGACGATGGGCAGGCAGCACGAACGGGGATTCTCGATCTCGGCGTACCGGCGCCTTCGTACTCGGCCCCGTGAGAAAACGAGATGACCATTGCTGGCCGGACCATGTAGGGCAAGCTGAAGTAGATTGTGATCTGAGTCTGGACTGCGTGGGTCGGCTTTGCGCAGCCGTGTGGTCACCCTTTAACGGCCTGAAGCAGGCAAACACCGAAGCGAATCACGCGGTTACAAGACCCCCGGCGGCTCTCGGAAACGACCACGACGACCTGATACGGTGGGGTGGGCGGTTGCCTAGTGTCCATCCTCGTGTATTGAGGATGTACTGTCTGCGGCAAATGCAGTATTCCGCGCATGCACGTAATGCAAGCCATTTTCGAGAAAAGAGTCGGGTCCGGCACGTTTTCCAACTCATGTGCCGCCTTCTGCCCCCCTCTTTGTCGTCTGTTGTCGGCCTCCACTGGGAAGCCAGCAGCCCCGGCTCGCGAGATGGGACGACCGCACCATGGTCGCATGTCGACCGGAGTCTGCCCAGCTTGAGGTTGAAAAAGAAAAGGGACAACGAGAAGACAAGCGGGAGCAAAAAAAAAAAAAAAAAAAACAATCATTCGGGCTCTGTCGGAGCCTGTCAGTCGATCATTCTTGATCGGGCGCCGGAAGCGTCACCGGAGCCGTTGCAGCAGCCAACGTCATGAATCAAGAAAGGGCCGTTGCACTGCCATGCCGATTGTTATCATACTGTATCATTGCAGAGAGATGAAGCGCAGCCCATAATATGCAGCTGAGACGAGTATCGTGGCTCGCCGGGAGTGATTCCGCGGGGAGAGGGACCGCCCCCCCCCATGCTCGGTGCGGTGCATGGAGGACTGAAAGGATTCCGTCCGTACGACGTACGGTCTGGGTGGAAGAGGAGCCAAAGCGGTTGGTGATTTGCGAAGGTGGGTCGGATCAGCAGCGAGGTCGCAGCGGTGGTGGTGTTGGTTGGCATGGTGGTGCGGTGTTGGTGATGCATTAGGTGCCCATGCTGATCTGGGGAAGACTCGGTGAGGAACCTCAACCCCCATGCTTGGCCGTCGCGCCCGGGGACACGCGCCACGGGGTCGGCAACCCGAGAGCATGGTGACTGGATTGCTAGGAAGACGAGGAGAAGACGAAGCTTCGGCCGGCGGTTCGTACCAACGTTTGAATGACAAGAAAGGAAAAAGTAAAATAGTATAAAATAGAATACCTAGAATGGGACGGAGAGTGCAGGTGCGAAGGGAAGCACAGGCCACAGCCTGGCAGGAGACGCTGACACAGGGCAGGCGGCGGCAGGGACCACGCCTGGTTTCCCCGTGCACCGCACCTGCCAAAGGCCCATCGTCCGGTGAGCAGGGCAAACTGTATTACCTACACTAGTACTACAGTACCAATGGTACATACGTCGCAAGGTAAGTACTATGTAGCTACCTACCCACCTAGGTAGCCGGCGGTGGTGGGGTCGACATCCGAGCTTGGCGAATTGGTGTTTGTAGTTTAGTATAGTACATACACTAGGAGGTATGCAGACATTGGACGACATTGGACGACACGACTACCTACTTCTTCATCCAGTCAGTTCAATGGGCCGGCTTCTTTCAAAGGTCCTCGGCTACAGTCCCAGAGACCTTGCCAGAGTGGACACCCCCAATATCCGAGGGGGAGCCTCGTACGTTGAGTCCTCGATATATGGGACCCCGAAAAAGGTGATCCTTAAAGTCCCTCACGTCTGTTGGTCCGGGAATCCCTGCGACCTTTTCCCCACTGAAGGCTTTTCCCATCTCCTGGCTCGTCCCTTCCCTCCTTCCCTCCCGTGCCGTCCCTCGAAAGAGGAGCTCAGGATGCCAGAGATGGAGAGAGCGGTTTGTCATGTCATCCACTGCACACGCCTGCAAGGCGACGAGCGGACATGGGCCACTTGGTGGACCGGCGAAGCAGGACTCGACGCTGTGCGAACAGAGGCGGAACGAAAGAGCCTCGGATACCTCTATACCATTCAAGGCAATTACCTAGGCATGTAGAGCATACGCCCGTACCTCTGCGCTCAGAGTTATACCCGTCTTCCCGGTTGGACAGCCTAAAGGGGCCAGTTTGTATGGCGACATGGTAAGGGACGCTTTGTATGTAGTACCATTATGGTGTGTATGACCTGCATACTATGCTATGTAGGCAGGTACGGATGGGGACGGACGCCGATGACATCCTGTTCCTCCTCACAAATCACACCTCACCTCGTCCCTCTTATTTTTCTGTCATTATTTTCCGTCTCATCTCGTCTCGTCTCGTCTCGTCTCGCATCGTCACCGAATCTCCACGCTGTACCTGGCACTTGGGACCGATTGCTTGGAGGAAGCACCATTTTGTGTCTCGGTTCTTATTTCGGCTGTCTGGGTTCCAACTTGTTGCTAGGGCCGGCGTGAGTCTGAGTCTGAGTCGGAATCTGAGTCTCTCTGCCTCCGTCTCTCCTCTGCCCCTCCAAGCCCGCCTCCTCCTTCTCCTCCACCACCACCACCTCTTCCCCCTTGCTTTCCCCCTCCGTCACCGTCTCCCGTCGGTTCCTGGTTCCAGCTCCCCAGGCCGTGTTCTGGTGCTGCTTTTGCTCCCCCGCCGTGGCACCTCCCGTCTCTTCCATCATTCCGGTATCCACACCTTCTTCCTCTCCCCACGTTCTCGGCTTCGTCTCGACCCGCGTGCAACAAAGCTTTTCGCACCAGTCTCACCTTGCCCTGTTTTCGCCGTTACTTCCCTCTTCTTTGCCCCTTTGCCTCTTCTTTCTTCGCCTCATTTTCAGCTCTCACTGTCCAAAGGTACTACCACGACCTTTGAGACGCGCTCATTTCTCCTTCTCCTAGCCATCATCCTCCAAACGCGTCCGGCAACATTACGTGCTGCACCTCAGGTCCAACCGGCTTTGCATATTCGACCGTCGCAGTGTCAACATCAGACGTCTGCACTACTACCCCGTCCCGATATAGACGGTGGTGAGAGCCTCCGAGGGCTAAGCTCACTCACGAGCTGTCACTTTCTTGCTGCCCGAGCCCGAGTGTGTCATTGACGCCGTGCCGCTGGGTGCTGTTGCTTTTTCCGCAGCGCCCAGCCAAGCTACTCTGCCGTATCTGCGTCTGCGTCTCTGTCTGCGTCCATTGATTAGAGTGCCCGCAGATTGATCGTCATTTCCACTACTGCAAACATTGGACGCCTCTTTAGATCCCGCCCGACTAGCTCAGATCCGGTCGACGCACCCTCGGGGACACACGCAGATTTACTAGTAACCTCATTCCTGCTGCCAAACCCTCTCCGCAAACACCTTGCACCGCCCAAGGCTCCCGGCTCTCCAATTTCATCATTCAACATTCTGCTTTCCACGTCAGCCTCGACTTCGACCTTGGCGTCTGCCCGCCGACCTCTTTATCGCCCTGTTTTGCCATCCCGTCACTGTCTTGAAGACCCGACCTTCTGCCTTCTTCACCCCTTGCGATTCACGACGAGCAACAAGGACAAGATAATAGTCGGGCTTTAGATCATCTGCTGGACACTGCTGCCTCGTCAGTCTCCATCTCCAAGTGAGAAGAAGGCACCAAAACCACGTACTGAGTAAGTGGCCAGCTTCCCTTCCTGCTGAAGCTCACCCTGCCCCCCCTGGAAGTCCTTCGAGTCATACTTCACAAATGTGCGATGTATATGGCTTTACATTTTCTAGTGGCTGCCCCGGAATACCACCTGCATGCCTGCACGACAACAAGGTTGCCGATTAGCCCCACGATGCAGCGTGATGCTTCAAGAGTGCGAGTGGCCACCGGCATGAAGTGCGCAGAGAGGAGCCAGGAACAGATGCAGCACTGCGACTCCCCCCGTGGAGCACAAAGTTTCTGCCCTGCCTGATTAGCACATCTTTGCATCTTCTGCCCCTCCTGCATAACTTTCACCCCCCCCTCAAAAGCCCCAATTCTTTCCTGCGCATTCTTCCGGCGGTTGCGTGTCTTTTTCCCCTTCCCGTTGGCTGTGTCCGGCGTGGGCACAGTGGGAATGGCTCAAAGTGGCTTGACATTTTTGAAGCTAACCAGGCCAAAAACAGGTCGTCTAGCTCCAGCGGTTATCCCTGATCCAGATCGACGTCGGCGAGAACTCTAACACCAATAAGGGAACCGGTCCCTGAGCCCAGAGCAACCCTTCCCCCCCCCCCCCCGACAAGCACTACAAGACAAGCCCCCCCCAGCACGAGAGAGGGCCTAGACATTTCGCGCGCAACCGGCCCAGCTGCTGCTCCTATTGCCGCCCGCCGCTCCAGCTCAGTGTCTCGCTGTTATTGTTCCCCCGCAAGCGCAGCAGACTGCCCCCTATCAAACTTGAGTGGGAGAACCTCGACTTCTTATCTTTCGGTCCTCTCCCCCCTCCGTCCCTGCTGCTTGTTGCATCTTACCGTCCGTCTCCGATCTCCCTCGGCATCGTCGCGAAGCGAAGCTAGGAACCCGCCTGCGATCTTCCCCTCACGCTCGGAGCCCCCGGCCTCGGTGACCGCCGCCAACACGCCCCGTGTTACAGCCTGCCAGCCTACCAATCGTCCAGCTGACCACTCGGAAGCTTCGCATTGATTCGAACTCACGGCCAGCTCAGCACCGCTTGAACCCCTCTATTCGACCCCACCACCCGCTATCTCTCGAGCCCCTCCGCCGCCGGCCCCCATCCGCCCAAAATGGGCCTGTTCTCCCGCAAGGAAAAGGCCCCAAAAGCCTCGAGCAAGCCATCGATCAGCACGTCAAACGTGAGCATCAACTCCCGTACATCCAGCATCAAGTCACCGCCACTACGCAGCAACATCATGAACAGAACGTCAGGAACCAGCTCCGCTCCCGGGACGCCTTTGACGCCCTTCTCGCCTGTTTCCGTGCCCAAGGTCGACCTGCCGCGCCCTCCTGACCCGCAGCTTGACCCTGCGGGGTACCTCCGAAGCTTAGGAGCCGTGAGAGAAAGAAGCAAGATCGTGACGGACAAGGCCCTTCGGAATGAGTTGAAGCACTTCGACGTGGACATGCGAAAGTTCCCGGACGTGGTCTCGTTTGTTTCCCAGATTATCAAGGTATGTCGTCCGTCATCCCGCGTGGTCAGGCCGCGCCTAGTTTTCCCCTCCCGAGACCTATTGTTTCAAAGTGTACATACTGACCTGGCGATCCCTCGCAGAGAGATTACGATGCACCTTTCAACACGATCCCCGGCCACGGAAGACACCAGCACTTTTGCGTCGGCGGCCGCGACCGCATCGCCCAGCTTCTTTCTACGTTTCCCGAGGATGTTGACAACAGCGAGAAGTGCCGCCGCATGATCGACCTCTTTCTCGTCAGTGTGCTGCTCGATGCAGGTGCGGGCACGAAGTGGAGCTACAAGAGCACGGAAAACGGACGCATATACCGCCGGTCAGAGGGAATCGCCGTGGCGAGCTTGGAAATGTTCAAGACGGTAGGTCCACAGAGCTCCCAAGCTAACCCGTACACCCGCTAATGGTTCGTTAGGGTATCTTTTCTAGCGACAGCAAGAACAAGTTTCAGGTCGACAAAGAGGGACTGCGCAACCTGACGGTCGAGAAGATGGCCGCCGGTCTTCAGTCCAAGCCTGGAAACGAGATGGCCGGAATTGAAGGCAGAACACAGCTTCTCCAGCGTCTGGCGAATGCTTTGACCGAGAAGAAGGAGTACTTTGGCGAGAACGGCCGGCCAGGCAACATGATTGGTATGTTTCTTTGTTGTCCGCAATCGCCGGGTAGGGGAGCTAACACGACCCAGACTACCTGCTGTCGCATCCCTCGACGCAAGCGTCTTCCATGCCGATTGTCGTTCTCCCAACATTGTGGAGTGTTCTCATGAACGGTCTCATGCCAATTTGGCCGCCATCCCGAACTTCGATCAATGGCGTGTCACTCGGCGACGCTTGGCCTTGCCAGTCCATGCCGCAGCCCCCGCAGAGCCCGACAACCTCGCAGTTCTCGCCCTTCCCCCCTTCTGCCCAGAACTCGACCGCCGCTTGGGAATCTATCCTGCCGTTCCACAAGCTCACGCAGTGGCTCTGCTACAGTTTGATGCAGCCCATGCAGTCGCTACTGCGTGTTCATTTTGCTGGGGTCGAGCTGCTGACCGGCCTGCCCGAATACCGCAATGGTGGCCTGTTCATTGATCTGGGTGTTCTTACGCTGAGACCCGAGGATACTGACAGAGGTCTCCAGCACTACGACGAGTACTGCAAAAAGGCGGGTGTCAAGCCGGTCGAGGTCGCGCCCATGTTCGAGCCCAGTGACGACGTGATTGTCGAGTGGCGTGGTGTGACGGTTGGCTTTTTGGACAAACTCTGCGTCGAGGTCAACAAGTATCTAAAGAATGAATTGAACGGGAACGAGCTCACTCTGGCTCAATTACTTGAAGCCGGCAGCTGGAAGGTAAGCGTTCTCAGCTTCGAGCTTTTACAGCTGTACTGTAGGATCTAACTAACGTTTCGGTTTAGGGCGGACGAGAGATGGCCGAATTCAGCAGACCCAACACGAAGGAGCCACCCATTCTAATCGACAGCGATGGTACTGTTTTCTAAGCTGCTGTGCTTTGTTTGGAGGGAAGCATTGTATTGAGGCATTATACCTTTGTGCCATTGGATTAGACGACGGCGCCGGATCGCATTTAATTCCGGATACAGAGACTTTGCAGACCGCAGTGGATGAACGGCATGGCATATTTGGATGATGGGTTGGAATGGCGGTACATGCGCCTTAATGAACATGATTAGGACCAACGTCAACGAGGGGGATTAATGCAATGCGAAGATTGAGGCACTCAGCCCTCGCCGCCAACCCGCTGTATATCGCTTATTGTCTGGGTGACAATTGTTGACCTTGGCCCTTGGGGGTTTGAGGGTGCACTGCACATCTTGACATGTTGTACCGATAGGTCTGCTGACGACTCACTGAAGAATCTGTGGGCCCTTAATGCCGTCCAGATCCAACCCCAGGGACCGGCTCTCGGCCCCGCGTCGGAGCCCCACCCGATGGAAAAGTGATGATTTTGCTTCACGTGCCTCATGCCTAGTTCCAATGCCCAGCTACAACCACAGCACCTCTATCACCGGATGCTTCCGTCGTTCGGCTTGAGGACCTGCAAACGGTACATGCCCCCGTTTTCTTCATACTTGTGTGTTTCGTTTGATTCTCTATTTGCTATTCTTCCCACATCGCCTGGAGACGTATCGATTGTCTTTGTCAAGAAATCAAGTCGCTAATCGTGACTCAGCAAGTAATATCCCACGAGCTTGGGTGACCCAGGCGATTGGCAGCTTGTGAAGAACTCTCCGTCATCTCTTGAGGGCTTGAATATTCCGAAGTTGTCTTGTGCGTTGAGCCACAGCATCTTACGGTGTCAAACTCCCAGCTCTCGACGGCATCAGCTACCACCTCGAGCCATCGAAATCGATGTTCTTGCCGGCCAATGGTCTCCCCGTTTCACTCGACAAACTGACACGTGAAGCAAACTACTGGCGAGGGGAGACGTACGCAAATGTTTCACTGAGAAACAGAAGGTACCGCAATATTATTCATACCAACGCCCAACAACCAATACAGCCTTGCTACAAAATTAGGAGGGATCGAGGATGGCAGTATTCCCACAGTTCGAGCCGGACCCCAACACCACGTTATTACAACAGTGCCAGTTCATAATTCACCGCATCACTGTCCTCCTTGAGGAGCTAGAACAGCTCAAAGCTGCCATTGAGAGACGCCCGGCATCAGGCCACAAACCCCTATCATGGAACCAGGCCGTTCCGGGGCTTGGTGCCTTCGAACGGCTTATCATGTCCGAGAAGAAGCACTTGGAGAAGATGTTCCAATCATACAATGTGGACGCTAGCGAGCAGGTGGATCTCGAGGAGCTCGACAGCAAGATCCGGCTGAGGCTAGACGCATCGAATTACAAATTCTACGAAACGGTGTGGGAGGTCACCAAGCGCTGCTCTGACCTTGCCGGGATGCGGAGGGAATTGTCCTATAAGACGGAGCGCGGAAAGCCCATCAACGCTGTGATCGACCTCATCGTCAACGGCGGCGCGGATTGGATCAAGGTCGTCACGACAACGGAGCGGAGGCTGTTCTATGAAATGGCCGATGCTGGGTGGGATTGGGAAGAAGACTTTACAGACGAGGGCGCAGACAGTGCGATGCTGGAGATCCTCCAGGACGAGACGGAGGACAGCATCGAAGTCGCCAAGTTCGCAAGACACATGGTCTCGGCGGCGCGGGTATCATACCAGGACTACCGTCGACCCCGGGTGCGTATCCTCATGTCGCGCATCTCGGAAGGCGAGAATGAGATGGTCGACCACCTGCTCCGCCTCGTACGCAAGATGGGCAGTGAGGATGTCGAGCTTGTCGTCGAGACCGCCAACGGGCCGGAGGGGATTCTCACGGATCCGACGCCGCCGCTGGACGAGGCCATCACGAACCTCATCAACACGGACTACTTCAAAGACTTCACGGCGACGCTGAACGTGGACTGCTCCGTCTTCATGGCGCTCTCGTCGGACTTCAGCCACATGGCGATCGGCCCGGACTCGGAGCTCTTGAGGTCGAAGCAGCACCGCATCGATGCGACGGACGAGGTGGAGAACGGGCCGAGGCTGGTGAACACGTTGTACCCCGCCATGACTGGACGGAAGCTGGTGTGCACGAAGGAGGCGGCGGACACGTTTCTCAAGATTGTGTACGAGATTGGGACGGACTCGGAGCAGGCCCGGACTCGGATCCTCTTTGAACAGGGCGGTGCGCATACACCCGAAGCCGCCGAGGAAGACCGCCAGCGCCGGATCGACGAGCTGCAGACGCTCTCGGCCTATCCCGTTCCCCGAGGCCTCCGGCTCCCGATCACGGTCATAGGCAGCATCTCCTGGGACGACGCGCAGCGCATGGTCGCCCTCAACCAACTCCCCCAAGTCGCCCTTGCGGTGGGCCAAAAGGGGTCCGGACTGAACGCGATGAACGTCAGCTCGTTCTTGTACGGGTGGAAGGCCGGCTTGACGACCATCACGTCGAACTGGGAGGCGGCCAAGAGGTTGAGGACGGTGATTGAGACGAACCGCGTCACGGGGACCGAGGTCGGGCCGCATATTTGGCGGATCCCGTTTTCGCGAAAACTGCTCGCCAAGCCCAAGGTCCCGAAGGGCGAGGACGATGGCGAAGGCGGTGGTCGGGCGGCGAGTCGACGGCTGAAGAGTCGACAGGAGCGGAGGGTCGAGAAGGAAAAGTCTCTGCAAAGTTGGATCGCCTCCGAGAAGCCCGACGGGAAGAGGTCCGAAGACACTTGCCACGAATGAAGATTCGGATTTCGCACGTTCCCCGAGACATTTCTCACACTTTTTGGAGGATACCCCGGCGTCTACGGACTACCTACGCCTCCATAACCACCCCGCAGTCGGGATACTTGATCCTCACCTCGGTCGTGAACAGCTCCCCCGCCGCGCTCCCGTTGTGCCCCGCCAGCAGCATCTCCTCGCAGTGCCTCGTGTGGTGGTAGCTCCAGATGTACCCGTCCACGCGCCCCAGCCCGCCGCCGCCCTGAATCAGCGCGCGGTGCATCCTTCTCCACATGGCCGTGCAGTGGCGGAGGTGGTACCCGAGGGAGACGTAGATCCCCGAGTGCTCCCCCGTCATGATCTGGTCCCTTGACAGAGGCTTGGTGCGCTGCATGTCCTCGTACCACGACAGCTGCCCCGCCTCACGCAGCTCCTCCTCGAACTGCGCCGCGAGCTCGGCGTCGTGGCATGCCGGGGGAAGCCAGTTGAAAGAGATGAGGTCGAAGAGGCACCCGGAGGCGCGGGCTTCGGACGGCGTCGTGCCACAGGGTGCTGGGTGGAGGAACTTGACGGAGGACTGGGGGTCGTGGGATGGGGAGGCGAGGGTGTTGTCGTTCCGGTGGGCTGTAGTGGAAGAGATTTTGTGGATGTGGGATACGAGGGTGGTGAGGCCGAGGGAGGTGAGAGCACCGAGGAGAAGGGAGACGAGGACGATCACAACGAGGCGCGTGTACGAGGTCGTGAAGCAACGCTTGCGGTCGCGGTCGGTGGGGTGAGGGTTTAGGAGAGACTTTGAGGCCTCTTCGGGGTCGTGGGATGAGGTTCCGTGGTCGACGTGTAAGTCAAAGTCGGCGTCCTTCTCCCGGGCGCCAGGCCGCGCTGGCGATGAGTCTCGGGACTCCATCGTAAACCCCTTAAGCCTTCTTGGATAAATTTCCTTTTTCGAGAAGGAAAGATGGAAAGCGCAAGTTAAAGAGATAAGGTCTAATGGAGACGGTCGACGTTCAAGTACCATCCCGCAATCTCGAAGGATTCTGAGGATCCATGCATGCACAGTGGTGGGGCTGGAAGGTGATCAATGAGGGCACGACGTGCCAGCTGACGACCTTCCTCTCTTGGCACGTCTACCTGCAAGACTGATCCTTCGACGCAACATCGCTGTTTTTCAAAGAGGAGGTTGTATGGCGTGAGCCGGGTTTGCTCCGACTTGTTCTCCGTAGAAACCGTAACCAGACTTGTACCGCCATCGTGTAAAGTTCAAACAGACGACGTTGTTTCATGACAACGGAACCGTCTTCACCCTTCAAATTATTCAGCATCATTGAATTATTTGAGTACATAGGAGGGAAAGAGAAAGGTGAAATATAGTCGTCAGAAGGGGGAGCTACTTCTAAGCTTCTGTCTCTTTCCTCTCTTTTCTCATGCTCTGCTGTCATCAACACACCCATTCATCTATTGGGTCACCTCCGCAGGTCGCTGTGCCATGAGACGCGCGGGGGTGCCGATATACATGGCGGTTTGATTATGCCACCCGAGGAAGCGGGTTCCCACAAGGCATTCTTCAAGGCTCTTTGAAGCGAATAGGTCGTCGGTGTCGTAGTTGATGTGCGATCAGGTCATGTGGTGGGCAGCGTTGGTGCCAAGAGATCAAGGCCACTATTGGCGAGGAAGCTAATGATGGTCATTACGACCTCTACCGTGGCATATTGCACAGCAAGTAGTATGAGAAAAGAAGACTGTGCCCTATCAGGATGCTGTATGCAATGCCTTCTTGGCTACCGAGTACTAGCGAATGAACATGCTTGGTCCCCGCACCTAGGCAATCAACCATACACGTGATGTTTTCTCTCTGGACGACTACCAGCCGCAGTCAACATCCGTTCTCACTCATATTCAGCCCTCCAACAACAGTCCATGAGCATTTCTATGAAAATTGAGGTCACAACTTAACCTGTATCTATCGCAAGTCTGCAGCCTTTGCTAAGCAAAGTCAGGAGGTGTGTTTCTCATTTTCTCACCACCTATCTAGCCGCCGAACTGAACTGGTAGGGCGCCCCTGCCAAAAGTCCAGCCTGAAACGCTTCGGGTAGGAAAGTCAGCGTCGACGGAGTTGGGCCTGGCTTCGCTATGGATACAATCTGCCCCAAAGGGGCGAATAAACAGACGTTTGCTAAAAGCCCGCAGGGTATGTAGATTGCATCGCTCAGACTTAGACGAAGCTCAGAGATATCAAACGACCCGGGAGACCTGAACCTCACCCCGAAATGGCACTGGCGACAACACAAGCCGCCCAGCCATCGGGCTCGGATCTCTCCATCGTTGAAAGCGACATTGTTCAGACCATCACGCTTGCCGATACACTCGTTACCTTGATACGCGAGCCCATCGCTATCGTCTATAAGAACATTACCAAAACCCAGGCGCTGAAGCGAAGCCTCGGGCTTTGGCAAGAGGAGGCGTTGGACGATAACGGCCAGAGTCGCATCCCCGTCCTCCCTTGAAGGAGTTTGAGGAGTATCTCGTTCGGATCGACGGAGCCATCCCGGCTGCACCTTCGGCTCTGGGAACTGGCGGCAGAAAGCCTAGATTGTCTTGGGGTGGCTGGGGAGCACAGAGTCCGAGGCTAAGCCCAAAGCCAGTATTGCCTTTGGCTGGAACGGCCTGTTGGGCCTACTTCCTGTACGCTCTAGGGGTCCACCCCGGGACGGGTGTGGCTGCCTGGAGACCTTCAACTGATGGCTATATCAACACTCAGAACGGAGGCATCGAGATGGAGATAGAGGGCTCGGTGCTGTGCCATGTTATCAACCTGTATTCTGTGACGCTGGATCCAAGCCCTGATGTCCGCATGGCTGATGAGGAATTGCCGAATCGACTTCTGGGGAGACAGTGCGACTTCCCTTTCGGAAAACTTGCCTGGACTACAGCCGATGATCAACTTCATGCCCACTTCACTCCTGGATTAGAAAGAGAATTGGCCTCGGCGAAACAGCCATTTGGGTCCAATGGGGCATCCATAGACCCTGGCACGATCATGGCCTCGTATTTCACAGCCCTGCTTCACGGCGTATCGGATTCAGAGTATCAGCTTCCCAAGCCAAATACGGCGCTCCCTCAACGAATCAAAAAGCTCACCACTTGCTTTGGTATGCTGGAGAAAGCACGGAAAGTCCCTCTGCTGATCTCTTATGACTGGTTCAGAGAAGCTGCTCGCATAAAGCGACGTGTTCTAGCCCAGGGCGGCAAGGATCATTCGTTCTTTGAAGATGTTTGCAAAGCCGTTGATAATGAGCCGTCTTTCCTGTCCAAAAACATCAGGGACGAAGCGAAGGACAAGGTGCGCTCCTACTTTCTTCTCGATGAAGAGACCTTTATATTCTCTGTCCCCGGCGCCAGTTACCGTAGTTACGGTAGTTACGGACATTACCAGCTGTTCGAAATAACGCCCATGATGCTTATTGAACAAACTTTGCTTGAGTATGAGCATCAGCCAGCGGGTTCGTGGAAACGTAGCCTCTTTGATATGAAAGACGAGGTTCTAGATGTTTTGAACATATCAAGAGATGTTACTATCGAGAGGGAATACAGAATTCAACTCATAGAGTTCACAAGCTGGTGCGACCTTTGGAATAAGAAATTATTTTTAGGAACCCCGATCTGTGTGTAATTGGTCAGCCTTGATTTTACCAACCGTCTGACCATAGCCATTTAGGTCTCGCAGTACATAGCATAGAATTCTCTAGTGCGTTAAAAACCTTACCTAGCAGAGGAAGAGCAAGGTTTTTAGTATACTGACTAAAGCCAGAGGATGCATGGCACGGAGCTTACGCTACTGGAACTGGATGTCCAGAGATGCAGGACCCTAACTAGGTATAAAGGGGGTTATCTAGACCTAAGGGCAGCTGAGAGGCCAGGTTTGATTGTTCGTAGCCTTGTAAACCTGGGATCTTCTCGCTAGTCTCTGTAGGTCTTCCATCTCAACCTAACCTCTTTAATGATCCATTGTAATTGCAGATGTATAAAAAAAAACAAGAAGAGGGGGTGACATGCATGAATGACGTGGTATAGTAGCGAATTCAAAGGTAACTAGCATGGTTCTGCAATATAAAGATCAATAGAAGAATGTCTAGCTAGGACATACTCTTATGATAATAATCTTCTTCGTATACCAATACTAAAACTGTGTAGGATAAAGAGAGCCCGCAAGTAGGCGATTAGTACACAAGCTACACTACACACAGAATCTTTCATTGCTCCTAGTGTACCTAGAGTGACTAATTAGTAAAGGTGATTAACTTAAGCCTGCAAACCAATGGATAGCTTTTTTAGATGCTCTTTGGCCTAATTAGGGCTATAGGCATCTCAGAAACAGCGTCACAGCGGCCGTTAACAACTTTGCCACTATGTGGTCTCAGTGCGGTTGAGTGGTCGCGTCATCGCGGCATCATTGTTCACTCACTGCCTTGGCTATCTACCAAGAGGCACTGCTTTTTACAACTATTAATATGTTCCGTCAATCTAAAACCAGACGAATTCGCCTACGAGCTGGATTTATTGCACTCACCAAACCGCAAATCGAAAAGCCAGCACTCAAAATGACGGACATTACAAAGGTCTTCCAAGAGCACCAGCTCATCCCGGATGTTCTTCCCGCAGGGACGAAGATCCCGTATAATCTCGGAGTACACTGGCCTTTAGTGAGCCTCAGGGCTCCAGCGGAGAGGCTCCATAGGGATCAAGTCCAAGTAGAGCCGAAAATCACTACCAACTTCAAAGTAAAAACTTGAGTCTCAAGGCGGCCCTTTGAGTACCAAGACCCTGCTGAACATTTCCCTCAGCCCGACGATGTATCCGACGACGAGTACGTCTTGCTGATGGTCGACCCAGACCTCACGCACTACAACGATAGCACCTTCGGCCAGGTCCGGCACTGGCTCGTCGCCAAAGTGGCGCTCAGCCACTCGGGGGACGTCATCGTCAACGGCGGGAGCGCCATCTCCCCTTACGTCGGCCCTGCGCCCCTGGCTGCCCACCTGATTGTGGGTAACGCCCGTCCGTCCCGGTACACATTCCTTCTGCTCAAGCACACCTCTTCGCCCAGCCTCCCCGCGACATTCGACCCACCGACACTGAGGGGCGAGTACGAGGGCGACGCGAGCAAGCTTGGTGGCAGCTCCCAGAACATCATTGACCGCATGGGGTTCAACACGCTGGCGTTTATCGAGAAGAACGGGCTCGAGGTCGTCGCTGCGACGTTTGCGTTTGTCGAAGGCAACGTAAAGAGTAGCTTGACGAACGCGGCGATGCTGGTGTCTGGTGCTGCACAGAAGGCTGTCGGCTATTGAAATGAGCTGTATTGCAAAGCGTGCGGGCATCTGGAGCACAGAACATGGGAAAGGTAGCTCGATGATCCCAGCACTTGTTTTAATAACTTTAAGTAGGGTGCCGAGCTTCGAGCCTTTATCGATTTGATGATAGTGCAGGCAACCAATTTCCATACAAGTAACAAATGCCGCATGTCTGGGGTGCCGTATTGTTTCCCTATGTTTCTGTGTCCATATATCAGGAGTGAGGCGGTTAGATTCCACTCGTTACTTCTCTCTTGGCGGCGCCCGCAGGACGATTTGCTGTGTTCTCACTGAGAATATAACAGATGCAGAATGGGATTGACATTAACCTACAACACGTTCAGGAAGTACTTGCCTGCTGAAGAGTTATTTGACCAAGACCATTCCAAATATGACGCTTCAGGTAAGGCCGAATGATGGCCGGACAACAGCCCATCTCGGTGTCTGGAATAAGCGTATTTTGATTTGCCGTACGAAAGTCTGACCAGAAGCCTTTGTGGTGAACAGAACTGTTGCATAATCTTGCGCTCCAATTCGTATCAAATCATATGTAGCTAGTTATATTGGAAAGTTGTCAGCCCAACGCCTGGATATACCTGACCATCTGTTACCTCTCGGTATCTTGCTGATCATGTCGCAGAACACACAGTTCCATTGATACTCTCCTGAGCGTGACTTTAGGGTTTACCTTCACTATCTGGATCCTCTCTGTCATGTCCATGAATTACTCAGATTTTTGACTCACAAGAGTGGGTAATCCTTTTTATAGCCTTGGTGGCTCTCTCATCAAACCTTTTGAGGAGTCTTAGCATAAATGTTACACATCAACAAGGCTCGAAGCATCCGCTCGTCGTCCATAAAGAGTGTGAAGTCAAGGGTGAATAAGCCCTTTTACTTGTCCTATGAATGTACCCTGCTTTACAGTTTCCTAAAGAGACAAAGGAAGATTAGATACAGGGGTTAGAAAAATGACCGCGTCACGTAATTCGACATGATCTGCATTTTGGAGACACGTCTTTGGCGAGCTAGGAACCTTAATAAATATTCTGGTTTTCCTTGGCCAGAGATTGGCCAGAGGTTGGATAGCCGCATGCCCGATTGGGAGGTTTGAACCAGTGCTTGGCGAATTGACTCTCTTGAATTTCGGATTAATCCTTGTCGAAATTATTATACGTGGAGGCTTCTATCACCAGCGCCATTGAGTTGTTATTTCATAGATACTTGCTCGTGTTTGGCGGTTCAACCCAGACTCCATATCTCGACTATGTAGATTTTTAATATACTGCCATAAGTCTACATACTGTTTGACAACCAACTACAAACGAGAGCGGTCGGAGGAAAAATGCTATTTGACAGATAATCCTTATTTTGTATGGACGTTTAACCGTACTTTGTACCCGAGAGTAATGCACAAACCGGCCTCATTGTCCATTTCCATTTAGACTATCGTCGGCTTGCTGGCTCATCCTTCTTTCCACTCCCTTCTTCATCATCATACACTCGTGCAGCTCCCGAATCACATTCGAAGCCGATCGCTGCCCAATAAAGATCGCATCGAACTGAGCGAGGATATTAGGGTAACCGGTAAGACACTCTCTTGCTTCCCAAAGGAGCCTCTCAGCGAGGTCTGGCTCAGCAGTGTGTTCCAGCATTTCAGCAATGAGGGTATTATATCTTCTCTGATTGGCTTCGTCAACGTGTTCCTGGCCTCATGTTAGGAACGGGTGCGACCTCACAACTTCCAGACACACGGTCATCCATTTAAAGACGAAATTTGGGACATGATTACCTGGATGTCGAATGTCAGATTGATAGAGGGCTCTATGACTTGTTCTTTGAAGTCGACATGGGGATATAAGGTTTGAATCTCTTCGTTCTTCCTGATAGATTCGGCAATCATCCCTTCTCGACTCTTGCCTTCGAGTCCCGCCTGCTGTGCCGGGGAGGAAGCCATCACAAAACTGACACCATATGCAGTGCCGAGGAAAATTATGGGTGGTATAAATTACAGTAATTAGATATAAGAAGTAGAGACAGTCTTGTGGATGATAACAGTCGGATTGCCTGCATACTGACCGAGGCAATTGAGAGATAGAACCGCCGGTTCCGCGGTGGGGGCAGATCCAATCCTTTTATGTTGCTAGTGTGGCGTTACACGCGGGGGAATTAGCGGGCACATACTTGGACACCAGACGGTGCAGAGGATTGTGGCGTGTGCCGATGAAGTCACAGGCTACACAGTCATTGGTGAGTTGGTGCGTCACCTGCATAGATTTAGCTCTCCCTGGCGAGAAATCATGTATGGTGGCTTAGCGGCTTCAGTCACATCTAGCATTAAAGCTGGTACACCCTGTAAGGGAAATAATACCAACACTAGTAGAGGGATAGTAACAAATGCTCTTGATGTGTTTCCTTTCCAAGAGCCACTGGCACCATAGCCTGGATTTCTTTCGCACCCCAGGTTGCAAAGATGCAGCAGATTCTTTAAATAAAAAAATGAACCCCTAAGTGAAAGCGTAAATTCGCTGCAGCGGAGGTAAAACGAAGGGATCGCGAATTGCATGTGATGCACGGTTACCACGGTGTATTATGCTCAGATTAGCATTGCATTTATGTGATTAGGTGGCGATACGGCGTGTTATGATCAGACATTTCCAAGGAAACCAATGTCATCATAATTACTTGATGTTGGTAGTTCATCTCTTAAAGTGCCCAGTAGCTTGATGATTCTAGAGAATGACAGGGTCTGTTAACGCCACTCCTGCCCTAGTCTTCTCTTGCCTTCTCCAGTTCCGCTGGCTCTGCATTCGTGCGGAGGAATAGGCAGACCGATTTTAGAGTAAGTCAAGTCACCCACTTCTGGGCACCCCAAAAATCCCTCAACACCATGACCAGCCTCCCACTTCAAACTATCACAACATTTTCATCCCTTATCCAAATCACTTCATCTTTTGCAGATACCTTCTTCTATACCCTATAGGTCAATATACCGAGTATGAGGTTAGCAAGGCTCTTGGGGATATCGCCAACGGCGTCCCTGTCCAGGCAGCATCTAGGAAATAGGGCGTCCCTCGGTCAACACTTCAGAATCGCCTCAAGGGTATCCAACCTAGAGATATCGCATTTACTGACCTCCAGCAGCTCTCTGTTAGTCAGGAGGCTAAGCTAGCCAATTAGGTACAGATACAGGCTGACCTTAGGCTTGCGCCAACGCATCAACAAGTCAAGGTTTTTGCCCAGCGTATCCTCCATGCTATAGGTAATACCTAGCCTCTAGGGAAAAGATAAATAGACGCCTTTGTACAAAGAAACCTATCTATTAAGGTCTAGAGAAGTTGATCTATTGATTCTAGACGTGTTAATAAGGCATCTACTGAGATTATTAAGGACTAGTTTAAATATCTTGTAATCCCATCAATATCAGCTATTTAGTTAGCTAATAGATATAATATAGATAAGACTAGTATCCTTAAGGGTTAAAGAGCAAATAGGCTAGTGCTAGGCAAGGTAAAGACAAAGTCTATATACAAAAAACAGCCTAGATTACAAGCCTAGGTATCTATTATTAAGTATATCTTAGCTGATAGCCTAGTACTATATCCTCTTGTGATATATAAGGGTAAGATAGTCTAGTAGTAGTAGTTTCTTTTAAATCTTAGCCTTTATGATAGATAGGAGTTTACAGTAATAGAGAATAGATAGACAACTAATAAAACTGCTATTAAGTGGCTACTAAAGGTCTTCTTGCTATAGACTACCCCCTCCTAGCCTAATTAGGCTAGACTACTAGTCCTAGATAAGCATAAGAGCTATATAACAATAGAATTCATATAATAATACTATATTAATAACGTCTATCTATTATTCTTACTACCACATACCTCCCATATCCTTCAGCCACTAGATCAGTCAGTCTTTAGCCTAGTCAAGGCAGCTTATTATAAAAAGCTTTAGCCTAACCTTAGCTAATAGAACAATTCAACTATAATAAACAAAAGACACTTCTTATCTTATTATTAGCTAGCACGCTTAGCTAGGCTAATAAAAAAGAATATTCTAAGTAGCTAGAAATATACTAGACTATAGCCTATTACTATAGATAAACCTCTTATAAGCTCTTTGCTATTACCTAAGGCAATAACACTAGTAATACCACTTAATAAGGCTACCTAAGGTACCCAGGGTATCTAGGATACCTAGGATATAAAGGGATAGGCATTTGCTTCATCTGCTATTGTATAGTCTATACCTAGGAAGATAAGGGACCTTAATAGTTAACTAGACTTATTTAGCAAACTAGATCAAAGTATTACTACATAACGCTAGCTCTTCAGAAAGGTCAAAAAAGGCTTCCAAGAGCAGTCCTTCTAGCTAGCTATTACCTAACACTAGATACAGCTTCTCCAGGCCTAAGTCAGCAATACTACAGCAAAAAAAAAGAAGACTATCAAAATCAACCTTAACACTAAGTTCACTAACATTAGCGATATATGGCAAGCCTAGATCGAGGCTAGTGATGCTGAAATTGACACAGATGAATCCAGCGCATCTAATTGCCCTAGTAAGGCAGAAAGCTGTATCATAGTTGCATCTGGGCCTCGGCGATAGTCAATTGAAAAGGGTGGTGTTGTTGCGATAGCTTCGTTTTGTGGGTGCCCACATGGGTGGGGTGCCCAGAAGTGGGTGACTTGACTTAGAGGTTATTGAGAAATTGAACAGCCTCTTGTTGACCTGAGGCATTTTAGATTGACAAAGGTAGCTTGTAGGTTGTCGAAGTCACCCGAAAGCTAACTAACTTTAGGGTTGTAGAAACGAGGTATCAATAACTGAAGTTGATGCGATGGGAAGTACGTCGGTCGGTTGTGGTTGACAGTGTCTTTTTATGTAGCTCGCTTGAAGTTTGTTCATCGAGAACCCACCAGCCCCCCGCATTCATTCAGATGAACCATTAGACAATCTTAATCTTGCTGTGGCCCGTCGCGGTGTCTCTCAGTTGATGTAAAGGACTCGGTTTTGTACCTCGAATCGACAATGTAGGTTTTCTCAATATTTGAGTAGTTAACTTCGACTTACGATTCCGGCTGATCACTGAGAACAGATCGGCAAACTTTACACTAATAACTGTTTATTTGAAAGTCTGCTAGTATTTAAGTATGTTTGGTGGCTTGCGTACCGTTCACCATCTTTCTTCACTAAAGTTCTGCTTGCACATTTCATTACAACGCCAATACTACTAGTTTAATATCCTTATGAGCTGTTCTACGTATAGTGCTTTTGGTCCTGTTGACAACGTGCTCACTCTTCAAAAATCTTCAACTCCACTAAGCGGACGCGTTTCCCTTCTTGCGGCGTGACTAGGATGCGGACAGACTCTGTAGAAACGCCAGTCCACTTGACGTTGGTGATACCGTTCGCTAGAGGCTCTTCATAGGTCGCGTCGGCGACATCAGTCCACTTGCCGCTTAGAACCTGTAGCTTGTAGCTAATAGGCACATCGAAGCCCTTTTCTTCATTCGCGAAGAACGCAATCTCAGCACGGGCGGTATCGACAGTTGAGCCGAACTCTATGCTGACCCACTCTTCGGAACTGCTGTCCTCAGGAGTATCAAAGCCGTTTGCGATAGCGTCTTGAATCCAGAACCAGATACGTCCATCAAACACGTCGTGGAGACGATCAACGTTGTAGTTGGGAATGGATGCATTGATCATTGGAAGAGGCTCCGTGGCCTGGAGCTGAATTGACTTGGCCAAGGGGCGGGCTACCGAGACGGATGTGCGGATGACTTGGGCAGTGAGTCGCTCGAGCTTATCCGAAGAAGCAACGACCTTGCCATCCACCTCAACGCGCAAACCTGCCTGGCCGTAGTACTCGCCAGTGGTGTCCCACTGAACAGCTACCTCGCGACCGTGGTACAAGATGCGCTCGGCGCGGAAGTAAGAGATGGCAGTAGGATCGGCTAGGGGGTTGATCTCAAGAACATCATCTTCGCGTGGACGGATACCGACGAACCCTGTGAGAATAAGGTCAACGTAGCCAGAGTGGAAGTAGTGGTGCGAGCGACCAAGGCCAACAATCGGTTCACCAGTATCAGGATCGTAGTTCTCCTCAATGTCGAGAGTGTTGTTGTAGTGTTTATTGTAGTGTTGCTGGGCGTACTGCTGAAGGAGTCTGGTGTAGTCGCTCACGGCAACAAAGGATGAGGAGTTTGGGTAGTGGTCAAGCACATTGGCCAATGAGGTCAGTACCTGCGTCGTTTGGTAGGGCCAAGAAGGACCGTTCCAATGGCACTCGGTGTGAGTGCCCTCGTATCTCCACACGCGCATGTAATGTTCGTACGAGGGCTCAACGGTACGCAACCCGAAGGGACCGCCAAGCTCGTCGGGGTTGAGTGCGTGCTTCCAAGCCTTGCCAAACTTCGCATCATCATCAGGGAGGTCGTGAGCCCAGGGGACGAAGCCAGCAAGCTCACGCCCTCTGATGAAGTCCCAGTAGGTTACGTTCTCGTTGTCGACGAAGTAGCGGTCGATGAAGTGCTCGAAGGTAGAGTTCCACAAATCCCTTTGAAGGGTCGCTTTTAGTGCCTCGGCGCGAGTATTGTACTCCTCCACGACGTTATCAAGGCCGCCTTTCAGAGAAGCGATCTTTGCGATGGCACGAGCATTCGCGTACTGATAGGTGTTGATAGTGGGTCGAAACGCATTGCCTCCAAAGAAACCGTCGTAGCCGCCAGAGGCATCGATACTGGAGATGGTGTACTCCGTAGCGTCTGCAATGGGCTCTACCCAGAATAGGCCCTTGGATTTATCGAAATGGTCTCCAACCCAAAGATTGTAAATTCTCTGCATATCGTCCAAGAGAGAAAATGCCAGTTCTGGATTACCATCGACAAGGTAATTTCTCCAAACTCCATCGGCCATGCTCTCGGAGAACTGACGCGGGTTGCTGTCTGAGCTATACATGAATGTCGCATAGTCTTGCTTGAACCGCGGGTCACGGCACCACCGACCTTCAGAAAGATGGAAGATAGCGGCGCAGTTGTTAGAGGCCCAAGGCTGAGTCTGCCAACCGACGTTATCTATAAACTCAGTGGAGATGAAGCCATGCTTTGAGCCGATGTCGCGCTGATGAGTGCGGAAGAGGTTCCACCGGTAGTAATAAACATCAGTGATCTGGGTGTCGCTCGACTCGAAAAGGGTACGCGGTTCTTGTACCAAGGCGCGTCATTGCCAAAGTACTTCTTAGTAATGGCATCGACGTCCAAGATGGCCTGGACCAGACCGGCACCCAGGGGGGCAATTGACAAAGCCGCTGAAAGTCTCATGTTTTCAGAGAGACTAGAGAGCAAAGGTGAATGGGCGAAGTCATGAGGTGGCTGAACCTTGAAAAGCAATGTCTGATAGGAAATGACTCCATAATTATATACGACTTACTGATGTTAATGGCAGTTCAACGACCAGATCAGTATGTTCCTGGATATTACAGGAGACTGGGTCGCTTCAAGGTCTCACAAGCCATCGAATGACTTGGCATCTTGGCTTTGTAAACCAATTACCATGTCTGACACGTCGCCATGTCTAACGAGGTCGCGCCTCTTGTGTCCCGCATGCGGTCTGCAAGTAGCTATGAGCTCGTTGCAGGCGTGCCAATCGAACTGCACCGCTACCCCTGCTATACTATAGGACAACCGCGACTTCAAACCGGCAACACTGATGACAATGAAAAAGGCGGGGAGAGGCTTGGTGAGGGTACAGGGGCTAGGGGTGTCCGCACTCGGTCGATTGCCGCCCGAATGGCACGCTGGTGACTCGAGTTATGGTCTTTGTGGGGGAACGGCGAGCTAGTAAAAACCAAGGAAATGATTAACAGATGCCCCCACCAAACATGCGAAGGAAAGAAATAGGGTTCCTAGCTATTTTTCAAGGTTCATCTGGGTATTTATCACGATTCAGGTTTGACTCGATTATTCTCGAGTGGGAAATACGGGTCAAGCTTGTTTCTCACATCTGATAGGGCCTAAAGCGTGTTTGCGACATAATTATCTAGCTTGGACCTTGCGCTACATTAGTGCATTAGTCCCCTCCGAAAGGCTTCTCGCTTACTCTAGCGCCTTGGATTTTCGCAATAGTTCAGGAGGATAAAGAAGATCAAAATATTGGCTTTCGACTGTGCGGAGAGGGAACAGTAGGGTAAATGTGTTTTCGTAGGTTATGACGTCCTGGTTAGTTCGTTGATGCAGGTAGAAATCCTTGCTGTCATCGTCAGCCCTTGAAACAGTCAACTCCAAACACTCGAGTACTATGTCAAAATTCTCCGGGAAGATTATTATATGTTAGGATCATACTGGCTTATGGTCACATGGAATTTCTGTCTTGGGAACCTTGGCCAGTGAATCTGTGACTTTTGCAAACCTACTTGCAACATTCAAGAGTCTCTCTATTCCTTTGCGGTTATCCTGTACTGCAGAAGACATAAAGCTTCAACAAAGCCACAAGCAGATATCACTGCTCTAGAAATCCTCCCGTTACCTTGTTTTTCGTGCTTGTTAATCTATTGAAGAGAAAGGAATAATTGCATCATGGGAAAGCTCTGAGCGCCTTACGACTTACCGATCGAGGTGCATCCTGGGACATTCGCTTGGCAGTGAAGAGGAACGTCTGGGAGACGGAAAATGGATCTAGGCTTTGCCAATGAGATACAACTAGGCTCTCCAGAGCACTAGCCCAAATATCGCATATGTTTCGTTCTGATTTGTGCTGCTTGATGAGGTGAAGGAGTAGCACCACAATTCCACAGCTTGGCCACCCTTGTCACGTGCGTACATATCGTAGTCTTGAGGAGACTTTCCACTTGGAAGAAACACACATCCTATTAGCTATGAGCGGTGTCTATCCCCGTGTAGAAGAGGATGTCTACGTGAAAAGAACTGTTACGGATATTTGTACAACTGGCATTAAATTACTATAGGTCAGTGCTAAAATGGGCTACGGTTTTTGTCCCTACTTATAATGTCCATGTCTGTAATGTCGCTGGTGCTGCCGTCTTGCCCATGAGTCTAGAATCGGTGACCATCCAACACTTGAAATCGGAAGAGGAATGTTTATGGAATCACCGTCGGTAGACGAGGGCACATTGACTAGGCCCAGCGCATAACCTTCGATATCATGGTCCAGGTCGTCTCGCCTTCCTTTGTGCTTTTTCCTAGACCCGATCGTTGGGGGGGCTGATATATTTACCGAAGCTGATGATCTAGTCTCCGACATCGATGCTAACAGGCGACGGAGTACAGGGATGCAACCGCAGACAACGGCAAGGTTGGCCTCAAGCGCTGTCCATACCCAAAGATCAAAACCTTCCCAGGTGACATCGTACGTTTCTTCTTCAACGTAGTGAGCCCAATAGGTCCTCATGATTCCAGCCACAACAACGACTGTGCCGAGGCTGAAGAGGAAAATAAGCACAAGTCTTTGTGCTGCAGGAAGTCTCAAACGGAATAGGGTGGGTATGGGTAGGATGTAAACGAGGAAATCGGTTGCTACTGTTGTAATAGTCTGACCAGCCAATGGTGGCCACTCATCGAGGCAATTCCGGTTCTGGACAGAGAGGTCCCAATAGTGCCAAGCAGGCCTATACGGCGTTAGAGTTCTCTAACTTGGTATAAGAGGCACCCAAGTTTGAACATGTTCGCAACTTACAAGCACTGCGTCCACAGGACGATGAGAAATATCCATAGGAGGGCAAAGATGACAGCCATGGCCACCCATGTCAACCGTCGGAATAAGGAGCCAAGAGGAGCTATCCTCAGGTAACTGGCGAGGATTGAGAGTTTTGACAATCCAGACGCGAAAAGAAAGAGGGTCTGCCCGGCAATGGAGACCTGTTCATCTTGTCAGTCCCTAGGTCAGGCCTTTGATTTGGCGAAATCTGGTAATGCTTACTTGACGACCGTGTCTCAGCTGATTTGGAGTCAAGTCCCACACATGAAGATTCCATCCATACAGTTGCGTTGCTATTTGCGTGATAGAATATTAGCCATTCTATGTTGGAACTTGAAACCATGGCTAGAAGGAATGCAAGAAGTCGTACCAAAGATGACACAGATTGTGACAGACGCGCAGAATATCTATTATAAATCTATCAGTTCACGTTTTTACATGACGAGACTGCATTGGAACTCACAGTCGCAGCAACCATCAGCCAATCATCCCACCAGATTTTGCGGATGATGAAGAATCTGACGTACAATCGCAGACACAGACAAAGAATTGCAATGCTCAGCGAAGTCAGCTCGATGATCATGAGTGCTGGGCCCGGTCAACGGGATCAAAATAATTCGGCGATGGCCATGATAGGACCACCTTGGCCGGTGGAAATCTCATGTCGTATGTGATCTGAATTCTATTTTCGGGATGACGATAGCTGCATAGCAGAAAATGAACGTTCGTGGCTTCAGGTGAGGCTATGCTTGATCCTACTGGTCTTCAAGAGGATGGGAGGTGAAGGAAGATCTTTGATGAGATATGGTCGCGAGGAAGTAGTCTGAAAGATGCAAAATCCAAACCTTTGCAAACTTTTTGCTCGAATTGGGCAGCTATGAGAGTCTAATATCAATTCTTCAACGGTCCACGATTGAATTTCAACTACGCTGGCGTAACGTGTTTGTCAGATTCAGATAGAACCTTGCTAGTAAACCGCACCATGCTAGTCTGCAGATTTAAAACAGTCGACCAAGTATCGACAGAGCTGATACTTGGGGCCTACCACGTCGACAAGGTTTATAGGGGAGCTGATCAAAGCGACCAAGGTGCAAGCTTGTCTCTCTTGAGTCACGGGTGTTCTGTCTTAGTTCAGACGGAGATGGCGCTAGCAGGCGCCATCCCATGTCATGGCCACGTATCGGCAAGGGCATTAAGGCTTTTTGGTCAATTTGTCGTGGCACGGTTGTTTGATCCAAGTGGCTACGGAGGACTGAAAACAATTGTCTCACACTGTAGGGAGAGACCCGTGTCTCTTAAGGAAAAGAAAAATTGGACTGAATGTAGGACTCGTAAAAGCATTTTTCTAATTCTAAGTTGGAGAAACACATCTGATGGTAAGCTCAACATGTGAATTCTCATGAAAATTCCATTTAAGGATGAGCCCTGGCTTAGTTTCATTGATCGTCAGATGCCCCTACGCAATACCTCACTGAACACCGCCTGAGCTTTCCCCATTGATCGACCGTTAACAAACCCTATGAGGTAGATGTTCCGTACCGGACTGTCTTACAACTTCAGTCGAAGGCTTGACTGACAGCAAGGAGCTTCAGGTTCTCCGAATGATCCGTGCCTTGGTCCATAAGGAGTCAGGAAATGGACCGAAAGCAGCCAACATGACAAGGATTTCAAGGCATGTGGCCTAGAGCCTGTGAAATGCCAGGAAGAATGGGTGTTACACCAGTTTTCAACTGCCGTAGCCGCTGGGCGGAAGAAAACCTCCTTAGTGGAGAATCAGACAACTGCTAGGACTTTTAAGGGCATTCTTGGCTGAGAGCCGAGCGCCACAGCACCTTGCCCCACTACCCGTCAAGGTCCTTTGTTCAATTCACATGTGGGTGAAATTGGTTTATCAGTAGTTGGGTGGCCTTCGGCTGCTCTGTAGTACTGTTTATACAAAGCGAACGTCAATGAGACAGTCCAAAGATAGCGATGCAAATATAACAAGAAAGCTTCAAGCTCTCACAAAAGGATGCCTCTCTTGCAATCTATGTTAGCTAAATCAGGCAGTCGAATTCTAGGCAATGGTAGAGGTATTCCATGACTACAAACAAACTTGATCTTTGCCAGCTCTTCGACACAGGCGGTGGGACTTGGATAACAGACTCTAAGCCGTTATCGACGGAATCCAGTACACGGACAGCATTAGTACCGGACAGACTATGTTTTCGGAAGCATGTCCGAAAGCTCGGCCGTTAAAATCGGATGGCCCAGGAATAGTGCTTTGTTCCCTTGTGTTTTGATGCAAGATATCCCAGGCACGGTGAAGATATCGAACCGTGCTGACAACAGCGGGTATATTGACTAGTTTGGACGTCCTAACCTAGTTCTAGACACTCAATAAAATAAGCTTTGATCTAGAAGCTAAGGAAGGGAAACGAGGGGTTCGGATCATCGGTATGCAAGTCTCGAGTGTCTGACGCGTCTACAGCGTCAAAACATTGAGACGAGGCAACCGCGAAATACTTTTGTGGATCTTGGTACTATGTATGATCTTGGGGCGTCAGAAGAGCGTCTAGGGGTAAAGATTTGCCGCCCGTCTCTTTCGTCTCTTAATTGTCGAACTGACTAATCAGTGCGCTGAAGGAACATTTGCGAGCTGACCAATCGAGTAAGGTACCCAAACGCTCCGCTACTTCTGGTACTGACAGTCCCAAAGTGACTTGATACCTGTGCATTTGATCTCATATAGATTGTTGCCGAACCAGTCAAGACTCATTCTCGACCGAAGTCATGAAGCAGACTGGCGCCAATGATGCGGCATGAACAGCGGTGCTTGCAACACAGTACAATCAAAAGAAGAGAAGACACTCGACCAACTGGTTGACATGAGTTGTGATACTTTGGCGGTAGGCAGTAGATTTCCAACACATTTGTGCGAAAGCAGCGGATTGTATTCGGATTCGCTTACACTGACCGTAATAATATCATTCAAAAAAAGCAAGGATCCAGCTGACTGTCAGACGGTCAACAGCAGCAGGCCTGGCCTGGTGTTTTGTCTGCCCCTGCAATGGGCGGCGATTGGGCTTTCAGCAGCCAAGCATTAATAAATGAAACGATGGATGACCTTGGCAGATTCGTAGGGAGTTACAGCCCATAGGTAACAAGAGGTTTGGTCAGGGTTTCCATGCCTTATTCGATCAGTATTTAACGGACGGGTTGTTGCTTGGAAACAGGAGCGAAGTGCTGTGTTTCTGAAGCATCTCTGTGCTAGTAGAATCATCGAGCAGCCACACCTCCTCGTCTCTCATAGGGCTAGATATACGTGAACTCGAATCGTGGTTGCAGCACATACGCGAATGAGATGACCCAGCGGAATGCCGATGGGTCACAGCTCCGCATGCGCGTGACTGTGTCTGCGTTCCTATTTCGCTCAGACAAGTCCATCGGACTTTTCTATCTGTGCAGGTAGATTGGCGGCCATGCTCCGACCACGGATAGGTGGTCGACGCTCATCTTGCCGAATCAAGACGGAAAGCCTGGCGAGGGATGACGAACAAATTGAGGCAACCCTGGTCTCGATGTTGACCTGGCGTGCCTGAATGGCCATTCGCGCCCCCAATAGACAGGGCTGAGTTGCTAGCGCTTACTGTCTTATAACAGCACCCACTCTTCTTGTTCTTGGTTGTGCGACATCCTGCTTCTAAGTTTCCAGTGGCGTCTAACAGAAGCTTACTTTTGTCGTATTTTCTCTTGCAGTGGAATCCATCGTCGTGTGGCTGTTTATTGTTCTTTAGTGTTGAATCCCAAGGAAAAAATAAAACGGTTGTGGCTTTGCATTGCTCAACACGAGCCGGCACTTGTGCGCCTCTGATACTCCCTTCGAAGCCGCGACTATCACGAGCATCGCGCCAATCTTTGCTTTTTTGGGCCCGTTGCATCCCTCTGTGGATGACGCCCAGAGCTACCAAGGAGGAGAAAATTCCAGCAGGAGGCCGGTCAATGTGGGCCTGAAGGATTCCGCTAAACTAGAGGACTTTGTAGCCTAAAGGCTAGGCGAGACCTATCCCATGTCTGCCTCAGTGTCTCAGTGGGACTTTGGCGAGCTTGGTTGTGCTTGTGTGCGTCTGTTTCCTCATGATCGGTTTCACACGTGTGGCGGCAGCGCTGTACTTAGGCAGGCGTCGGCCAGTAAGAAGTCTTTTGACTGCAAAACCACCTCATCTCTCGATGATCCTTCAGCAGCAGAAGTAGTTGAGGGCGTCAGGGGGGGAGTGTTAAATGAGCCAGTCTAAGCCCTTCCGCCGCTTGGCATGTCTCCCCGTCCCGCTCCTCCTGCGTGATGGTGTATGCAATCTCACCCCTGCGCCGGTTGATGTGCCTTTTACTGTTGGGGTCCAGCATCTTGTCACCCCCAAGCCCCTGCAGGCCTCTTTGGTGTCTGCCTTTTAGATCTCGTCCTCCCTCCCTTTGATCTGCTGAGTTTACCAAATTTCATTCTGGTCTTGGTGCATTGTCCGCGTTTTTGCCCGTCAATGGTCTTGTGACGAATCATCTACGAACCATCCGGGACAATACTGAATCAGTAGTACCCCCCACAAGACGAAAGCTAGCCACATCTGCACCTCAACGAAGCGGTCAAGATGTCGGCAGTCAAGTTGGACTCGAACGCGTGGTACGCCATTTCAGAGGGTCGTGTCGCCAACGTCTCGGATCCTCTCACATCGAATTTGCAGGACACCAACAATGGGCTTAGAGTGTTCGGGAAAACGGACGCGCTGTGGCAATTTCAACCGGTTGGTGATAAGGACGGACGGTATCTTGTGAGACTGAACTCCGCCGGCGTGGGCCAGCAACTTTCTGTATGCTGGAGCTCAGCGGAGGTCCACCCCAGTGGAACGAGGGGGTGCTTAAGAAAGACGGAATCGGACGAGAGTCAACAGTGGGACATTACCGAATGGGAGAGCGAGAAGGGCACGCTCAAGTTCACCAATGTAGCGAATGGCACAGGATACGTTCTTGACGTCCACCCGGGGTCCAACTTATTCATGTCGAGCGAGATTGAGGGTACCGACGGCGTGTCGGCACGGCAGCCTGCCCAGCATTGGATCATGACTAGCTCCAAGGCGGTTGACGATGGAGCATACTCTACCATCTACTCTGCAGGCGTAAGTTTACTTCTGGAATCGTGGATGTGGAGGTGAGAAAATTACTGACAGTTTATAGACAACTCCCGTCGGCACAGCGACATCATCCGGATCGGGATTGACATCTGCAACCGCAACTGCGACAGGAACGGACTCAGGAGCAGTGACACCTACTGCCACCGATGGCTCTACTACCGCGAGCTCAAGCCCTGAGTCTTCGTCTTCTGGAGGGCTTTCAACAGGCGCTGCTGCCGGCATTGGTGTAGGCGTTTCTTTGGGAGCCGTTGCAATCTTGGGAGCCGCGTTCTTCTTCTGGTGGCGCCGCAGAAAAGCCTCCAGAAACGCAGTAAGTTCAGCGAGCGACCGTCATCACGAGCTTGGACACGATGGCAGCACCATTGGAAAGCCGAGCCCTGAAACCGTCAACGCATCTACCGCCGGCTCGCATTCACCGGCCAACGACTATTACGGACAAGAGTCTAAGGTGCTTGGTCACATGCAACCGCATACGCATTCCGCCGAAGCCAATACGAATCCAATATTCGAAGCCCCAACCGACGCTCGATACGAACTAGACTCTGGAATGGCAGTTCCTACTCATACAACCGCGCAAAACGAACTGCCAGACCATAATGCGAGACGGTGAAGATGAGGAGTATAGAATGAGGCTTGTCTGGAAAGAGCCTGAAGCAGGGGAGCAAGGAGGCGACATTGGCATACGAGCGATCAATTTCAATAACATATCAATTCAGGTCAGTGAGCTTGGAAAGGTCAATAAAAGGCCTATGTGGAAGTTAGTGGCCTGGTGCTCGATTGACTGGCACGTAGATAATGACATGGACCCTTCGAAGTTTTGTAAAGGATACCTTTTGTATTTCATGTCTGACAGTTTGTTTCTATCTGGACTAAACAATAGTCGTTTAGTATTCGTTACAATTAGTTGAGGGCTGGTATCTATATGTGCAGGTAGTACCGACGCTCTTCGACTACTCTAAATTCGGCTTTACTGTGACATAGGTGCTGGCGATGAATGGTTCATATAGGACTGGGTCATATACATCATATCTATATATGAATATCACACTTTCAGTAGTTTGAAATCGGCATTTGGACGTCAGAGGCAACAAGCACGCCTTAGCCTTCTGTCAAAGGCGAATTTTCTTTGCACAGGGAAAGAAACAACAAGGTTAGAATCGGACACCCATCTCGAGCATCATGTTACCCAACGGTGCAATAGTAGATGGATTGGCTCCTCGGGTTACCAGCTCGAGTCTATACAATGTTCACATTATATATACAACTCCTTGGTCCTAAAAACAAAGGCGGTCGTCACCATCAATTCTTTCTGATGGGCTCTACGTGGATTTCCCTTGTGTCGAACTCGATGGCCTGGCTGTCCTCGGGTATCATTGAACGTTTGCCACACTTCGACACCTCCTGGTCCTGACCCATAGCAGATTGAATATGGTTTGTCATGTAAGCCGTTGGGTCTTCCACGACAAGACTGCACATCAATGCAACAACGCTGAATGGAATAGTGACGTAAAATACAATCTTGAAGGCGTGTCCGGCTCCAGCTCGCACAGCCGTTCGAAGAGCTTCCTGGACTCCTGGCGTAATACCAGGGACATTGAGTAGTGCTCGAGGATTGCCCATGTTGAACTCGATAGCTGCCGGGATTATGAGGCCCAGATCAGCAGGGTTCAGTCCGTTACTGATGGCCACGTTTGAGATTTCTTCCCCGGCGAACTCGTGGAACTTCTCTTGGAAGATTGTGTTGAAAATCGCGTTACCCACGGCTCCGCCTCCTGATCTGAAGGTACCTAGCAGACCCATGGCCACGCCGAGATTCGAATGGGGGACATGAAGACTGGCAATTGCGTAAGACAGAATTGTGACCCAGACAAACATGGGCACGCCGATGGCAGGAACAAAAGCGTAAGCAAGTTTTTGGTTGGGGTAGACAGTTGCTGCACTGGCGCCGATGAATATCGCCTGAAAGGCCATGCCGATGACAAGTTGCCATTTGATATAGCCCACTTTGTGTGCGATAAGCGGCGCAAGCACACCTGTGAAGCCGATCATCAGTGTATTAGGTAGAGAGAGCACTCCAATATGAATACCGTCGGTGGTGAACATGTACAAGAACCCCTGTGGTAGAAGAGCTGACATGGCGTGGAAATTCATGCCCGAGACGAAGATGACAACCAGCAGGACAGAGTAACATCGGAACATAACGAATAGCTTCAATGGGAACATAGGATGTGCAGCGACCTTGAAGTCATAGGCAAATCCAAGGGCCAAGACTAAGAATCCGATGACGATGGGTGCGATGGCACCAGCACTGTTCCATGGGTAGGTCGGCGTGCCGCCCCACGTCAGGCCGATGAGAGCTATCGCTAGCCCGAATGTGAAGAGGGTTAATCCGATCCAGTCGACATCCTGGAGTTGCTGCAGGCGAGTCTTGTCGAAGTCGCCCCGGGGCCGAGGAGTTGGATGGTAGGAGAACCAAGTGCCGACAAGGGCTATGAACTCGATGATGATGCCGATGCCGAATATCCATCGCCACGAAGTATACTTGAAGAGGGCGTTGCCGAGCAGGACGGAAAGGATCCCCCTGTAGGTTCAAGGTCAGCATCTGGAATCTATTCTGGCAGACGAACATGCTATTTTAACCGCTTGCATTTCATGCGGGGGTTTCCCCAGCTCATCATCATAAGGGAGGTGTGGTATGGTCGGCACGTTGCCTGGAACCGGTGTCCAGATCTGTGTGCCGAAAAGTTGGGGGAAGAACACAGAGTTTCTTGACTCAAGAAGGCATTTGAACCATGCGAAACGGAACGCGGAAGTTACTTAGATGTTCAGACTTACCAGGGTAAAGCGATGCCAGATTCCAAAATTCCCAATCCAAGAGACCGCCACTTATTGGGTAGCATCTCGGGTACGCCTGCGTAGGAAACGAAGACAAAACCGGTCCCGAGGCCAATAAGTGTTTCGGCCGCTATGAGAGTCGAGATATTATGCGCGGCGGCCGCAGCGATGCAACCGATTGCAACGGTGAATTGGCCTCCCAGAACCAATATCCTTCTGCCGAATACATCGCTGAGGGGTCCTGCGAGAGAGAAGGAGCAGGCTGTCGAAAGAGACCATGATCCTACGACCCAGGCAAGTTGGTCTTGCCCACCGAGCTCTCCAGTAACTTGCACAACGACCGAGGCGACGGTGAGGAATGCAAGTCCAACAGGTGGCCCGAAAGAGAACGCCATAGACTGCTTGTGGTTAGCTGGCTATCATTTTGCGGCTCGAAATTTCCGGGACTGTACAAAGATAGCAATCCAGGTTTTTATGCTGACCCGCGCCTCAGCTGGGTTATCCTCTAGCGCCGCGCGGTGAGGATCCTCTTCGAACTCAATTACGGCTTGAGCCTCCTGAGCCATCCGAATCTTCATTTCTCGATCACGACCCATGTTGGAAGATTCATTGTAAGACATGTTGAACTTTTGTGGCCAAAGAGTTGTGAAGATTTGGTGAAATTCTTCAATACGTGTGGGAACATAGCACAGATCGCGACTTCCTCTTAAGCAGACCGTGACATGGCACGGGCTGATATACAGATTGAGATCCAAACCATCCGAGCTTTGGTCTGAGCGGGGGAACAATCCAAAACTTAATGGCTAGCAATGTCACTCAAAACTGCATGCCGCACGACTGGTGCAGGCAACATGAAGCGAACCATCGAGTAAGACGGGGCTGATCAACTTCGTTTATTGCAATCCACCTGGGATGAAGCTGCCATCGATTGGCGCGACGACGTTGTTCTCGAGAAGAGGGGTTCGGCAGATACGAGCACTGCAAAACCTCGACTGTTACATAAAAACCTTCTTCCGATAAGGTTTCTTCTAGGGACGGCAGCTGCTTCCAAAAATTGGATACTTTTCCTCCGTTCTTGGTTCGGCTAAGCTATAGCCCGTGATCTAAAAATTCTCTTATTGAGTGATGCTACAGTGACAGGTGCTCTATTATGGTTTACGCTATTGTGTAGGTTGGTCACAACGTGATTTCAGCTGGGCTTGCCAGCACGTGTCTTCCGAACCACATATCTGGACAAAAATGGATAGGTTTTTGGAGACAGATCTCAAATGCGGTGTCGAAAACTTCGATTCTCAAAACGGGGTATGGAAAAGACTGGTATATCTTTTTGGGTCTTTTAAGTGAATGATTGGCACTACTGTCATCTGATTCTAAACCTAGAGACTAAATACTGCCCCCTCTTTAGTTATTCTACCCGAAGAAAAGGACGTTAAGTTAAAAAGCTTTTTCACTGAATGATAAGCATTCTTCAAAACTTTAAAACTTTTGTTTTCGACTCTCAGGTCGGCCCTCTATTTGTCGTTGACTAACCGTTTTGATTATGTCTTTTCACGCGTCATAGGTATTTAGAAGAGGGTTTAACAAGTCGTAACAGTTCTGGGATATGAGTATGTAGCATATATGTCTCGATGATACGCCGTGTCACGTCGCAAGTTATGGCTGAAAAAAAGCGTCTAGATTGCAGATGGAAGATGCTGAGTACTGAAAAGTGACGTGAGCTTAGGATTGTTGGCTTGATAAGTTTCGCCAGTATCTCTAAATATCAACTTACTATTTTTTTCTATCAGCATGAAGTTTTGAGTGTCTCTTTTCATAAATGGCTTGGACATCGTTCTCGATAAACGATAACAAGCCGCATTGGATGCAGACAATTCGGCACACCCTAAGAGCACGTTACTTGCTGGGGAGTCTCTTGCAAGAGGGTTCCCGAATCTACTGATCTTAATTATCCATTACCTCCATTGCCATCCGTATACGTATGGACATTTAAGCCCGCATGGGAATGCGAGAAGCATGGTGCATAGACGACAAAAGAATATTATTAAGTATTGCTGTGCTAAAGCTCTTTGAATACAGCATGCCAGTATGTGATGAGGACGTTCTCAGGTTACAGGCAGCTGTGCGAGGTCAATGAAGGAAAACGATCAATCACTTTGGCAGCTCATGAAACAATCTCTTGATGGATAACCTTTGAACTTAACGTAGTTGTGGAATGTCCATCTCACTATTTTCTGACGCTATCACAGGTATCAAGTATACTTCAATGAGTCTTATCGACCATGAGCATTCAAAACTTTTAAAGCGTTTTGATGCGAAATGACCCAAAAGAAGGTACAATTTGTACGGTTGCTGAGAGAACTGGTTGCATGAATCATGTGTAGAGGCTATCTCAAAGGCCATGATATCAGATACGGCGTCATGAGTGAAAGCATTCATGAAATGAGCGTCGTTTGCTGAATGAGTTCCTTTATCACCTAACAATGCAACCCTGCTGAGATTGATGCTAGAACATAGAAGCATGTTGGAGTTTGGAGGACTGACATTATCGGCACGTAGGTATCGTGCAGAGGCGAGGGCATGATGTAATTGCGTGAACGCTCAGCTCAGAAGCAGTGCGACGGTTCCGAAAGTCACGTTAAATGCTTTGTAAGAAGACAGACTTCAAACAGTCGGGGTAGATTGAGAATGGAGTGATTAGCCATGCACGATCTAGTAGTTGGCCACATCGTAATCTCAAGGGCGTGGTGAATTATGCTTTTCCTACCCATATTTACATCTCCATATCTCAGCCCCCAGACAGCCACAGTATTTTCCTTATCTGCTCAGTATGAATCAACTCTTACAAAAGATGGCAGTGTGGTATAAATTATTACAGATGACTGATGGGTAAGCACTACAATAGGCAATTTGAACTAACACATTGGTTTAGAAACTCTTGAGGAACATGTTGAAACGAGCTACTTTCGTGGTTCGGAAGAATTATTGGGAGCGATTCCATAGGTCCAAGAGCCGAGTCTCCCATTGTTAGCATCAACTGAGATGATTCACGATGATGGGCTAGAGTTGATGGATCAAACATTTGTACATTATTAAGTATCGCCGCTGTATCAAACAGCCCACAACACATCTAAAAAAAAGTTATTACTTAAAGAAAAACTCAAGAAGACCGTGAACCCAGCAACTATTATTCCTATCCCTTCTAAGCAATTCTAGATTTCCATGCTCTGACAGATCTTCACTCCGTAATGAGATGATTGAGGAATCAAGCCTTGAATGCTCTGGCAACGAAGCGAGGAGTAGCAGGTGTTGAGGGAGGTGCGGCAGCGGCGGGTGCCCCCGGAGACTGGGCATCAGCTGGAGTGGTACCTGATGCAGGCGTAGCGGCGGCGCCTCCCGGAGCAGGTGCTGCTCCAGCGGCCGGAGGTGGTTGGGTAGCAGCGTCGGGCTTCTCGGCTTCAGGCTTCTTGCCCTTCTTCTTACCCTTCTTGCCCTTCTTGCCCTTCTTCTTCTTCTTCTTCTTCTTCTTTCCCTGTGCATCAACTTCACCATCATCGGTAATGTCGTCAACTTCTTCTTCTTCCTCGAACTCATCAATGTCGGCGTCGGCGGCGGGCTCAGGAGTCAAAGCTGAAGGAGGTGGCTGTGCCTGACGGGCAATGAGGCTGGAGCCATGGAGAGACATATCGCTAATTTTCTGTTAGCATGGTCAAAACATACGATAGGACAAGCTAATGCTTACTGGATCGGGCCATCCTCTTGCTTAATCACCGAGAAGGGAGAGCATCAATGCTGACCGCCAGGGCCGACAAGGTAAGAACGGTGTGAAGAAACCTCATGTTGGAGTATTTTGTAGAGAATGCAAGTGTATGAGAGCTGATTGTAAGAACGAGACAGAAGAAGTGAAGTGTGTTGAATGATAAGAGAGATAACTTACAGAGGATTCTCTCTCGTACTTTATAGGAAATAGATCTGGGGGAACACCCCATGAACCTCCACTACATCTAAGATTTCCGGTTTGGGAGATGCCGTCAACGGTGACGTTGAGTTTGTCGTCTAAACCTGCATCTGAAAGGGTTTCGGTACTCCGAATAGCACAGCAGTTCATCCAGGAAAGCACATACCAACCCGCGGAGTCTCCGTGTAACGGTTCAACAATTAGACAAAGCCCCACCGTTCCCGAACCTCTGGTCTTAGATGTCCCACGAGGCTCATTCTTAGTTGGGAAAGTCTTTTCGAGGTTCAATTTGCGCCAATGGCTCAAAGCGGGCCACCATACTATGCTTCAAAGCAATGACGCTGAGACCTTGACTAGGTTCATTGAACACGGACATTTCATGAGTGAAAGCCGTTCGTCTAGTCTCGCAGTCAAATGACACAGCCGGTTATCAATCAAAGTTGTCCGGTCGCTCGCGCAGCCACGCAACCAGAAAAACTCTTCCAATCTGAAAAGATCAGAAGATTCAGTCGGCGAACACGAGTGTGCGAGCGAGTCGCACCAATACCTTCTGCAATCTCAAATGGTTGTCGTTTTGCTATCTGGACTCTGCGCAGAGGTGACGTCGGTTAGATGCGCTTGAGCACTTTTATTAGATTGGCTTCCATGCAGCATTCCATGCATGTTTAATCCATATTGCTCAGTAACTCGAGACACGCATAGTCTTTCATTAGTATATGCTGCTAGATTGCATCCCGCGTTGTTTAGTATCGACCTTGCTTATGTCGTGGTTAGGTCCAAGCAATGAGAGTTAGTTCGAAGACCTGCGCCCCCGGCAAAATAATCTGCGGACATGTCGAGAGCGCTGCGAAGTCTGAGCTTTGGACAAAACCAGCTTTTGAGCATAGCGATCAGGGACTAACCGTGACTTTCTGACCTCAGCGTGAGTTTCTGCATTTTGATTTGAATTTGAAGGCCATCTTTGAATCGATCAGGAAGTTAAATTTAAGAATGGCAGTGGATTGCAGCGGTATGGACTGGCTAATGGTTTTGGCCAAGAAGGAAATTGTAGTAAACATCAAGTGCTGTCACTATGCAATGCATCTCTGACAGAGAGGTCAGGCGATCCATCTCGGTCTTAGGCTCCTTTCTCGGCTGTCCAAAGACTGGCTTTGCTTCTCAAAGCGCTTTACCTCACGAGAGAAATGTCACCATCACAGTGTTTTCATCAGGTTGGAGTCGTGGTCACGGACTCTCTGTTCAGCCATTGAGTTATCAGCGCACCAACTCCGTCGTATTGCTAGTCAGGGTTGAACCCACGCGGTCTGAGTTGAAGCATTGACCACAAGACAGCGAATAATGTGGTCAGGATCGACTGCGACTACTGGTTTCTTGTCAAATCGGCAGGTAGCCGAGTGGTGGGGGAGTAGCATCGTGGGCAATCGGACAAGACCGCACGCGCCGATTCTGTATCGTATCAGACGAACTCAGCGTCGACAAATCAGAGTCTCGGGTTCGCCATTGAGCTTGGCTTTGTGCCTTGCCAAGAATTGCCGTATATGGAGAGCGCTATGTTTGTTTGTAGTTCATCCCCGTACGACAGCCGAATTAGGTTTTATCAACCTGCACGGTTCGGCCCGAGAACATGAGTGAGTCGCTCGCAACGTGAATGTGAAGAAAGATATCGAGAATTCTAAGCACAAACAAAATAGCCAAGAAGCTTCTGTGCTAATACAAACGTCGCGTGACGTCGAACATGTTTTTCGTCCCATTTGGTTGAGTTCTAGAAGAACGGCTGCCAAACGTTCCGCATCGCGCATCCCACCTGTAGATGGATCGTAACGCCTGTATTCATCGGATTGATAAGACATCTGCCCACATAAACAAGCTTTGGACGGCATTCCCTTACTTTCGGTCCTAATCATGAGCAGTGTCGCAGCAATAACCTACATTTACCTGCATACACCAATGACATCCAGAGTCTGTCCCCTAGACTGCGTTGATCTCTGCTGAAATGGATGCTCACATTCCCGCTTTTCGTGTTCTGGTGCATTGTCTTGGACATCCAACAGGCTCCGGCGGGACTAAGAATGACTGTTAACGGCTTGACAGCCAGAGCCGAACCTTATGTCGCAGCTTTGACGACAAAGTGGCCTAACATTGAAAGCTTGACGGTAACCACTTTGTTAGACTCCCGAACTGCCAAGACATGACCAAAGCTTGCGAGCTCTGCGAGCGTCGTTCAGTAATAGTACACGGCTCCAAGACGGCTACGAGCACGGAGTCAAATCATGGTATTACAGAGTTTTGAGAAAAAGTTTGATCATGATGCGACACTGTGGCATCTCCTCATGACCCTTGGTTTTTTGTTTTTTCCATACCTAGGCAAAGGACAATTTGTGGTCAGTGTTCCTCCCGCATCCATCGCATCATGTAACGCTCAATTTCCTTGGTTCCTCGGTACTGCTCAATCAACTGTTCATTTCCCGCAATTCCAAGCTTCTGCTCGTGTCGGAAAATCTCCTTTGACCAGTGATCATTGTCGATAGTCCACGTTCCCAGATCCTCGAATTCCAGCCTTCGGTAGAGACAGTAACCCTCAGCCGAAGCGACGAGAAATGTAGGGAGCCTCTCAGCATCACTGATGTCAATGACTGTCTGCAGAAGCTTTGCCCCAATCCCCTTTCTCTGGTGTTCAGGGTCCACCATGATGTTCTTCACGTCTGAAACCCGTGTCAGTGGCAATTGAATTTGCAGGACATAAGCGGCCAATAGACCAAGCCCTGATTAGTGCCTTATCCAGGGATCTCACAATTGTGTTTTCGCCCGTTCACTGCCTTCATGTAGCACTCATCCATTTCATCCTCCCTAGGGTGACCAAAGCGCTCCCATAGCTCCTTCATGTGAGGCTTGATCGTGAAAAAGGACGGTACGATGGGTTGACTCTCGGAAGGTTGCATTGATTCTACCGCCGTAGGTGCATCAAGCGTCTCGGTGGCATCGACAACATTGTACTTTATGAAACCCACAACGGCGTCTGATTCGGGGAGAGTTGCAACCAAAATCCGGTTCTTGGGGTCTTGTAAGGCGGCCCTGGTGGATAAGAGTAAGATCTCTCTTGGATGGCGCTCGAAAAATGCCGCATAAAATTCGTGGAATTGGTCAAGAGCGGCGTAGTGCACCTTAGCGATGGCATCACTATCCCCCTCTCTTGCTCCACGGATCGTGATTGTTGATGCAGCCGCCATTGAAACTATGGAAGCTCCGAGAAAATGAGAAGAAAGATGTTAAAAATAACCGACGACGATCTCGAGAGTAACAATGTGACAGCGCAGGGCATAGCATCGAGGAAGCGGGCTACGGGAATATGTTGCTTAAAGCCGGAGGTGCTTCTGAAGGATCTTAGCGTTGGTGACTTGTCCTTTGGCGTTTTCTTCGCGGCAAGGACAAGTAGACTTAGCTACGTCACTTGACTGCCTAATGTGGTCGACCGGTATGGAGATGGGAAGTTAATAGCGTAGCCAGCGGCAAGTGAGATATGCCCCTTCTCGTGGCTGAATGGCTGACCCTAACTTAATAGGTGTGGCTGACCAACCGGTCTCATCCCATCCTCCGGTTGCCTCAGGTTGCCCTTGTTCCAACCACTACATCAGAGGCATTGGAGATCCAACAGGTGAATAAGCAGTTAAAGGCTTGACCCCTAATTGTGAGTGATTAGAAAATTTGGACTTCAAACACTATTCTTCCTGTCGCTTTTGACATGCATTATTAGGAAAAAGAAAAGGTGGAAAAGGAAAAAGGGGGGGGAAAAAAACCATTAACAATGCCATGGTTAGGATGACCTTTTATCAATGCTTTCTCAATGGGCATGGCAAGTGGAAAGACACTTACTGCTGTCGTCTGCAAAAACCCTCAAACCTTCCGTGGTTTACCCAAAGTTAGAAGTCACCATGGAATCAGAAATGCCACAGTTATGCTTGTAGAATCTAGAATTCCGCGAGGACACATTGTCCTTTCTCCAATGGCATTTCAAGCTGCATATGACTGCTATATGAAAGGTGAAGGAAGTAGTATGGGAACGCTTGAAAGAACCGAAGGAAAGTGTTCAGCCACTCAACATTTCTCTATATCTCGATCGTTCCAAGTTATAGTCCCATATCATGGACACCAACAACAATACTAGGTTCCATAGGGACCATGTCCACACCATCGACTTCAACCAAGATCTCGGATCAATCGAAACACTGCGACGCTACATCTCTCTCAAAACACTGCTGGACCCGATGACTTCCGCCGCAATACAACAGGAAAAAATGATGAGCGTCAAGAGCATCATCTCGAGCATATTGGCGAAGGGTTTTGCGCTACAATATACGATTCTGCAAGCGGAGAAGGTGTCATCAAACAGACCAAATGATGGAACAAGCACCCAGAGTTGTGGACGGACTACACTATTCACCAACATACCTACTCCGCCGACCTGAGGAAGGGTGTACAGGTTTGCATTCCTCAGCCGGCGTACTTTATCACCCCGCAAGACATCCACATATGGTATACTTGATATAGAACAGCTAGAGCGCTTCCAGATGATCCTATCCTTCTCACCAAGTCCACGGCACTCCTTGTTTCCGAGAGAATACTAGCGCTGCCCCGGAAGATTCGAGATGCACTCATTGACACTTTTTGCCCAGAGGAACAGAAGGAACTTGCATATATGAACCAGAAGAACAGGAACTGCCTGCTGCGTATTTATCTTGGCCGTCGTCGAACAAACAATCGGGTCGAGGGCGACTTCACTCTGCGGAATTTTGAGCTTACTTTGGATAAGATGGAGATACTGGGGGTCGACCCCATGCCATTCGTCACACCCATAGCTGAAGCGCTCGCCGTCATGCACTGGGAAACCCACTATGACGCTTTCGATGTCGAGTTTGATCTAGGCTCGTCGCCAAAGACGAGGACTCGATGTGTTCAGCCTGGAGATGATGCATCGGTTGAAATGGCAACCACCTGGAATCGAGAGCTCGGCGACAACAACCCCAAATGTCTACAGCGGGCGGTAAACGTTTGGCTTCTTGACTTTAACCAGGTTGGAAAGATCACACTGAACGAAGAAGGCGTTAAGAAGGCGGTGAGAGGGTTCTGAGATAATGACCCGTACTATCCCTGGCCAACTAGGGAAGAAGACAAAAAGAGCAACATCGAGGCAAGGTTATGGGAGGAGTTTAAAGATTCCTATCTGACCACTAGCTTTGGTGTGGCGGATGATATCTCCCTTCCTGTAAGGTTCATTGAAAGGGTCGAGGAAGAAGCTATTGTGAGATCAGCAAGCGGATCCTTGCTTCAAGGCCCCCCGATATGCACCTTGGGGGCGGATCGCGCGGGGATGGCATGGAGACAGAATGCAAGGCTACCTCAGTGCATGCACCAGCGCAGGGTTCAAAAAACACCCACCGGCAGGCACATGTTGGCGACGTAGACATTTCAGAGCATAATCGCAAGACGAAAGGCTCCGCTAGAAGATGCCAAAACATCAACTCGCCTTCGGTGCACTTAGGATAGTCTACCGTCACGATGACTGGGATGGAGAGTCTCTCCTAACACTCGTACAGGATGTCTTTCATCGTCTCTGTTTTCTTTTTTTCTTCCTTTTTTTCCTTTTTTTTTCCCGGGGGGGGGGGGTATTTTCGCACTCAGTTCGTTTAATTTCGTCATCTGGTGAAGAATGACTGAGAAGGACTCGTGATACCATCACTCTAAGCGCAGCCTACTATCAAGAGGATATCTCAGCGAAACATTCAAACCCGGTTTATTCGACAACTAAGAATTACAAAAGTCAATTGACAGATACCAAAACACTTTAAGGCTGAGCAAAAGCATCTCTCCTCTTTACGTAGTTTGTCTCAAAAGAAAGTCCTGAGTTCATCCGAATGACGCCATAAATTGCCGAAGCATCCAACTGCCGTCCTTCTGTCTCGGCAAATTCTTTTACTTTTTCCAGCTGCTTCATTACTAGTGAGGGGATTTCCAGCCGTATTTTGCTTTTACAAGCGGTATCCATAGCCTTTTTGGCAGTTGACAATGCAAGGCCAGCATCAGACCATGGCCGCTCGCCTCGTGGGGGTATGTAGGCTCCATTTGTCAGTCGCCGTGAAACGAAAAGCCCTATAGACCCAATCTGCTGCTGAATCAAAGCTTCAACAGCTTGTACTCCCAGTCCTGCCTTTTCGGCGAAGACGTGAGCTTCGGCTATAACTTCTACCATACCCATTGTAATGGAGTTTCTGTGAAAAGTATTACATTTCAACCTTTTTTGTTTTGTGTTCAGATTTGTACGTACGCCAGAGACTTCATTAAACTCGCGAGCTGTACATCTTCTCCTAGCATCACGACACCTCTTCCCATTGCGGACATGATGTACGGACTGATTGCATCAACGGAAGCCTCAGCTCCAGCCAAGATCCAGATGAGTTGTCCTTGAGCAGCGGTAGGACAGGTTCCCACAACGGGTGCTGCAACGTAACTCGCCCCTCTTTCTTGCAGTTTCAACTTCGCCTTGACGGAAGTGTCAGGTTGAACGGTTGTTGTGTTTACAACGATCTTCTTGTCGAGATAGGTGGGCAGTTTTCCCGCTTCGAGCATTTCTTCCAACACCGACTCGACCGCCGCGTCATCACTCAGAGATAAGAATATGATGTCTGATCTCGCAACGAGGTCGTGAATCGTGGAAGAGATCCCTCCGATTTCGCTGAGCATCTCACCACGGGATTCAGTGCGGTTATAGAATCGGAGACTTGGTGCCTGTTTCTGTGATAAGTGCTTTTGTAAATTAGTCGCCATGGCTGAACCCATAGTTCCCAGTCCTGTTGATTTGTTTCTCAGGTAAGAACAATATGTACAATGCAGCGTCTGATATGGGGCTGGGTTTAAACTTGCCTATCCATCCTAGTTTGCTGCTAGAAAGAGGGCTAGGGGGGGTCGGAGAGTTGTACATTGTGGAGATGGCTAATATACTGATGTTAAATCTTCGGTTGCTTGTTGACAGGGAAACGAGCCCCCCTGAATAGTTAAATGGTATCTTGTTTATATATCAAAGCTCGTGCGAGACTGTATCACGGAAACAAAGTTGTCTGGTAGAGTTTACCCTGCATTGGAAGCGGTCGGCGGGGCTTCGACTTCAAGTCCGACGGAAATGATTGTCGTCATGATAAATAACCTTTGGCGGTCCTAGCATCCGAGCTCAGCTCGACAAAGCCAAATAACAGAGCCTGGAACGTCGGTCTTCAAAAAGTATCAATCAGGGCAATCATCTTGCAACGCATCTATCTACGTCACAAGCAATGACGCTCATATGTTTCAGGTGCTATGAACACCCTTCGAACCCAACCGGTGGATGGTATGCGGAAGTTTAGCTTTTACATCTTACTGCGCAGACGAAACTGTGATTTGGTCGTCTAACACCATTGCATAGACGGAAGATAGCCCCTTGAGTATAATCAAAATCTTCAAGCCACAAGCTCTCCCCGGGCATGTGCATAGAGTCACGTTCGGTGATGACCTCGATCTGCCCTAACGGTACATATCAGACTTGATTGAATGCGATGCAAGGATCTCGGTTTCTACATGAGGTAATCTGGGTTTCTAAACTCAGATTGAATTGCATTTTATACCCAGCGTCTGAACTCCCCAGCGGGATACTGCATGCACCAAGTAGTTAACAGGCACTTGACAAAAGTCATTTAAAACTCTTCCTCCTCAACATCATAAGCCAGAGGCTTCTGACCCAGGCCCAACTTCTCCAAGCCTGCTATCTTGTAAACCCACAAGCCCCCGGAAATAGCTAGCTCATTGGCTCGAAGACGCCATGGAGCCGTCTGCTTACGCACCGACCCGTTTCGTTCCGCTGTATCAAGCATCTGCTCCGTCCTAGCCTTGCGCTTCTTCTCATATGCCTGCAGACCGTCGTCGATGTGAGAAATGTTGCTTTTCAACAGCTTTGAAAACAAAAAGACATCTTCGAGTGCCATGGAGACTCCCTGACTGGCATGCGGCGGCATCGCATGAGCGGCATCGCCAATGATAAGGCAACGTCCCCTGGACCACGGCCTCCTCCTTGGCATCTTGTAGATCGGGTAGAATTGAACAGACTTGGTGTTCCATATGATATCCCGCACCATATCAGTCCACTCCGACTTCTCTTTCCCTAAAAGATCGAGCAAGGTGTTTTTGAAATTGTCGGCTTCTGTCCTGCCGCGCTCCTCCCATCCGTCACGCACATCGCCTCCGGGCGGGAGGGGGACCTCGCGCGAAAAGAACCAGTATAGGAGATCACGGTTCGCTGTTGCAGGCGTTAATGCGAGGAGCCCATTCGATGTAAGAGTTGCTGTGAGAGTCCGAATAGACAATGCGGCGGGTGAAGCGCTCGCGGTTGGAATGAGGGAATACATGTTCGAGAAGCCGGTGTACTCCGGTGTGCAGCCCGGATCAATGTACAGGCTGCGAACCGAAGAATGTATTCCGTCGCAACCGAGCAAGAAGTCGCCCGTGTCCATTGTTCCATCAGCGAACCTTGCAGTGACCTTGTTGTCTCTTTCGTCGATGCTTTGGATGGCTTTAGCGAAGTGGATCGGGATGCCTGCTTTTTTGACAGCATGCAGCAGCACGTCCATCAGGTCGGTTCGCAGGATCCGCAAGTACCCGAATCCGGTTTGCTGCTTGCTCCATGACGCCAGATCCATCTCGCCCATGACACATCCTTTGAGAGCGTGCAAGACAAGCTTCGGCGTAGAAGCGCCTTTGGCTACGACCTCATCGTACAGACCTAGGCGATGCAGAAGACGGAGGCCATTGGACGGTATGCCTACGGCTCCGCCAAGGGTGGTTGGTTTCTGTCGGATTTCATAGACCACTGGCGACAACCCGTTGCTGTTGTGGAGTTGAAGTGCCGCTAGCAGCCCGGCCGGACCACCTCCGATGATAATAACCTAACATCAGAGTTAGTTAGACTGCTCTTCAGTCCTGAAGTCATTCCATGTTTCTTCTCACCTTTTCGATACTTTTTAGTGCGTTCGCCATGACTTTGGTTGCGATTGAAAGCTTGATATGAGCTGTTGATCCAATGCCAAGTGGTGCAGATGCTTTGTTATATTGTCAGATTGTCGCTCATTATCATGCAATTTCCTGCAAGAAAACCAGTCGGCCTTTTAGCTACAACTCCGTCGCCGATGGATGACACATTACGCGGACATGGAGGCTGCCGCGCTGGAGCCGAACACCCGTCACGGACATGTATCTGCATGATGTTGACTTGCCGACTCCGTGCAGGGCTCTCACGTACCCTCTGCTTAAAATAAGGCACTCGTCACTTCCATCTAACTGAAAATGGATTCCAAAGCGATTTGGGGGGGGGGATCTCGACCGGTTATCTGGAGTGGCTGGTTCATCGCTTGACCAGGCTGCGCTGGCGACCGGACTTTTGCGTATCCTGTAAAACTCCGGTTCACATCTGAGCATTGAAGTCAATGCTTGATAGGGGTTTCACCCCGAAATTGCCATCGAGATCAACTCCTTCATTGCAAATTTTCTTTCGGGGATCGGGTCCTTGTATCAATGTTGAGGATGAATTACATTGTAGAAGTTGACCTCGTCCCCATTTTCTGAGAAAGCGGCAATTCGATTAACACGTGGTTTGTTCTGGATACTTTGGCTGTTGACACCTCTCTTGCGAAAAAACAGCGCTCCACAGGGCGTCTTAAGCACCTGCAAAAAAGCCAACCTCAGAAACCCCTAGAGGAGGGTGATGATATCAAGGTTACAATGCGAACATTGATTCAAACACCGTAGAATGCTTTCGCATAAGAACGATAGACTTTGCTCCTGTAATACTGGTATGGAGGAAAAGGTAAGGCGAGGACGCTGATGTAAGGGTTGCACGACAGCGAGCCTACAATCTCGGTAACCCACTCATGTGTGCGCTGACTGTGACATAAGGGGTTTTGTCTATCTGTATTCTTCAGTCTAAATATGGTGTAGATTTTGTGCCCGTGACTACTCTTCTGGTTATCTGGCGTCGTCTTCCCAAGTGGTTGGTCTTTCATCGCCTATAAACTTTTATCCGAAATCACACCTCGGCTCGAGTTTGGCTTTCAAAATCGCCAAGGGCAGACAACGATACCCAGTTCTTGGAGGGACAGGCTTGACCAAGCAGCAAGGAAAATATGAGATAGGCAAGGAGTTAAAGCCTGTGTACCTTGGGGATCCTGGCTCCAGCGGAGGACTGATCGACATATTCGCAGCAGGGCATCGACAAAGACAGCGACCATTGAAAGGATCCGTTACAAAGCATTGAAGTTGTGTAATCCCACTGTCATTCCTACGTGATCTGTATGCTGGACGTTAAGCTGAAGGCAATGGGTACCATCTTCAGCGTTATATGCACCATTTTCCACACTGGCTGAGAACACAATCCACTTTCATGGATAACTTTTTCAGCTCCGTCTTGAATACTAAGCTCAACCACACTTGCTGTCTCCCCATAACTATTGAGGAAGCAGTCTTTCGCGATCACCCATCTGCTCGACGAAGCAGTGCGGATCTCGTAAAACGGCGAGTCCATGATCATGTGGATCCGACTACACTGGCGTCAACCGAAAGAGCGCAAGGAAAAGAAACAGCAGATCCTCTGATACCCGGGTGTAATAGAATTTAGTGAAGTCTATCATCCACCTCTAATAGTTGATCGGCAGTGCCGACTCGGCTATCGGACCTCTGAAATGCAGGGAAAGCTTCTAGAGTTTGCAAGAAGACTACGTAGCCCCTGGCAAGTTCGAGCAGCTCAGCCCTCGGAACTCCGAAGATGAGGTTATGCAGGGTCTCTGAGAATGACATTATTACATGGCGCGTGTCATCCTGGGCCTGCATGCATCACACCCGTACAGGATGACTCGCGCCGTATAATAACGTCAGCAGCGCATTGATGACTGACCATGGAAATGCTGGCAGCCTAGTAAGATACCTTGAAAAGATGAAGGTAAGGATATACAACGTTATCATACTACTTTACAACTCACCTTCGACATAGCAGACCCCAGTATTGCGACACCCGGGTTCTATGTGGTCTTCGAGCTCTGTTACGACTCAAACAGAGCGGCGGCGAAGCCGAGTTCATGACCACATTCCCTTATCTCCAAGTCTGCCACGACTTGACTGCTTTTTTCCCCCTTTGATTCTCCATCAGAACAGAGTGTAAGGGAAGGGATACTCGCAGGCGTAGACCACGAATCTACGGATCTACTTTGTCGCCGTGCGGTTATATCGGAAATCGGCAAACCTGTTGCAACGCTGGATAGTCGGGGGCAATCCAAATAACGAATGCAAAAGATGTTGATTCAACCCGTTGTGTAGATCAGTATTACTTTTACCGTGTCGCATCCAGCATCAGAATTTGGCCATGGACAATGAGACGATGTCAAGGTTTATAATGTTGGTCTGCTTACCGCAGGACCAGCCTTATCAAAATGTCGTCTTGTCAGCCTCTTGATAAACTAACATGCACAGGAGAAAAAAGTTCTACGTGGCGAAAGTGCTGTCACCATCGCAGATTACTATCTGCCTTCTCATAGCACAGCCACGATCTTCTTGCCATAACTCTTCAGACCAATGGATTCTGTGAAATAAAGGCGAGCCATGAGAAACTCGAGACTCGAGATAGCGAACCCAGCCTACCGAACTCTTAAAAGACATTTCGGAAGGTCACATCGCTACGATTCAGGCTAAAACGAGCCACTGGGTAATACTACGAGCCTCGAATATCTAGGATTGTTTCCGCATGGCGGAAGGATTGCGGATGAGGCCCAACGTCTTGATGGCTGTAGTGGGCCGTTTCTCATGAGGGGGTTAGATACCAGCAGACTGACTCTTGTTGAGGAATGCTTAGTACATTTCTATGAGCGTGGAGGCTGCCGAGCATATCCACAGTATGAACTAATTAAGTGGTTGTTATCCGTTCTTCAGGGCTTACTATCGACCAAAGCGCTCGCCTCCAGCTTCAACTGAGCGGGATAGTAACCATCAACGACAGGCCAAGATCCACTGCACTGGCTGGAACTGCTTCCATTATCGGCCCAATTCGGCGCATGGCTAACGACATGCCAAGGTCATTGCGGTCTTGATACAAGACCCAATGGGTCTTGACGTATTGGTGTAACGGAAACGCCGGAATACTAGCGCGTGTTTGACGGTTGATAGCGTCCAACGTACATTATCCTTACTCTCCCGCTTCAACATGATGCCAAGTTACCGCGCAGACGACTGAATTAGCGCGAAGTCTCACGAGAGCCAAGATGGACGTGCCCACCTGTCATGACTGACCTGAATATTGGCCGTCTAAGCAAGTGGCGTCTCCCCGGATCCTGCGCGCCGGCGTAGCACCGATATACCCGAAGCAGGGTGCAACGTTGTTAGTCGGCCGCGGGGGACCGAAGTCGTGGGTCATCGTGGTGGGGATGGGTGCGCTTGTATGCGTCCCGGGGCCGAAACTCCACCGGCCTTGAACTTGGGTTTGTAGCGTGGGGCCGGCGCGAGGGTCGCAATGGGGAGAGTGTGTGAAGCTCTGGAGAATACGATTGGAGCGCGAACAACAAAAAAGTCTGGGCTGCGACTGGGCGTTTGAGCGTTTGGGCGTATCTTTGTCTTCCTGGTAAGCTCCGCCACGCGCCAATCACGGCCAAGACGACAAGGACGAATCCCGGGGCGATTCTAAGTGCCGAGCCTGAGTATAGCCTATGCACTTACAGTCTCCGTTTTGGGTCTCTATTCTGCTGAACTGCTCGTTTGTTTGTTCTAGAACGCCGAGCACGGCGCGGTTCGGAGTGTGCATGAGGGTGACATGAGAAACAGACTCGCGTTGTGCGAAGTGCTGGGCAGACCATGTTCTGCCTCGTCGGGAACAAGCGCCAACGTCGTGGTGCTGCCCCGTTTACCCCGATATTGGCGCGAAGTCAAGCATCACAGGCTCCAGTATTCTCAGCAACGGCCATGCATCTGATGGACTCTTTGACATGACCCAGATCTGCCACAAGTTTCGACTGCAACCAACACGTACAAAGTAGATGTCCTTCATTGTGAGATGAAATGTCCAACCTCTAGTGGACTCAGCTGGGCTTGCTTGGGGGTCCCTTTGGGGTGCAGTGATTCTTTGATGTCGGGTGGACATTTGGGGTATCCTTCCAGTCGGGTCATGACGCGCTGGACCAGACAACGAGTCCGAGGTGTTCGGTGTTGTCGTGTCGGGAAGAAGACATCGTGACACTCGTGACTAGGACCATGGCCTTGGCTGGCTGTGACAGTCAGATATCAGGACGTCACCGTCGTGGGATTGAAGCCCAATGAGAGTGACGCTTGCATTGCGGCAACGGGCGAAAGAAATAATAGTACATAGTACATAGTAAGAATCTTGGACAAAGCCGTGCAAGAGGCCCGGTTCCCTCGGTTTCACCCGACGCCACCCCTGCTTGCCTCTTCCCGTCGTCCTTCCCATCCTTTCCATACGAACCCCGGGGTTCTTCTGCGGCAGCCACAAGCGGATACCGTATCTACTCGGTCAACTGGGCCCCCATATTAATTCCAGGTAACAGAAAGGGGCCAAGCGGCTGCTGAAAAGGGGATAGTGTGCTGGCAGAATCAGGGGTTAGTCAAGTACGTCAGGGGGCGGATGAGGGGCAAGGGATGACAAATAAACCTTGTTTTCAGCATTACAGCAGTACCTAGAGATCCCACAGCCGCGCAGGCCTTATGAGGTCAATAGGAACCATTAGATTATTTCCAATAGGCTATTAGACGTCTTCTGCTGTAGATATATACTCTATATTATCCCCATCAACATCTTCAAGAATCTCTAAGTCAGAAAGCATTTCTTCTTTAATATACTTATTATAGTTAAAGGTATCTTACCTATCCTATAAAATAGTCTCTATTAAGGTATCCTTGATCCTGATCCTTGTAATATCGCTGCCATCTAGGTAACCAGATATCCCACATTAGATAAATGACTGACAGACCATCTGGGCAGCCTTATCAGCAGCCAGCCAGCTGGCTGCTACTGCCACTATATAAGTAACCATAATACACTTCATTAACGTCGTCTAAACAAATGGCTGGCTAGCTGCCTAGGCTAGCTGCTCTATATTATAGATATAGTCATCTATTGCTTCAGAAAGCCACTACTTAAAAGGCTTATTAATAGTAGTATTAAGAGGTTAAAGAAAAGAGGTTATGCTAAGCAGTATAAGGCTAGGCATAATATAATTAATATAAAGTCAAGATAAAATAAATAAGGTCTTATAGAAGATAATAACATCTATAACTAACAAATACTCTTACCTAGCTATTAAAAAAAAAAACTCTTTAGTTATTTACCTATTAAATAAATATTTATTATTATAAGTAATATTATTAAATTTAATAATAATTTAACTACTATACTTATTACCTTTATTACCCTTAATCTAATTACCTTAACTACTAGGCTTACTATAAAAAATAAGCTTAAGTAAAATATATTAAATACTATTAGTAAAAATATAAAAAATAAAAGTAACTTAATACTTACTTTAGCTACTATAATTAGTCTTATTAGTAATAGTATAAGCACCCTTATTAACTTATATTAACCTATTAAGATACTTAAAAGGTATAAGGGTCTTATCAAAGTTAATAATATAATAAGTTAAAAATCAAAGGCCAAATAGGTTAAAAGGCAACTAGGCTAGTACTAGCTAACTAACTTATTAATTAAAATAAAAGAACTAAGTAACAATAACAAGATAATTAGTAAACAACTTTAAGGCCTACTTTATAAGCTAATAATAAGAAATATTCTAGTAGCTACAGAAGCAACTAAACCAACCAACAGAGAAGCAAAAGGTAAATAAGCTAGAGTATTTACTAGCAAAAAGGGCTCTTACTATACATCTAAACTAACCAATAATAATAACCTTAGATTTATCATATTATTAGCAAAATTAAATATAAAGGTCAGCCTCTAGATCAAGCTAGCTAAGCTAACTACTATTACTACTAATAGCTAGGTTAATAATAATATCTTTATATTAATACTAGTTAAATACTATTGAAGAGGGTACCTTAAAGTACTTAGCAGCTTTACAAAAAGTTAAGCAATAAAAGCCATTAGTAAGGTTAAAAAGGATATTATTTTTCTATTAAAATATAACTAGCTAGGCCTTAATAAAGTACTAGTAATACTTAAAGTATATTAGTATAACAACTTACTTATATTAGTAATAAGATTACTATGATCTCTGGGCTAGCTTTACTATAGTATAACTTTACTTAGTTATTAGAGTAGCCGTCTTGCTATAAGGCTTCTTTTACGGCAGCGTAACTAGCAGGGTATTGCGGTCGATATTGCCCAGCGGCTGGCGGTTAGGCATTGTGGAGAAAGTGGTAGTGGGTTGACGAAAATAGTGGTATAGTAGAGGTGAATAGTGGAGGTTGCTTGAGGTAAGGATGATGGTTATAGGCCGATTGACCGCCTTCGATTTCAGGCCTAGTGGGCCGGATGGCTGCTAGCTGCTTTAGGTTAGCTCGGATTAATATGGGGGCCCAGTTGACCGAGTAGATACGGTACAGCAGGTGCGGGTCGCCGGAATGGTGGATCCACCTTCGGGATGGTGCCTTCCTCGGCAAGGAAAGAGGTGACGTCGATCTCGTAGAGCCCCAGATAGGTATTTGCCCGAGGCACCAACGACATGCGCTCCACTTTCCCTCCTACCTTACTGCCATCATCTTGGCGTCTGGCCTGATTAAGCGCAAGTGCTGTGCTTTCAACAAACAACCCAAACACCAAGATTTTGCCCAAAACCCACGGCAGTAAGCTGATACGGGCCCATTCTTTTTTCTTTACTGGAGACGTGACTGGGTCGGGTATCGTACGGTCTCCAATCCAACGCAGAGGCCGCCCTTTTCCCACCTCTTTTCCCAGGCGACAATTCGCGACGATACCGGTACTCGACAGACATTCCTTCCTACCTAGGTATGCCTTTTTCCCCCAATTTTCCCCAATTGCTTCCCCCATTCCCCCTCGTTCTCCTAGGTTTCCCCTCACGCCCCACGGCGTCGTCCTCGGCGGTGGGCACCATGCTTTCCTCCTCCGCTACCCTCAAACCGCCAACCAACCAACCAATAAACATTGGTCCATCCCATGCCATCCCGGGCTTGGAACGACACACTAATTGACATCTCCACGCCTTGCTCCCCAGACAGCAAACACCATGTCCTTGGCTTCTCGCCCGGAAATGACGTCGTGTGCCCCAGACCCGTCGACTTTCTCGCCCTCTCATACGTGCGCTTAACACGAGACAATGGCTACGGTAGACCTTTTGCAATTTAGGGTCTGAGATGGCTTCAACGCCGGCTGCCGGGGCAGGTAGCCTTGCTTTCTACGCCTCAGATCACGCCTAGATACTAAATACCCTACCTCAAAGTCGAGAGATTGACTTTCGACTCCACCGCCCGCCCAACCGCCCGCCCTCATTGAACGAAGCACCAGGGTGGAAAGGTGGGTTTCCTTTATTGGCTTCCTTGACAGGTGCGCCTCGGTGATAGTGGTCGGTTTACCGTATGTTGCGTCAGGGTATGCAGACGGTGGCATTCATCTATATAATCGGTGGCCTCCCCATTCCCACCGTTCGTTCTACCTTCTCGTGGATTTGATCACAACTTCAATGCAGCATCGCAGCGTGCTACTCTTTCCTCGATTCCCCCCTTGCGCGACAAGTATTTGCACCTCGTTATCCCCGGGAATGCCTTGAAGAGGCATAACCATTGCCCATCATGTATCGCATCTACAATATCTACGGTATGCACCTCGACCTAGGCTCACCTGCTCCGAGCCCCGACACCGGGGCCCGTTGCTACGTTTCTCGATATTGATTCGTCTTCTCCAGCGCTCGCCGCCTTTGGTACCATTGGCGGCATGCTCTTCGGTTTCGATATTAGTTCCATGAGTGCCTGGATCGGTGCCGATTCTTACAAGGAGTACTTCAACCATCCGAGCTCGACCTTGCAGGGCGGTATCACTGCCTCCATGTCCGGCGGCTCCCTGGTTGGTGCTCTGGTTGCAGGTTTCCTTGCCGACTGGTGGGGCCGCCGCGGCGCCCTCAAGCTCGCCTCCGTCGTCTGGATCATTGGCGCCGTCCTCCAGTGCTCTTCCCAGAACGTCCCCCACCTCATCGTTGGTCGTGTCGTCAGTGGTCTTGCCATCGGTATCACCAGCTCGCAGTGCTGCGTCTACCTCGCCGAGCTCGCCCCATCTCGCATTCGTGGCCGCATTGTCGGTATTCAACAGTGGTCCATCGAGTGGGGTATCCTAATCATGTACCTTATTTCATATGGCTGCGTCGTCACCATCAAAACGCCCAGTGCCTTCCGCATTGCGTGGGGTGTTCAGGGAATTCCTGGTCTCATTCTCGGCGTTGCCCTCTTCTTCTTCCCCGAGTCCCCTCGTTGGTTGGCCCAGAAGGACCGATGGGAGGAGTGCCACGAGGTCCTCGCTCACCTGCATGCCGGCGGTGACCGTGAGGCCCCCGTTGTTCTCGCTGAGCTGGACGAGGTCAAGGAAGCCGCACGCGTTGCCGCCGAGTCTAAGCACATCGGCGTTCTGGGCCTCTTCGGTCCCCGCGTCTGGAAACGCACCCTGGCTGGATGCAGTGTCCAGATCTGGCAGCAGCTTCTCGGAGGAAACGTCATGCTGTACTACCTCGTCTACATCTTCAACATGGCTGGCATGGTGAGTTGCCCATCCTCAAGATTCCATCTCTTCACAACACAGCTGACCGCGATTTCACAGACTGGCAATGTTGCATTGACGTCGTCCATCATCCAATATGTCATCTTCCTGGTCACGACCGGAGCCATCCTTCCCATCATTGACCGTCTCGGCCGTCGACCTCTCCTCATCGGCGGTGCCATCATTTGCTGCATCATCCACTTCACCACGGGTGCTGTTATGAAAGTCCACGGAAACCCCGTCGACAGCGTAGACGGCGACACGAACCTGAGATGGGCCATCTCCGGTCCGCCCGCTCAGGGTGTTATTGCCCTCTGCTACATCTTCGTGGGTGTCTACGGGTGAGTGTCCAGCCCTTTCTTTGCAAATTAAGAGAACCACATGACTAACATGCCGCAGTCTGACCTGGGCCCCTATCGGCTGGATTTACGCCTCCGAAGTCTTCCCTCTCAAGTACCGCGCCACAGGTGTTGGTTTCGCCGCCGCCTGCAACTGGGCCTTCAACCTTGCCCTTGCTTTTTTCGTCCCGCCAGCCTTCACCAACATCCAGTGGAAGACCTACATGATCTTCGGCACTTTCTGCGCCGCCATGACCGTGCACATTTTCTTCACCTATCCCGAGACCGCTGGCAAGACCCTCGAGGAGATTGACGAGCTCTTCAACGCCAACATTCCCGCGTGGCGCACCAAGAGGGCTGGTGTGCGTTTCGAGGACCGCGTTGCTGCTGTTGAGGGCAAGAAGTCCGATTTCGATGCATCTCACAACGAGAACGTTGATGTTTAAATATTTGGAAGATGCGAGTGTCATGAATTGATGCGTTCCAACCTAGCGATACCCCGAAATATCAATGTCATTCATACTTTGAGTTCCTTCGTCCGTTGTGTTCATTTTGGTGCATTAAATGGGACAGTGTCTCCGGACGAACATGCACCACAACAATGTTATCAGTTAAATACCATCGAATCCGTGTGCATCTTAGCTCCAGATATGGCAAGTTGTCATTAATTGCGGTCGTCTTACGTTTTGGCGGGAGAATCATGTGATGCAGCCACAGCATAATGACGTCGGTAATCCTTGACGTCATGGGAAACATGGTCGCCTCTGCACCTTGTATCACCGCAAGCTGCCTTTAAGAAGAGCATCTACTGGATACCAATAGTGCCTCACAACTTCAAAGACAACGACCAGATTCATATCATCTCAAAAAATAGTAGACCGCATATCAAAATACCCATAATGGCCTCCCAAAACACCAACAACCAGCAGCAACCCGGCCTTGTCGCCGGCCACGTCGAGTACATCAAGGGCGCCGCCGAGGTATGGTTCAACCCCCAATCCTCTTCCGGTCCTCAACCCGAAGACATATCTGCGTGATGGGAGCACCTTAGCTAACGTCTACAAAAGGCCGCCATTGGTAGCGTCACGGGCTCCCACGCCTGGACCTCGTCCGGCGAGCAGGACAAGGCACACGCAGCATCGACGATGAAGGCTGCGAGCCAGCAGCGCGACCCCTCGACGCAGGGGTATGGCAAGGCCGAAGAGGTCGCGGGCAAGGCTTTCGGGTGTGACGGCATGAAGCAGGAGGGCGCCGCTAGCAAGCAGGAATAAGGAGGCTCCGGAGACTCTTGTTTTTGTAAGATTATTGTGGGATTAAGAGTCAATAAGCAAGAGATTGGTCTGATTATATACCTCATGTTTGATGTATCTTGTTCGGCGATGCGACTGTCTATGCATTCGCACCGAACTCGGCTCTTTATTTCTGGAACACTGGCATCCCGTCCGTGTGTACTCAATGATTTCCTAGTGCCTAACTTGCCACCGCCACGAGGCTAATTGTTTGTATGGTAGTTCATTATCTTCGTGAACTGCGCTATGGTACCGTCATCGTTCAAGGCCAAGACGAGAAAAAATGCTTGGTAGTTGCCTATGACGAAGTCACGGGTACATGTAAGCATCTCCGTCATGTGGATGCCGGCGTTCCAAGGGGCTTGATGGTAGATGTCGAGGTGCTCTTCGCGCTAGTGGGTCGTCAGGCTTCTCTACAATTCTACCGTGCCGCTAAGCAGTTCCGCAAAGGTCTTCTTGCGATGTGCTGCGGACGCTATTGTGGACTATGAAGGCGGTTAAAGCAGTGTGTCATTGTCTCACGTGTTTAGACTCAGTGAATAATTAGTCCAGAGATATTCTGTGTGCCATGCATTGGTGCACGCCTTCCATGTCTCATTTCTCCTCGCTTCCTTAGCATTCACCATAAAGACCAATTAGTTAGCAAGAATACGGCTAGATTAGTTTGACCAGACATACCACAATATCTGATTAGGCAGGTTGATGAAAGACAAACTATTGCCTTACGGACTCATGGCCGGTCTCAGAAATTGAGTGCGAATGTGGGTGTGTATACTAGAATGACGGGCTAAATATTTCGCAAAGTTTTATCATGGATATAGATGATTAAGGAATGTATTTGCATCTTTTCCGATATCCAGTGTCTGTGGTCTCTCAATCTATTTTTCAACCTAATTGATAGTTGTATCCTTCAAGCCCCATTCATCAGGCGATTTATGTTCCCAGCAAACAACAAATTACCAGCGCCTTTCAACTCCAATGCCAACGCCTCGCCAGTATGTATTGATCCATTCTGTTCCTTAGTGGCACTCTCCCTGCTTCTGACGAATTTGCTGGTCAAGCTGATCTTTCATAGCTTCACGTTTCTTGATTTCACTATCAAGGCGGTCCTTTTCTTGGTACCTGTTTTGGATCTCCTGATCAAGCCTTTGCTTCTCAGAGTAATTGCAATCGCCGCCGCCACTGGTGCTGTACCCGTTGTTGTACCCGTTCCCCACGCCACCATTGGTAGTTGAAGGGGCACGATAGTAATCTTTGTCCCGGGACTCAATTACAGGGACTTTTTTGACGATTTCAAGATCGTTGTCGGTAGAATCGGGGCTTTGGATGGGTGTCGCAATGACGCTGGAGACGAGAGTGGCGATGAGGAAGTTCTTGAAGGAAACCATTTTTGTTTGTGGTGGGCTTAGAAGCTTCGAGAGAGGAGAGAATTGAAGATGATTGAAGTCTTTTATCTTGGGTTCGAGAAGCTGAGCCTGTTTGTCATGCCGCTGCTGAAGACAGAGAAGCACTTGGACTGGGGACTTCAACCTCTTTTGTACTTTTCCAGCTCAGGTCTAGAACGGACGCCGAGGATTGCTTGCAGAATCCAGCCGTTTAAGCTTCCGACTTTGAAAATACGTTCGTCACCATCATGCACAGCCAGCGAATTTGGCCGACATGCTTCGGCCTAGGTGGGCAGCAACATCACCACCTCGGCCGCGTACCATCGGCGGTAGCCTCATTTTTTCCCATCGCTTGCCAGTTGCGAAAACGACCACGAGAGTTTCCGACAAGGCACCCTGGGCAAGTATTCGCAGCCCGTTAGCCCACCCGCGGAGACGCTCGGGTCCGTTAGGCTGTTTGCCTGCTCGGACATCCTTTGTCGTTCATGAAATGCCCATCTGCCATCAGTAATATCGGATGAAGCCCGAGAAACCCCACCTTGATTAACTCAACTAGCGAAACTTCAAAGTCCGTTGAATGTTCTAAGCTTTTCCACTCGTTGTTCATCCAGATCTCGGTTTGCACCAAAGGCCTGCGTCTCCTGGACTACGACTTGGCGGGTCAGGTAGGATGCTGGCCAAAGGCCATGCATGACTCCCGCCGACAGGATGGGAAACGAAACTTGCGTGAAGCTTGGAGATGTAGGGCTCGCACGTACCAGTCACTATAAACAAAAGGAGAAGGTAAAAACGAGACGAAGGGAAACAAGGCGGAAAGTTCGGCCCAGGACCGTTAAGAAGATCCGTCTGTTGCCCAGGCCGCAACTTGGACATACGCGTCGGACAATTCGAGATACACTGCGCTAGTCTTGAACTAGGTTCTTTACCCGACACATTTGCATAGCCCCAGAGCTTAACAATGACCGTCCAGGCCTAGAGGGGTCGGTGCGGCGTGTTACGCCGACATCCCGCACAGTGGCCCTGAGCATGAGAATAAACTTTCACCAGACGACAAAACGATACCGAGATGGCCCGCCGGCGATCCCGACGGAATGGTAATAGAGGCGGGAAGCCGTCGATCATCGAATACATTCCATTTGAGCCCGAATGGCGATCTCTCCTGACCCGGCCGCCGATCAGCCCAAAAAAGCCTAAAGCTTCGGCTTTTGATCTGCCTTCCACCGAGGAACATAGTGTTTACTATCTAAGATGCTTTGATTGATACGCTTGTTTCTGGAAAGGCTGAGAGCGCCTGCTACTTGTGGCCAAGTTGCAAAGCTGAGGCCATGCTGGACACCAGCACACGGCAAGATTCCTATTTTCAAAGCCGTGTTTATGACCAGAGGAAGGCTTCTGAGTTACGTCTACAATATTACAGTTGTCCCCTCTGAAAGGGTCTAGCTGTCAACTTGTGATTTAGAGTTCTGCCAAACATGATTTTCATGCTTTGCATAGTAAAGCCATTTGACTCCCGTAAATCAGAGCAGAGTTTGAAGCCACCTTGTACATAGTACGCGTCTCCCTATACTATAATGAACCTGAGTTAATCATACCTTGTCCTTGAATAAGCTTGCTCGATGCCCCGCGCTCTATACTTGTTAAACATGTCCCTAGCTCCGCGCTTAGGTTCACAAGATCCCGGCAGTGTCCGCCTTCAACCCCGCCATCTGTTCCGCGCCCGTCCGGTGCCGTTAAGCTTTGGAATTCTTTGGCCTAGGTTCAGGGTTCCTGTGTCTTCGTTCCCCAAGAGTTTCCCGTAGCGCGGTCTGCTGATCCTTGCTGAGCCGCAAAAGGCTAGAAACTTTCTCCATTAAAACAGGGTGGTCTAATCAAGGACGAGAATCAAGATGCGTCTCGACTTTAGCCCCATATTTCAACGTCGTTCAAAGTTGATGTCGAAAGCATTTGTCCGTCATATACAAGCTTCTCCAAGCTTCTCCAAGCTTCTGCAAGCTCTCTGCCTGAACCCTACTATAGTCCCCGGTGACTTTGCCACTTTCAGCAACAAGTAGGCTATCTTTATTCCCTTTTTCCTAAGGCATGATAATAGACACGTGAGACGGTAGATTTCCCTGTTTACCCACTCCACGTCCGTCATGGGTGGCAAAATGAGTTTATTAGCTTAGCCGCCGGTTACCCTTACTTAACATTGTTGGAAATACACCTTTCCAGGCTTGCTTTTTGTCTTTCAAACTATACCGTAATGCATACTCAAATTCTTGAGCTACAAGGAACAAGGTTACTTTGATCTCGTCGATCAATCCTTCTATTATCTTCAGGAAATTGTTGATATTTGCAGGCATTCTGGCATGCTGTGGATTGGAAACTCATTCGAAGTGTAACGGGGTTTGGAAGTAAAAGTCGTAGTTGCGAGCTCCTCGCCTTTGGAGAACTATGGGTTATGATCAGAGCCCAGAAAAACAAGTAGTTTTCTGATGACAACACTCGTGGACAGTTTTTAGGTATCCCTGATGATTTGGAGTGCTGGGTTTGACTTTGAGAAGGCTGTTACGTGTGTAGGCGATGATCTCATAAACGTTCCACCGAGGGTCATATGTTCAATATGAGAATCGTCAATAAGACACCCATGGTGGCGTTAGTAGTGGAACTGCAGGTAAAGAAGTAGTTTCATTTCATGCTCGTTAATTGTATTTTATCTACTCGATCTTCGATAGCTGGGTGGAACATTGAAACGGTACATTTGCAGTAAAAACCTCAAACAGCTGAGTTTTGAAAACATAATGACTTTGTCAGATTTTGATGACGCGGCTAAGCTTGATGCTAAACATTCATTCAGGAAGCACGCCCACGGCACGATCGTTTCCTTGGCGCAATGGCGAACAAGTCGTGGGAAACCGAACGAATTTTTGTTCAAGTTAACCCGCCGGTCCTCTGAGATTATTGCAGTGCGGCGCGCAACATGTCCATAACGAAAGGAGGCTGAGACGTGGTAAACATGTATGCCCGACTCGTATACCGAAGTTCTCGGATCAAACTCTCTGGGCCGGTGAGAAAGCCGGATGGCAGGCCAAAGATACGATTGAACGACCCCGACATCAGAACATGGATGTTCTCTCGACTTGGAACTGAAATGAGCTCTCTCAAGTTCAAGGACTGAGAGGTGCAGTGGAGCAAGATTGTCATGACGGACTCGGGGCTCATTAAGGTGGCAATCCCCTCCAGAGTGGATGACAAGAAACTGTGCTGCAAATCCTCTCCAACGCGGACGTAGACAGTCAGGCACAGCCTTTCATGACTCTGAGCAAGCTTTCTGACATGATGCACGAGTTGAAAAAGGTCGATGTAGCCAAGCAGCACTGGTGCGTCCTTCTTTGGTGCCATCATGAGGCCGTCACGGACAAATTGGGACACACCTCGTTCGAAGAGCATGTAGTGCGTGCTGTGCCCCAATAAGGGACGTGAAAGGGCTGCGATCGTTGAAGCAAGACCAATAGACGCGTCTGCATAGGTCAGCCCAGCTTCCATACCTGTCGCACGAGCAACGAGGCTCTCAACCTCGAGGTGTGGCGGGAATGTGCCGCAGATCCATCTTGCACCTCCTGCCCCAATGCCATACTGAGCCCGGGCAACGTGTCCGGCTTGGACTACTGGTGGGCCGCATGTCTTTTTGAACAATTGCTGCTGGTGGCTGTTGGCGCATCTAGCAGCATCCATCCTGATGAGGTTTTGAATTCGATCAAATGTCCTTGATGCTTCATTGGGGTCTGCTTCACTCGCGAAAGAACAGACATCAGCCTTGGAGAAAGTTTTGACAATGCCGGCTGTCTTGCAAAGGCCCACGCTGGTGCTAGCTCGGATAACAGTTTCAACAAGCCGGTTCACATCGTCGTCGGTGAAGTCTGCTGATAAGTTGATGCGGACCCTGCTCTCCCAGAAAGGCACGGCCGGAGTGCATACAGGAGTCGCCAGCAGCCCACCGCGACGCAATGCGTAGGACAATCTTGCAGCGACACTAGGCCTGCCAGCATAGACTGGAAGCACAGGAGTGCCAATGTCGCCGTAGACAAAGATGCCGAAGCGCCCCAGCTCTTCCCGACAAAAGTGTGAAATTTCAGCAAGCCGTTGGAGGTTGCGGTCAATTCGGCTGGGTTGACCAAGCAGCCATAGCGTCTGTACCATAGTGGAGCTCGGCAAGGAGACGTTTTCTTTCTCGTCCAGGTTGCTGATGTATTTCCGTATGGTCTCTTCGAAAACGCCCTTGCCAGCAATAACACCCCCGATGCCACCAACGGCCTTTGAGAGTGTACCGGTCCGAATATCAATCAAATTCCATGGCAAGGGGCTATGTGGGTGTTTGTCGTTCCAGTATTCGAGACATCCCTGACCCGTCTTACCAAGGGACAATAACGAATGTGCCTCGTCGCAGTATAGGATAAACTTGTAGTCCTTTTTAAGACGATGAATCTTGTCTAGTGGTGGCACGTCGGCTTCCATGCTTTCGTTTCGGAAGTCAGTCACAGAAAGGCATACATAGAATCTTGGCGGCAAACCAATGGGGCACTAACCTGTACAGCCCCTCAATGGCAACAATTATTTTAACAGACTCGTCAACACAACCACTGAGCAATGTCTCAAGGTGTTCCATGTTATTGTGCTTGAACTTCTGCAAGTTCGAATAGAACCCAAGAAAAACACCAGTAAACATGGAGTTGTGGCAATGCTCGTCCATGAGGATCACCGTAGAACCGTCAATCAATGCAGGCAGCGCAACGTAGTTCGAGCCGTATCCTGTGCTGGTCGTAAAGCAAAAATCTGCCCCTAGGAAATTGGCAGTTGCGCGGTGCATCTCGTCTCGGAGAAAAGGAACGGCGTTGCTGTCAGACACCGGCAGCATCTCTAGACACATCCGCTGAAGCTCCTCAGCCTCTGGCGAGGCCTTGTAGAATCCGGCGTAGTTATGAGAGGCCCCATTCACCAGCTTGCTTACAGACCCGAAGGCGTCGCGTGCTTCCACTCGGCCGAGACATTGCGTGGTGAGAACGCGAGTGTTGGCACCCCACCAGTTGAATAGGGGTTCGACGTAGTTGTGCGCAAAGAGACCCTTTTGTGACACAGGCTTTCGTGTGTCATGTCTCTCGTTGATGAGTACTCGTAGCCTTGTGAGTGCCAGTCGTACTAATTCTCGGGCTTTGTCGGCACTCCCTACACGGGGAGATCGTCTTGTCTTGGAAGCAGGGAATGCTGACGGGGTACTATTCGGCAGGCTCGAGAAAGTTATTCCACGCTCTAGATCTCCAGATATCGGAGATAAAGAGACACTAACTTCTTTTTCGTTTGCCATTATCATTCTGTAACCCGGTCGCACTTCAGAATTGGCCTGGACAGACGAAGGGATGATATAGATGGCAATGAGAGAAGAGAAACTGGTAGAAAAATCAGATGCGAATGAAGGTGAAAAACCAAGGCAATAGTTGACGCATAATTTTACGGATCCAGTCAGCCTTTTCTCGTTTCTCTCGAGACTGCTTTGACCGAACACTTTGGCAACGCTTTAATATGATCCCGCACGGTATTGTTCTTTTAGTGTTGGTAGACTCTTTGATATAGCTAGCAAGAGGGGAGCGGTACTTAGAAGCCGCATCCTCTGCTGCACAGTCTGTCACAGCATTCCAGCATCTACAACGCCACGCGTCACCAAAACAAATTGATGGTACTCTTTCGAGGTTTGAGCGTTCACTGACCGAAACCTATGCCCTGCGCTAGAGACTAGCAGTCAGCTAGCAATTTAGCTCCCAGCTCTGAATTTCGTTTCTCCCTCAAAAAGGTGTAACTGTAGTCTGCAAGACATGGATTTAAATAGTCTCCACTTCATCACTTCTTGCGGTCTTTGCTTGCGTTTATATCTCTTTTTCTGTCGCAAAAACGACACCGTCAATTGCGTGCAGCAGTTAACGCCTCATACCCATTGTCACATGTTCCTATAGAATGTGTCTTTGATAGAATGTGAGCGATTTAAATGCAGTTGAAAAGGCCTATGCTTTGGGGAAGATAACTCGAAGAGAATGGTGCGGTTGCTGGTAAACATTTCCGCCATGAGCTATTTCCAGAACTGCGCTAAGAGAAATTTTGTGTGTTTTGGGATTCAAGAAAGGGCCATGGGAGCATTTACAGTAGTTGCGTAAGACGGATTTACGATGGCGGTCAGATGAGCTAGGTATGTTTTGGACAAGCGCTTGACACTATTTTGGGGAATGAACAAGCTTTCTGGCGTTTGGACAGTTTCAATTCGCCTTCCATCCTATCTAAATGTCTGGACACCAGAAAATTCTTGCCTTTCTCCAAGATTGACGATGGCATTGTGCGCCTGTGCAATGTGGTATAGCCCTTTGGTCTTTTTGGGGTTCGATGGTGGTGAGCCATCTCTAATGTTAAAGGATTTCCTGAATGTAGTCAATCCATCATCTCTGCAGTAGTACGCTTCGAGAATGATCGGGTGTTCATCATGCATGAAAGAAGCCAGTTTGTTGTAGCTCCGTCCACAATCCAGGCTGAGAGATGCAAATATCGTGATCTTCCAGATGCCCCAGTATGACTTGACAAACCTTAGTCTTGTTCCGACTCTGTATGCTAAGTACAACATTACCAGGAGCACACCGATAACATCACCTCGATTGAAGATCCCCGCGAGCTAATTGTTATGTATCGCCGCTCTGTGATTCTCGCCCAAAAAGCGGGCTTTGACGGCGTTTAGATATTGGCTCAAGGGTCAGTACTGGTTTCTTGAATCTTCTCGTGATGGGGGCAGCTAGCAACCTTGTAGAGAATACTTGCCTCAGCAATTTTTGAATTCGTAGGTGTTGGTTTACGTTCTCTTCAAATAATAGCCTGCTGATAAAGAGGGAAGTCGCGCTAACAAGCCCATTAGCGGATACGGCGGATCAGTCGAGAACCGGTATGGTTTATCCTTGAAGTTACTGACGCTTTCGCTGAAGTGTTCGAGCCTGAGCTTGTTTGCATGAAGATCTGCCCAACGGATCAGACTAAAGATTCGTGGTCACTTACGAAGAGATGAAAGAGGTCTACACATACCTCATCCGAGAGTTTGTGAAGCGAAGGGTGGGCATCATGAATCTCTCTCGTCGTGGAGCCAATCACAATACTGAAACTGGCGACTTCTTTGGCAATACTACACGACCCGAAGGGTTCCCACTACCAGCGTGATACGACCCGGTACTCGAGTTTGGTCCTTTAGTCAAGTTTCCGGGCAGTCCTTCAGCTCTGATGGATAACTACGATTGCACGGTTGATGAAGCCGATGCTTTAGTGAGGGATGAAAAGCTCGATCTGATCATTTTCGGCCGACCTTTCATCCACAATCAAGTCAGTGTCCCGTTGATATAATTTTGCTGCTCGAGCTAATTGACCGTGAACTAAGATCTCATTTCTCACATTGAGATAGGAATCCCTGTCACGGCGAATGACAGAGGCAAGGACGTTCATTACGGTCCACTTCAAGAGCTGAACCAAAAATACAACAACTGGTCTGTCGCTGTGCTTTAAATAAGCTTGCCATCTGATAGGTAATTTTGCAATTGGGGAGTTGATTCTTTCTCATCGAGTTCAGACAATGTCAAAAGATCGAGTTTTCTGAAGGAGGTGGAGGATCTGTATGTTTCCATAAGTATTGGATGGTTGAACAATTTGCAAGTCTATTATAGGGAACAGGTATAAGGAGTGCTGCTTAAATGATGATTGATACCAAGAGAGTTGGTGAAATTTGTCTGGGGGCGTTTCGTTGGAGATTGTACGGTAGAAGTCGCGCGGATTGCAAATTTATGTGTCATTAAATTGTGTTTCATAGCTTCGTCATGTACCACTTTTCAATCAGTTGTCCACCCTTTGCACAGCTCACACCAGTCTCAGATAAGGTTCTTTTCTAACCAGCAGTTCTTCAACATTTGAGGTCACGGCCAAGTTCTTGGATGCGACTATGGAAGCCTCGGGAGTATGCTGGAAATCCATCAACGCGCGCATCCCCCCTCGAATGCTGTCTGCTCCAAATCCCTTTGCACGCAGCACGCTAGTGGCGACCCGGGCGCTGTCCCCATCATAACACAGCACAACAATCGGCTTCTGTCGATGCGCTTCCAGGGTCTTTCCTGTCTCGGTTTTTGGGTCGAACGTGGCCTCCAGCTTCAGCCATAACTTCTCGAGAACCGTTGCGTCTGAAAAGGGCTTCCAATCGGTTGATTCCACGATAGAAATGTTTTCGGAGCCGCTAACGTGGTTCATTTGGAAGTCTTCCGATTTTCTCAGGTCAATTATGATTACGTTCGGAAGACGAGGAATAAGGGAGGCACTGCTGGCGTCGATATATCTTGGCGTGCTGGGCAACTGAGCGTCTTCGGTATCGATGATGCTTGCTTGAGGGATTTGCATGAAGATCTCTATCGGATCCTTCTCCCAGGCTTCGTCATAACGATGGAGATCAACCTTTTGAAGGTTCTGGAGAACGTTTAGCAAAGTGTATGTTAAAAATAAGAATGATACACATACCTCGTTGTGGATAGTGGGGAAGTGTTCAGGCCCCAGCTTCGCAAAGTACTCGTCGATGTATTGGTAAGGCAAATCGCAGCATACAAAGACGCAATGCGCCTCGCCAGATTCATCAGCAAGCTCAGTCAGACTTCCAGCTGCGAGACGCTTGTCCAAGAATTGATAAAGACCTTGGAGGTTGAATCCGGACGAGGGGCCCGCAATGAGACCCTGTCTGCATAGATCCAGGGAAAGGGCATACGATTCATGGGACCCCACGTGCTCCACGTGATCAACAGCAGATCTCCAAGGAAACTCGACCGGTTGGAGCAGCGCATACGAGCGGGGGCCAGGAACACGATCGCCTGGTGCGGTGCAAACACCCAGCCTGTAAACAGAAGGCTTGGCGTTCTTAAAGTAAGTCCCCAAGCCAGTAAGGGTCCCTAATATCACTATTAGATTTCATTGAGAAAATTAGTTGACCCGGACTCACCGGAAGTTCCCATGCCCGCACAAATCAGTGTGATTTGTGGCAACTGCTTGAAGATCTGAGGCCCAGTCCATCTGACATGAGACTTCCAATTCTGCCAACAACTTGTGATCAGTCGAGTCGTGTCCGTCATGAAGACGAGTATCTTACATCATCATTTTCGTACTGGTTTGGGTTAATCGCGGAACCTTTCTCGCTGCCTATATGTTTTGCGGCGTAGATGCCGCCTCTTTTGTCCAACGGCTCAGGCTGAGATGGTCCACCAAACAACGTGCTAAGAGATGGTGGTTAACCAGATTAGCCAAACTTACCCAGTCTCCGTTTGGTAATGGATCATTATAAATGGCTTACATATCCAATCCAAAAAATTGCATCAACCGTAGCTTTGCCTGACTTGTCTTATTGCTGAGAAAAGCACGGACATCTGGCACTCCATGGTAGACCCGAGCCGCTAGGGACATGGAGATGACAGTTGACCCAGAACTGTACTCGACAATTGTCTCGGTCTTACCTGGAACGACGCCTTTCTGGAGCAAGTTGAGGGCGGGCATAGCTTTGACGTTGTTGGCGGGATGCATTGACATCATCTTTGCATAGATACGGACGCCATGCCTCCGGTAAGGGTTCAGACTGTCTGGTATCTCAACAAGGGGTAGTGGGGGGGCGGTATCAGGATCAAAGTAGTTTTTGACGGAGTTTGGTCCGGTATAGACATTGAGAGGATTGGATTCGATCATGATAGCGATACTCTTGGGCAGAATTGGGAAACTTGTTGAACAACAAGAAAGTATGATGAGACCGGAAACACAGAAGTCGGTGTTTCTGACAGACTGGATGTGGCATTATATACATTTCATCACAACGAATTGCGAGATGCTGCTTCAAGCAGCTAGCGAAACAGTTCATGCCATGATTCGACGACGTGTGGGTTAAAGAAACACGCTCATCCGTGGTGTCGGTCACCGTTGATATCCGCAATCGTGGGGCTTCATCTGCGAGTGCAGCTCTGCTGTAACAGCCCCAAACTATGACCATGGGTGAGAAACGTGTGCTTTTGACCAATTGGCGGCATCTGGTACAACTCCTGCTTCGGATCCGTCCACTTTCCTCTCGAGGCTTTATTGAGTGATTGGCGTGAAATCCCAGACTAATGCGAAGACCATGCAGAAAACGGAAAAAGTCGCAGTCAAGAACCTCTGATCGACACGAGTCATCAAGGTTATTCATGTCTTGGGATGACAATTGTTGACACCTTGCAGGTAATGTCCAGCATGTCAGAGCCTACGTAACACAGAGCCGACGATCACACTTCGGGGGGCCGAGCAAAAGCCGCAAGCATCATAAACTACTGTTACAATACGGCTCAAGATGCCGTGACATACAAGGATAAAACCAATGAGTTTCGCGGACATATAAACGGCGCTCAATTGTGAGGTTTGGGGGAGTTGGTTTGAGCTCATTTCCCCAGTTGAGCACGTTTCGCGGGAGCAATCCAGCCAATCCACAAGGGTTCTCGTTTCCAACCCTATCCCTGTCAAACTAAGCCAGCTCATCAGATGCCCAGACAAGGGTTCGAGCCCACCGACCCTCATCATGAAAGTGGATTCAAGCTTTTGGCCTCCGGCAGTTTGCACTCGGAAACCAGGAGTCTAGAGGTTTTAAACGACATTGTTACGAAGCTGATACCACTTCAAAGCCCTAGCTGTTAATATCCCCTTTCATCTGATTTCCGATGTTCGGTCTCCGATGCTACGAATGAACGACCCGGTCGGCTAACTTCTCTCCCCGTTTCTTCTTTCTTTTGAGCTAAAGATCGGCCAGATCAAGTGCTCTTCTCTCTTTGACTTCTTGGAAGAGAGTTGAGACCCCTCGTTTGCTCTTAAGATGGCCGCGAAGGAGGGACATGTGAGCGGAATACTTACGCAAACATCGCCTGATGTTTGGCCGACGGATGAAACTCAGCAAAGTCTGGGCTCAGAATTGGCGAATGCCTCTGGGGATGAGAAGCCCGCGCACGAATTCAATGAGCAGACTAACTATGTTCGTCCAAGAGTAATCATCACGGTAAGTTTTATCTATTGAAAGAGAGTACTCAGAAGAGAACAGGACTTTAGCTCATCGACATTAGATCTTTCTGGCTTGCGCCAGCGTGGACCTTGTGGCTCTTATGGACCAGACCACACTGGCTGCCAGCTTGAACATCATCGGCAACTCGCTTAATGCCAGCAACCAGACGGCTTGGATTGCTAGTGGGTACTTCATGTAAGTTTGATCAAAGGGCAATCGGTTCGTTATGAGAGTTTACTCTTCTAATAGGCCCTGCACAGAACATCCACGGTAGGCCAGCTTTTATACGGTCGACTGTCGGATATTTGGTCGCGCAAGGTAATTCTTCTGATTGGGTTGGCCATATTCTTCACCGGTTCTCTGGCTTCATCACTTGCAAACTCGGGCACTCAACTCATCATCTTTCGAGCATGGACTGGAATTGGAGGTGGAGGGCTCATGACCGTCGCACAGATGATTGTGAGCGACGTGGTGCCTCTTAGGGAAAGGGGCAAGTACCAGGGTATTCTGGTAAGATTTCTCTTTTTGGGGTTTCAAAAAGACATTCAGTTCATCGCCAGAGTCTACACTATTTGTCAACAATCTCAATTAACGAATTGCTAGGGTGCAGTTGTCGCCATAGCGAACGGCATAGGGCCTGTCATTGGCGGTGCGTTGGCGTCGCAGTCCGGGGACTCATGGAGGTGGATTTTCCGTTTGAATATGCCACTCACCCTTCTATGCACTTTCTGCGTCATCTTTTTTATGCCTCTGAGGAAAGTAGAAGGGAACTGGAAAGTGTAAGTGCGGCCAGTGTGGAGCTGGCAAAATCAATTATCATAGGAGTAGCAGCTGACTTAGGTATCCATGGACAGGAAAGTCAGAGCTGTTGACTTCGTCGGGAGTTTCCTTGCTTTGGCTGGAACTACTGTCCTCATGCTGGGCCTGACCTGGGGTGGCGGAGATTATCCTTGGAACTCGCCCCACGTTATCGCAACTCTCGTTGTAGGTTTCTTCGTCTGTGTTGGCTTCACCCTTTGGCAGTGGAGAGGCGCCAAGTTTCCGTTGGTACCTCGTAAGTCAAATCAGTCTGCGTTTTCCCCTTTGAGGACACACACTGATATAGCTATGTTTAGTCCACATTTTCAAGTCTAAGATAGTCAACGGAGCCTGCATCACCATGGCAATCAACGGATGGAACTTCGTTGTTCAAGTCTACTATATCCCAACCTTTTACCAGCTGGCCTATGGGTACTCAGCAACCAAGGCTGGTGCAATGCTTCTTCCCATCACTCTTACCCAAACACTATTCAGCACGTTGTCTGGACTTGTGGTACACAAGGTCGGGCGTTACCGAGAGTGCATCTTGTTAGGCTGGGTACTATGGGCTGTTGGTGCTGGCCTGTTGTCGACCCTTGATGAGAACTCCAGCGTGGGAAAGCAGGTAGGGTACTCATTACTTGTGGGTGCCGGGGTTGGAAATACACTTCAGCCGTAAGTGAACGCTCAAGAAAGCATGGAGACGCAGTCCCAAATGCTGACGGCTCACTCAGAGCTTTGATAGCAATTCAAGCAGGTGTTAGCCGAAGAGATATGGCTGTGATAACCTCGTTTCGGAAGTAAGTCAACTCATTCACCCTCACCATGGATTTACTCATGTTTATGAATGTTCTAGCTTCATACGAAATTTTGGAAGCACCATCGGGCTTGCAATATCCGGAACTCTCATGTAAGTTGAAGCACTCGCTCTCCTTGCTGCCATCGTCCAGATCTTGTAATTAAACCTGGGACTGACCGTAAATCAACAGCAACAACATTCTTTCCGGCAGCATAGCAACACTTGGATTGGATGACGAAGAATCACGGAAGCTGCTTGCAAACCCACAACATGTTCTCTCAACACTCTCGCAAGCAGAGGCGGATAAGCTGCGAGCCGTGATTTTACCTGGATATAGAAAAGCATTTCGCGTCATATTTTTAGTCATGTCAGGACTTGCCGCAATCGCTTTTTTTGTTGCATTCTTTTTGATGCCTCAAGTGGAGCTGAGTAGGCCTGACGATACCAAGTTGAAGGAGGATGCCCGCAAAAAGGTAGATCAGCCCAACAACCATGGAGCTTGAAGAACAACGTGCGGGTCTTTCACTTTCTTCCGTATCAGCTGAAATTCTTGGGGTCCTGGATGCGAAATCTTGAAGGCACTTAAACGCAAAAAAGGAAATCGTATTGAACTGTTTAACGCTATTTATTCAGCATAATAAAGTCATGATATTGTGTCAGCAATGTTTTCGCCAGTAATACCCACGTTTGTTGTTGAGTTTAAGCGATGAGTTTAACAATCCACCACAACGATCCCAAAGCCGCGACTCATGCAAGTGTTTCAATAAGATATAAAAGATACGCTTTGATTTTATCATATAAATAACCACCCATCATAACGCGATTCATTATGTCATACAATCATTTCTTACAAGCCAACAGCCTTAACAATGGCCTTGCCAACACCAAGGGCAGAAGCAGGGTTCTGGCCGGTGATGACATTGCCATCAACGACGACCTTCTCACCCCAAGGGGCATCAGCGAGCTCGTACTTGCCACCATTCTCCTTGAGACGGTTCTCGAGCAGGAAGTTCATCTCGGCGGTGTAGCCAGCCTGGTCCTCCTCGGTGTTGGAGAAGCCGGTAACAGACTTGCCCTTAATGAGATACTCGCCGTCGTTGGTCTTGGCGTTGACGATGGCGGCAGGGCCGTGGCAGACGGACGCGATGGGCTTGTTCTGGGCAGCAAACTCGGCGATGAGCTTGTGCGAGTCGGCGTCAAAGGCGAGATCGTACATGGGGCCGTGGCCGCCAGGGTAGAAGATAGCGTCGAACTCGGAGGCGCGGCCGACGAACTTGGAAAGAGGCTCGGTGTTTTCCCAGACGTCCTTGTGGTTCTCAAGGAAGTTCTTGGATGAAGGGTCGCTAGAAAACATCTGGACAGAGGCCTGGTCGAGGGGCGCGACACCACCCTTGGGGGAGGCGAAGGTCATCTCGACGCCGGCCTCCTTGAGGACATCGTAGGGGTGAGCAAGCTCGGGCTGAAGTTTTGGGTTAACATTGGTGGTCACAAATGACGGATAGCAAAGAGATCTTCAACGTACCAAGTACCAGCCGATGGGCTTGCCAGACTTCTCAGTCTTGTCGACAGAGGTAAGAACGACGAGAACCTTGGGGCCATTGTGTATGATTTTTCGTTGTTGATGCGAGAAGTTGGAAAGTTAAAGTTGAACTATTGGGGGGTATCTTGCGTATTGATTTGTGCAGTATTCAGTGTCTTGATTCTAGAGCAGATGTGTCCTGTCTAGCGGGGTGTCGAGCTCTTTTGTACTCGCATCGTAACTCCATCATAGCTCCATCGACGGTTTGACCATCATGGTATTTCTGGGCATTTACCCCACCATCAGAATCAAGCAGCTTATTTGGCCTGAGTAGGGGCGCGGAATGTAGTGCGGAAAAGAATTGCATGGGCACCTCCTCGGCGCCAATTGGTCAGGTTGACGTCACACCCATGTAGTCCTTTTTCGTTTCCTTCACTCCGCCTGGCCCTGACATGTGGTGGGCATTTTGTGGTTTGACTCGCACCTCTGCATTGATGTGGAAACCCCGCCAAATTTTCTTCAACAACAGAAAGACAAGGAAAACTCCACATTTCTTTCGAATGTTTACGCTCAGTTGACAAAGCATGCGGACGATTAAACTCTCCGGCTGCTTCCATGCCTTGCCAGAAGCAGCATCTGGAGGGGCAGGGGTCCCGGGTTTGGTTGCGGGAGGATGACGCCGAGTGGATGAATCGGTGACAGCGAGTGGGGTTGGAAGAGATCGTCCCCGCCACAAACTCGCTGTATCCTAGAGCTACGACTTAATAAGAGCTGTCTCGGCCTTAATCCCGATGGGGCGCATCGTCATAACGCCGATGATCGTACTCAATGGGCCCGGCTTTGCTGCCCTTCTTGGCACACACTCCCCCGGACCATCGGTCAACCTACCATGAACCTCGCCATCGTTATCGCTTTTTACAGCGCGAATGGAAGAATTGAAAGTGGATCTTGAGCCCAGCAGCCTCGGCTCACAATCACCACTCAAACAACCAAGCCCTATCAGCGCTACGGTATGCGCAAGTATGCGCCTTGCGTGGTATGCTGATGTCGTTGTAATATGAACATCAAGCAACCTTCAGCTCTAAAGATTAGCGTAAAATCATGAGTCTTACCTGCATACAACTCGGGTCCCGAAATGGTGGAAGGCAGCCGCCGCGATAGCAGCAGCGACATCCCGTCTGTCATTGGCGAAGTTTATTGAAGTACGCGGCACAGAGCCGTACCATCTCGTAAAATGGACAGGCGATTCGTATTTTGAGCACTCGAGGATATCAAAAGATATCATTCACCATACGAAGAAGACAGGTCCTTGAGTTCTCGGCGCTATGGTTTGAAAGGACTGGATCGTGACACGAAGTACACACTTGCCGAGTGGCCGTAGCACGCCAACATTCTTTCCTCCGTGCATTCAGGGATTTGACCTTCAATCGCCTTCTCAAAAGGCAGACATCCCCGTCTGCTAAGGTTTCTGCCCCAAATAGACATGCTGCATTTGCACAATCAGCCAGGCTTACAAATGCCGCTGATACCAACGGGGAAGGAGATACTAACATTGTGATGTACGCGTGTATGTTCTTATCCGCCATATCCTTCCTCACATCAACAAGCAACAGTTCAGCCTCCTCCCGAGACCAGCCCAGCACCTGGGTGAAGATCTTCATTGTGATGCCCTGTACTCCTTCGAGGTTGTTCGTCATCTGCATGGCGCCGAGGATCTTTTGGTTCCTGCCTCGAGCCCAAGGAGAAGAGGGCACTGCGAATCGTTTCTCCTGCACGCTCTGAAACCCAACATCGGTCATGTGTTTTGCATACTCGAATGGTGAAAGCGCATCACGTCCAGCCTTCCGAATGCCCTCAAGAAGATAGTTGTTCCACCGCCTCAGCGCGGTGCCTTCCAGCGAAGCATCCACGGCCTTGAAGTCGATCACAGTCTCCTGGAACTCGACCCATCCACCTGGGTTCAAGTTGTCGTACACTTGGCCGAACAATTTTGGAAGATCGAAGATGGAGGTGCACATGTACCGGCCGTGGATGTAGTCGAACTTTTGCCCGAAAGCCCACTCATCTTCCGCGTCGTCGATCTCGAAAGAGCAGTTGGCGGGGACATATTCGGGCTGAATCGGGCTGAGGTCGGTGCCCAGTACCTCTGACTCCGGATTCCTATCGGCGAACTCTATCGCCCAGATGCCCGTTCCAGTTCCGATATCGAGGACGCGGTGAGGCTTGGATATGGGGGCCAGACTAAGCTCGTTGTTAAAGATGCGGAGGGCGATTGCATGCTGTAGGTCCAGACGGCTTTGTTCTTGCTAATTAGAGATCAGCCTTTATGTTCAGGTGTACTTCGCGGCGTTGCAAACCTCATCGTTGGGGAGGAAGTATTCTAGAGCATGTTGTCAGTGAAGCGTATGAAGGCGGCTTTTCACGTTTCTAGCTTACTGCCTTCCTTGTATCTATGATACGTCCTGCCGAACTCTTCCACAAACCTGTACACACTCGATGCCACTGAGGCCGATGACGATGCCCTATCCACATCGATTCCCAAAGCTGAATCGCCGTCGCTAAGATCAGTATCAATGCTCAGCGACACGAGAGAATCATTGTCAACGTGCGACGCGTTTAGTTCGCTAAGCGCAGCGGCTGTCAGTCTACTGGACCAACCATCGCCGCCTGCTGACATCGCAGCCTGGGTGACGCTGCTGCTCTCCGAGCTACCATGAACCAATATCTCCCGTTGGTCTGGGTCTGAGGTACGGACTTCATAGTTTGGGGCTTCCATGTCACTGACTGTAAACCGAACTGGCAGCTCAGATGGGTGTGTCGTCGGTTGTTGCTTTGGAAAAAAATGTGTTGGCTCAGCGATGAAGAAGATAGACCGTAATGAAGGACGGAAGGGCACTCTCACGGCAGAATGTTAACGCCATGGCGTCATATTCGTATCCGCTCGACGTCCAATAAGAGAAGGGGATTGAATGTGGCCGAGACTAGATGCACACTATCGTTGAGGACCCCGCGGCTTTCATCTTAGCGGTCATATCGATGGCTGGGTGTCTTAGGTAGTAAGGCATGGCGCTAGTCTCTAGAATCCACCAAATATACCGGGAGTACGTTTGGTGGTTGCTTGTCTTAGTCAGAATGTGCATTCGGAGCATTTTGCTGTCACAGACTGACCCGCACAAACCTGCAACAGGGGTTGATAAAGAAATGCCTTCGCCGTAGTCGCACATGGAAATCGCGCAGGTAAATGGGTTCAAAAGGAATTGGAAACAAACATCGAGACATATTGGTTTACAGGCATGAAACCATCGTTTTTCCATGAAGGACGATATCAATGTTCTGAACAGAGCTACATTACAGCAACAAGGCCCAGCGGCATTTGAGTACAGTGGTTCCATTACGGGCTAAGGGACTACTGAGCTAATCAATTCATGATCAAGTATCAAAATAAGAAGGCGACATGTTGCATCAGCTTCTACGTCACGAAGGGGTTTTAGAGCTGATGATTGAGGTCGGTGTGCATACGCAGCCAGTGAGGGGTTGCTAGCTCGGATTTCGATTCGTAACGGAGAGCACAGGCAATGAAACTTCGCCCTTAGTGCTTCTGGAACAGTGAAGGTTCTAAGAAAGACCGAACCTGTAGATGTCCTTCAGGGCAGTAGCGTCTCCGCGAATAACTCCGAGAGAATTCTGGCCTCAGTGGCACCTGGAGAGGTCGTCCAAGTCCATTATTTGGCTTGGTTGATTTCTTGGGACAAGTCGTGGTACCGTCTGCTCGAATTATCAATATTGAGTTCTTGGGCTTTGACAATTGAGAGCAGGTATATAAATATATCATTGTCGCTATCTGAAAGCATTGTCTCAATTCTATGTATGAAGGTTCTATACCAGAAGCCGATGGCCCATCAATCTAGTTTCATCTTTGAAGGTACATTTTCGCCACTGTGGGCAGTTGGGTTGATGTAATCCACATGTTACGGTAGTGTCCTACAGGAATGCAGATCCATCAGCATGGGTGAGCAGGGTGGTGCCGTAAGGGGGCAGGTGCCAACTTCGAGATGCCAGAGCCGTCTTGGTCCATGTCAGCGGTTGCTATTGGACGAATCACGGGAAATCGGCGCTAATCTGCCTGGTGCGGGTCGCACTCGCACTCGTCTATCCGATTAAGAGGGGCCTGAAGCGGCCTCCGGGGCTGTGGAAGGTCACCAGTATACCCTTTACACCCCATTTTCACCTAAAGTTTAAAGTCGAGAAGTTGCAGCAGTTGCCCGGAAAAGATTACAAGAGGTTATTTAAATACAGTCTTACTTGTCGCTTTGCTACCACACCAGTCCGGTTTCTGAGTCTCATACTAAGAGACATTGTCATTGGAATTTAGCTCATAATCAACGTATCATTTCCACAACATGGCGCGCGAGTTTCGTTATCGCGACGGTGTAGCCATCGCCCAAATCACAGTCTTTTTTGTGTTTCTGTGCTTCGGTATCCTTTTCCGGGTGCAAAATAAGATGGGCTGGTTTGGTATCTCCTTCATATCTACAATACGCATAGTCGGCTCCGGCTGCATGCTGGGCACCATTACCAACGATTCCAGGGCTCTCTGGGCCACCATCTTTGTCTGTGAGTCCTTGGGACTCGTCCTCCTCACTTTCGTCTTGCTGGATCTACTGAAGAGAGTGTAAATATTCTTATCGCCAACTATATCTAAGAAGGACCTGACATGCTGACTTCTGGCATTGCAGAAACTCGTTCGTTCACGTCCTAACACAATGGCATTTCCGCATACCTGAGCTCATCTGCTGGGCCGGACTCGCCATCTCCATCGCGGACTACGCTCTCGCAAGTCAGAAGACGGAAAATGCTATGGCGCCCGGGACGTTGACCAAAGCTGGAGTGGGCCTCTTCGCGGCGCTCTACTTCTGGGGAGTGCTTCTTTTCATATACCTGGTGCAGAAGTGGAAACAGGTCCCTCAACCTGAGAGACGTTCTCTGATTGGCTTCGCCGCTTGCTTTCCGTTCATGGCTGTCCGAATCTCATACACGATCGCCTATGTCAGCACAGGCGCGAAGAAATTCAGTGCTGTCAACGGCGACACGACGACTTACCTTTTCATGACAATGTTAATGGAGTTTGCCATCCTGGCATGTGTGGTATGGACTATCTGGGGTCTAGATAGTCATTACAAGCAGGTTAAAGATAACCGAAGCCAGGACAAAGGGAGTAGTGAGATGGAGGATCTGGTTTCCTCAACTGAACGAAGAGCCCGGAGTCCAGAAACATGATGTGGTAATCAGATTTCAAATCTAACAAGTTCAAGCTCATTGTTAGCTGTTCATTCTGATGTGCGAAATATATTTGAGCATGCTTTGAATGTCAATATGATGGCAGCTGGGTAAGAATAAACATATCGGTTTTTATCAGTATCCACCTTTGAAGCCGAAAGCGATCATCCTATGTCAAACTATATGAGAAGTGAAGTCTCATTTATCCCTGGGCATGTGTTTCAATAGCCCACATGCAAATGGCGACATCGGATGTTTCTACTTCAAACAAAATACAGTCACCGATAAACAACTCTAAACCCAACTAAACTTTGTACTCCAAAGTTTATGTTTATAAAGGCTGTCTTGACAGTTGACCTGATTTTGTCACTCCATGTATCGTAACTATAGGAATTGAAAACGTTAGGCCGGTTTGTGGGCGGGTTTCACTTTACGGGCACTCACCGACATTAAACAAACAATTGTTAAGTTCGTGGGCTATTCAGTCCTAGATTGTAGATACCCCGATCGACTTGGCGGAGTTCATCGTGGTGTATGCCTTGAGGCCTGAATCAGCGTAGCGTATCGCTATGTTTCAGACAAACAGCATCAAGCTGTACGGCATGTAATCAAAGATCGAATAAGAGCCAAATCAGACGTTTGACCCTGTCTACGAATCATTACTTTGTTCATTGTGACATCACAGATGTTCTGTTTCAGGATCAGTTAAGTCTCTCCTAATGCTACAGCATTGTATCTGTCTTCATCTCAGCACCCAACTCATACCCCTTACACTAAAATCGACTTATTTGTTGTACAAAAAAGTAGCCGGCTTCGCTCTTTGCTTCGATAATAATGGAGTTGTAATTGCTCGTCACGATCTCCCAGTGATTCAATCAAGAGGTCAAACTCGGCTGATATCAACGTCGCCCATTTGCTCGGGTATGAAGACTGACTTGGGAGCCTCCCATTACTTATGTAAAGGAACGGGAAGGCTGCCCTTGAATCAACCTGTACAAAATCTATATTGCTCAAGATCATAGGATGGGTCAATTATCTGAGAATATAGTTGCAAAAATCAAACATTATAATAGTCGTATGTACTAGCTCCAATTTATCGAACCATACCATGCTTCGAGTGACAATATTCGGGAGGGGACAAGCTGGTATGAGTTTCCGGCACGCCGTATGCTAGTGCCCACGTTCCTCCGCGTCCTGTCCACCCTACCTCCGCCACCTCCACCGCAAGTCCGCTGTTTCGTCCCCGATCCTATGACGGCCCAACAAATGTGATCAGCAAATGAACAATTCGCGTGGCTTAGCAGCGCTTACTTTCAAATGCAGTATTGCAATTTGCCTTGAACGGAATCTCATCACCCAATGTCCGCGTCTCAATATTTCAAGCCGGCTTGAGCGGAGGCAGAGCGCTGGCTATCAACATCTTACATGACTCCGCCAGCCTCCTGATCCTATGCTTGTCTTCTGATGCCAAAACACAACAATATGCCATTACTGGGGCATCTCTCTGGGTATATCATAGAGCAGATCCTCCTAAAGCCACCACAATCACTTCTATGCAACTTGATCGCAGATAGGAACCACCCGATAACCTTTCCAGTTGGCAACAGTTTCGAGTTTCAAATATACCCAGTCGTCTTGCAGAAAGGCTCAATAAAAATGACTATTCAGTGGAATCCTCTAAGAGACACGGTCAGTTTGCGTGGCAAAGTTGCCGTTGTCACAGGCGGAAAGTAAGTGCAAGACGCATTTGGCCTCGAAAAGGATAAGAGACTAACCAAAGCCCTCAACAGCAGCGACATTGGTCGCGAAACAGTGAAACTCCTCGCCTGGAAGGGAGCAAAAGTCTACTTCACCACACGATCCGAGGCGAAAGCAATCGAGACGCGGAAGCGTATCCAGGATGCTCACCCAGAGATCGACACCGATAACTTGCAGTGGATAATCATGGACGTCACTGACCTAAGGAGCATATGCTTTGTCGCCGATAAGTTGAAGGAAAAAGAGGCGAAAATTGACATATTAGGTGAGGGTTGAGATATTGCATCGCAGTTGATTCTCCCGGTCTAATGTTTGCTCTGGTCAGTCCACAATGCGGCTGCTGCAACAACATCCACAGAGCTTGTGGGACCTGGATGGGAGATTCATATGGCCGTCAAGTACGTTGAGAAATTTTCCCGAATCCAATTAGTTGCTGTGCTAAAACAACATTCTTCCCTAGTTTAATCGGACCTTTTGTCTTCACGAACCGCCTCCTCCCCCTCCTTGAAAATGCTACCAAAGAGAAGAATTCCGATGTCCGAATTGTGACAATGAGCTCGAGCGCCCAAACTGCGATGGTTCCGTCCAGCTACAAGTTCCGCTTCACCTCCCCCGACTTCCTCCGCAACCCTGTTCCTTCGCCACCCTGGCAGTGGCGCTACCTTGGCCGCTTCATGTTCGGTTTCGATACCACTCGCTATGGCGTCTCCAAAGCCGCGAACGTAATCTTTGCCCAAGAGCTTCAGCGAAAATTGGACGAGAAAAAGCTCCCGATCCTTTCAATGGCAGTTCATCCAGGTGAGGTTGCTACCGTGGGTGTCGATTCAATCAACACAGCCTTGGTCAGAGTGATTGCGCGGTGGACCTTTGTGACGCCGGAGCAAGGCGCCGCGACGCCCCTCTTTGCTGCTGTTGCGAAAGAAGCGCGCGAAGATCCGGTCAAGTATAAGGGAAAATTCGTGTTCCCGGTAGGAAAGATAGGAGAACCCAACCCAGTCGCTTCGGATGAGGACCAGGTTAGGGGGTTGTGGCAGAACACGACAACGGAGGTTAACAAGCAACTACAGGCTGCTGGCCTCCCTAGTTTGGCGCTGTGGTGATTGCATTTGGGTAAATGTTCGTGGGTATAGATTTAATGTAGCAAGTCAAGTTTATAGAATTAGAGAATCCTTTTACAAATTACAACTTGTCATCGGTCTTCAGCTAGAAGGCGCTCTCAGGTTTCGCGTTGTTCTACTGCGTTCTTAGCTATTCGTGAGCCAAACAGACCCGAGGCCAGTTTTTCTAGTAAATCACGCTGCTTGTTTCGTGCCACATGTCTTCTCAAATTATGTTTGTGGTCCATTCTTTGTGTATTATATCAGTAGCAAGAACACAGCGAACTCTCGTCTCAGTATGTAACAGATACTGCATCTCCGGTGCTGACAACCCAGTGTTCAACCTTCTCGAGTCCCCACAGGACGGTGAAGATCAGTCGAGCAAACTCGTCGACTTCGGCAGCTCTTATGCCGCGTGATAGAAGGGACTGGCCCTTAAGACTATATGTGAACAGCGGATCATCTTTCTTAGCGACAGCCTCCCACCGGGCAGCTGACGGGGCCTCCCAAAGTTCTCCTCGCAAAGTGATACAGACATCCCCAGCACAAGCGTGACTCCAGGTTGCCTTGAGACTGGTATAAACACCAGTGGCGATGCTTGTGAGAAGAAACGTGCGGCGTATGGACTCGGAGAGGACAAAAGCCTGATACAACCTCGGAACCACTTCGTGGTTCTCGAGGGCCTGATCGCATGACATGGATAGCGTGTTTGGAAATATCGGTGATGCAGTTGCATCCACGGCGGCTGACTCCCATAACTGACGTGCCCATAGACGGAGTGTGTCTATCAGACTCTCTGCCTTGGCTCGGCGGGAGATTGACGGAGAAAATAGAGACAATAAGAGGTGAATCAGGAGGGCTTGCGTGCGACCTAGATGCTCCCTAGTGGAGAGCAGTGGCATGAAAGACGGATCATTGGTGGAGTGGGCGGCCAATAGATTCATGATGTAGCTATTAGAAACAGCGTCAACAAAGTGCTCGTTATCTGGGGTGACGGTCTGCGCTATAGCAATGGCTGCGTAGGCGTCCTGCATACACTGCGGCAGTGTAGTCTCGGAGTATAGATGGCGGTGGATGAAAGGATTGTGACCCTTGTGGAGGAAGCGGACGAGCCATGTCTGTAATCCGCGAACAAAATTTGTGAAGACGGCGGCAGGCGGGACGGAGGTCGGAGGTGAGCGTTGGTAGGCGATAGCCCAGGACGGGGATTGGAGGAACCACCTCAGACCTTCCGCATGTGGACCAAGATGGCTTGCCGCCTCGTTATCGGTCTGGTTGGCAGTGGAGGAAGATGAAGATGATGCTGCTGTTGCGGCGTTGGTCGGATCTGATGTCGTTGATGGAGCAAAGAGAACCTCGTCCATTGCGTTTATATCTGACCCTTGAAGCCCGATATCGTCCATGCTGCTTTCAGGCCATGATGAAGGGATATGCCAACCGGAGCTCAACCTTGGGTCAAGGCAGTGCGATGATATTGATGATGATGACGGGAACGGTCGGGACCGACGAATTGCGGGATAGACACAGTCGACCTCCTTATCCTCACATCGCGAACATGACGGAAGAGTCTGGTCGCAGCGTCTTTTGGCCTCGACGCAGGCCAAGCAAGCTCTCTGTTTGGATCTTCGGCCCATGCTGGTTTGCGCGTGGATATTGAGGCTAGAGAAATCAGTCACTGGAAGTGATAGATCATGCCAATAGTCTGCTTGCTGTACGAAGTCCTAGAATGTAGCCTGAACAAGCTTTGGTAGTACGTACTAAGACATTGGTCCGTAGATGCGGAGATCCTGCGGACTTGGTTGCGGAGAAAGAAGTAAAGTAAAATTACGTGCCCAAGGGCAATCACCCGTACAGACAAACGACCTCGCTTCCCAGCCTAGCACGTTTACAGAAGTTGCATACAAAGAACTGCTACCATTAGCTTAATCCTTCTTGCCGAGCTATGTCCACAGTACGGTTGATGCAGAACTTATATCGAATCAAACAACATTCACTGTTATTTAGCCTTCGAGTACAACGCTAGGCATGTTTCTTGCGTTCTTCCATTTATCCACCATGCTTCAAAATCCAGGATTCCCCCTCCCCAGTGCAACTTCTTCCGCCCCAATTTCTCATGCCACTTTCATTTGTCTTTTCGAACAATTTAGTTTTTGTTCTTATAATATCCGGAACTCTCCCTTGGTTTAATCTCCACTTGCTTTGTGAAGATGATTCTTTCAAGTCTTTCATAGGCTACTCTCGTTTCCCAGAAAGTTTGTCGGTGGTCCCCGTCCGCCAGAAACCTATCGGTATCTTGGGACAGTGCCAAGCTCCACTGTATTCATGATCGTTTACAGGCTCGAGCTGATAAGTCCTCGATCCATACCTATTACAGGCGTTGAAAATCTGGCCATGGTCCGTTATGCTCACAAGTCATTCAAAGTACCCGTTGCGTCTGTTTATCTGGTTGGCACAGATGTGTTCGTTCACGAAATCAGCACGGTATCCAAGGGCAATGATAGCCTCGGGTTGATATCACTAATACAACAATCCATTTGGCGACCTCATTCCCTCAATGATCTTTAGAGTTTTAGATAAGCAGTCAGTAGAAGGCTTAAAGCAAGAAGGTTCATCCCTAGTCAGACAGGCCAATACATCGTAGGATCTACACGCTCTGCTAAGCCCCGCATCGCCTTAGAGGAAGACGTGGGAGATCTTGATCTCGCGACGTATCGGGGAGTGAAGCAAAATCCCAAGCGGGCTCCCACAGGCAGAAAAAAAATTCGAATTGAATTCTGCAGGATGAAATTTTGTCCTGGGGTTTACCGTATTTGTGGTTGATCAAGACAAAGCTCTATTTCCTCGCGCTGAGCAACATGACATTGATTGCAGTTTGGAACAGCGGGGTCCTTCCACTTCTGAAGGTGTCATTTGAGACTATTGCAGCAGCTACGAGTGGAACAAGTAGCACTTTCTGTGGAGCTATGGCTCTCTTATTCAGAAGGAAGTATCTGCAAGCTCATCGTGGTGATTAATTGTTATCTGCGTCTCCCATAAAGAGAAAGGATGCTGGGTGCGAGAAATTCCCGAATTTAGATAGCCCCACTCCGAACAACCTGTCTGAATCTTGCCCGTCCCGAGCTCCTCCCCTGGCTAGCGGTGCCGCCGCGCTCGTGCTACCCCAACTTTCAGATTCCCATCAGCCTCGTCCTGCTCCTCCACTCAAACCAACCCGCGCGTCGCCTCGTGTCGCAAACACCACCACTTCCGCCACATCAATACCTCACCCAACAAACGACAGGCGCGATGGCGGCACAGGACACGCCAAAGCTGCTCTGGAACCCAGACAACGTCAAAGATGTTGCGGAGTCGGTCGGCATTCCCAACCTCAACGACGATGCACTGCGCTGCCTAACCCAAGATGTCGAGTACCGCATCGGCCAGGTCATTGTCGAGGCGCTTCGCTTCATGCGCGCCTCACGCCGCACCACCCTGACTGTCAACGATATCAGCACCGCTCTCAAGGCGCTCAACATCGAGCCTCTTTACGGGTACGATTCAACGCGCCCGCTGCGATACGGAGAGGCCAGCTTGGGCCCCGGACAGCCGCTGTTCTACATCGAGGACGAGGAGGTCGACTTTGAGAAGCTGATCAACGCACCCCTGCCTAAAGTGCCGCGAGATATGAGCTTCACGGGTGCGCCATCCCTACAAGCCTTCCGCAATTCGTCGCGTCTGCTAACTGTTGTCGTTTAGCACACTGGCTCGCCATCGAAGGCGTTCAGCCATCCATCCCCCAGAACCCGACGACAGCAGAATCGCGAAGCCAAGAGCTCGTCCCCAAGGGTCCCGGCGCCAATCCTGCCCTTGCCGCCCTCGCTGGCAACGACAGTCTCTCCTTCCGTCCGGCCGTCAAGCACGTCGTCTCTAAAGAGCTCATCCTCTACTTCGAAAAGGTCCAAAATGCCCTCCTCGACGACAACCCGGACGAGGAAGTGGTGCGCCTCCGACAGGCCGCCCTCGAGTCTGTCCGCGACGACCCCGGCCTACACCAGTTAATCCCCTACTTCATAAACTTCGTCGCCAACCAGGTTACCCACCGCCTTGACGACGTCTTTACCCTCCGCCAGGCCATGGAACTCACGGCCGCTCTCATCGCCAATACCAAGCTCTATCTGGACCCTTACGCAAACTCCATTGCCGCCCCCGTGTTGACGTGCATCCTCAGCCGCAAGATCGGCGCCGAGGATGGCGCGGACGCCATGCGGGAGCAATACCAACTTAGAGAGTTCTCGGCCTCGCTGCTGGGCCAGATCGCGCGCAAGTACGCCGCTTCGAATAACCTGCTCCGCCCTAAGCTCGTCCGTACGTGCCTCAAGTTCTTCATGGACCCTGACAAGCCGCCCGCGACGCACTTTGGTGCTATCACCGGCGTCGCATCCGCCGGCGGCCCCGAGGCGGTGCGCGTGCTGGTCCTCAAGTGCCTGCGGGCCTACAATGACAACATTCTGCAGCCGCTCAAGGACAAGGGCGAGGGCATCGAGTTTGAGATGCTGGTCGGAGGCATCCTCAAGGCCATTGCTACCATGATCGAGGACGACAGGGCGACCGTCAACGGCATCAACGGCAGCGCCAACAACTACGCCGCCGAACTCAACGAGTTCATTGGGCCCATCTTGGGCGAACGGCTCAACAGCCTGGGCAATCGGAGGCTGATCAAGCACGTCCTGGATGCCAGAAACATAGAGTAATGTGCACCTGTGCAGGTAGTCTTCAGGAAGGCGTCATGGCGTTTGGGTTAAGGCAGGGCAAAAGAGGATCCGGGAGGCATACCACATTAGTTGCAACGCGGTGTATAACATCCAATCGATTCACTCGGCATAAAAGTCTCATATTGCCTACCAATCTCATGTGATAACCCAGTCAGGCGACATGTGTGCTTGATGTAGGTAACCCATCTTGCGTCTTGCCCGAAAGCGGCCCTTTTGGAGTTTCAGTACATCGCTGAAAAAGATTATGTATAAGCAATCTCGAGGTCGGTTTGCCGGGAGCGCCGCCATACATAGGCATTCAACTGTTCCTGTATGACAGCGAGTGATTAAGGGGTGTGTATGTGTGGCCCCGGCTTTTCGTGTTTCGTACGGCGAGCCAACACCTCCCCAGCTCCAGCGCTGCTCTCAATGGGTTGTCGATAAGAGTAGGTGGAACAATTGATTAACTTGCTTGTTACTCAAGGGAATTCATTTTACAACTTTCAGTCTATACAATCCCTCGCCTTAAGCAGAGGGAGGCCGTACGCCCAGCAATCCCAGGCGCCAACCAATCAGAACTCCAGTCTCCCGTCTCCCGTCCTCCCAAAGTCTTCCTCGCAGCAGCATCGCTTCATCCCCACCTCGTCCCCATTACCACCTTGCAGAACCAGGCCGCTCGAGCCTTCTTCCCCCCTCGTCTCTGTCTCTTCTCCTCTTCGTTTACCACGCAAAGGCCAGGCCGGCGGCAGTGACCAGCGAGGTGGACCAGATGATCCAGCCCCACCTGACAATCTCGGGCTTGGCGAAGCCCATGGCGAGGTCGTAGGTCAGGTGGCGGATGCCGTTGAAGAAGTGGAAGGTGAAGGGCCAGGCGACGAGGAACTTGAGGCCGCCCTTGGCGACGAGGGGCAGGGACCCGAAGGCGGCGACGAGCGACTGCGTCTCGACGTGCCAGCCGAGCAGAGGCGCGACGAGGTAGGTGCCGAAGTAGACGTAGAAGGCGGCGGACAGACCTCCGCCGGTGATACGGGTCCAGATGGAGGCGCCGAGCCACGTCTGCTCCATCTTGTAGATGGTCAAGTGCGGGGAGACGGGACGGTTGAGGCGCTGCTTGGCGAGGAGCTCGAGGCCGTCATCGGGGGTAAGCTTGGAGGTCGCGACGGGGCTATGATGCATGCATGGTTAGGATCTGAGTTTCAAGATCGGAACGTCGGGGGATGAGGGAATAGTCGAGGGCTTTGGGTTGGGGGGAGCAATTGCGTACCGGATCTGGGTCGTCGACATGTTCGATGCGGCGACAATCCTGGGCACCTGGGAGTTGAAGAAGACGGAGGGCTTTCCTGCCGCTGTTGCCATACCAATAACCACATTGTCAGCCTTCCATTGATCCTTCGCTCTCCTCAAGTTTCAATGATGTCAACGAACCTCGGCGCAGGGCCGACACGCCCACCCGCTGCGCAATCATGTTGGATAGATGTTGTGTGTATTTGGTGTCTCGGGAAAGGCCAGCAGTGGTTCGAACTCGGGAAGTTTGTTCGCGTCGGCAGGGTGCGCTCTTCGTGGAGGAGCGGTCGGGCGAGAGATATCGGGTCGAAGAGTGTTGATGTCAAGCTCTCTCCAAGAATAAATGGAGACTTCTGCGCTTGCCCATCTACCTCCCGATTGAAGCGAAGCACGGGAATCCCCTCGGCTTTTCGGCTGCGATCGACCAATCAGCGCAGACCACTTCCTAAGCCGCGCAGACCACGTGACTTGCGCAGCAAAGGGACGTGCTGACTGGCCAAGGAGAAAAAAAGCTTGGGCAGAAGACGCATAGTGCCTTAGCTAAGCAGCAGCCCCCGGCGCACAGACCGCTTCCGAAAATTCTCCCACGGCCACAAAACCAACGCGACTTTCTGCGCTTCTTTCCTCTTTCTTCTTCTTTTTCTTCTCTTCAGATAGCAACGGCCGCCCGCCGCAGCATAACTAATGGTGCTTCCGACTCCCTTGGGAGGAAGACAGTACCCATGAAAGGCGCTGCTGGTAAAGCCCTTGGGTTAAGGGTGGCCGGAGAGTAATTCTGGGAATGGATCCTTCGTTGATCTCGGGTTCTGGTTTGCAGCCGTCTAGAAGCCGTTTCATTTATAGGCATCTACATACTTTTTCGCCTTGACTGAATGTTTTTCGTGATGTTTGACGCGGATGGGGAACGACCTCCAGTCTGTAGCGTGCGCTTTTGAGCCGCGTTCACAGCTCTGAAGAGTGCGAATATTGTTATATTGAGTTGTAGACCCCAGGCCACTCTACTTAGTGCTGTTGCGAGAGATAGGCAAGCATCACGCTGTAGGGGTGTGTTTTGATACCTTGCAGAGGTCAAGCTTGATGCTTCTGTATTGTGCTAAGCGCATGCCAATGGTCTCTTGCCTTCAATGATTCCCTGCATCGTTCCACTTGAAATCCACAGGAATCTGCGCTGGCTACTGCGGATGGTTGGTTGGTGGTCTAGACATACATATTTGGTGCAGCCCATTGGATGAGCCTTCATGTCGACGCGTAGGAGATGGCAGGATCCGTTCTGCGGGACGGCGACAGCTTTTGTTGAAAGGCAAACGCTTCCAGTCTTGGCCTCCAGCTCGTTGAAATGACAGGAACATGAATAACGAAAGACCGAGGTCTAGCTTGCAGTTAGTACCATCAGATCAAGAAATTGACGTAACCATATTCTCCGGTTCATCTGTACATTATATTCGGCTCATAACCAAGATTTCCAACCCTCAGGTGTTGAAACAAGTTTGGCTTTCTGGCCAGGGTATCTGTAATCAAGAGCACGACATTGAGTTGTAGCTTGCAAATTACGGCATCTCTCGGACGTTTACTTTGGATAAAGGTAAGGTTAAGGTTAATGGCATGCGATCAAAATTACCCCAAGACTCGCTTGCGCCTGGGCTTAATGAGGGATCAACTAGCAAGGCCACAATGCCTTGATGTTCATTAACGTCTGAAATAAAACTACTTTTCCAGTGACTGAACACTTTTCTGTGATAATGCGACGCACAATTATTGACGATAGCCGGAACTGAGTCACGCATCTGGCATCCTCATAAACGCCCCTATCCATCTAATGCAAAGTGGTATGCCATAACCTCAGACACCTGATCATACACCCCGCCACCCATAGAAACTGGCTCTCCCACGCCTTGAGGAAAATATCGAGTCCCGATTCGAAACTCCGTCGCAAATAAAGAATACCGGTCAACACCATTGACGCCCATGCCTCAGAAGTTGAAAGTACTATGGTCGAAATGAGGCGAAGCAGCATAGTAGGCAGCAGGACGGAGACCCTAATCGCCGTCAAGCAGGGCATCCATGCCGTTTCGCTCACTCTCGAGACTCTCCGCCGTAATGGGGCCATCAAAAGACTCCTGCTTTCTCTTGACGTCGTCGTCGTCTTGATTCGTGAGGTCGTCGAACATTTTGTTCACTGCTCGCTCTTCTTCTTGGGACCGAGGCACATCGTCTCTGCCGTTGAGCATCCCAACATCGCCCTTGAACACGTCGGGGCCGAACATCTCCACCGCTCGCTTCCGGCCAACCTCGGTCCGACGCAGTATCTCGAGAGCCTTACTCTTCCCAGCCTCGGTGTGCAGGTTAAGCCCATCTTCCTGGCCTTGGAGCAAACGTTCTTCAAGAGACAGCGACGAGTTACCAACAACGAGCTGCGGGCCCGGTGCCCCGTTGGACATGAACAGGCCCGGATGAAGCGTCGGGCCGTTATCGATATCCATTGGGTCGTGGTTGCTGCTAATGGACTGGCGGCCAACGTTACCATGAGAAGTGCTAGGAGGTGTCGCTGACGACTGTTCCGATTTGCGGCTGTTCCCTGACATGCCAGGAGGCACGGTCGCGCCGGTTGCAGAGGCGGCGGCAGCGGCAGCAGCAGCGGCAGCGGCGGCCTCGGCATTTTGGGCTTTCCGCTTCAGGCTCGCGGCCTTAGCTTTCATGTTCTCTGGAAGATCCTCAGGATCGTCAACGCCAAACTGGGCCAGAAGCTTCTGGAGCTTGGTCGGTCGTGGCTTGCGTGTACTCTTGGAGACCTCGAGGACTGGGGGTGCGTTGGGTGCCACAGGACACCACTTGTGCAATTCTTGTCTGAAGAAGTTTGTTTCGTAGGCAAGCAGGATCTCAGCTCCCTCAATCTTGCGCAGATAAAACCGCTGCGTGTCCGCCTCGGACTCCGTAGACATGAGAGGGTTGCAGTATCCGGCGATGTGATTCCGGAAGTCTTGGGCGTTGTCGATGATCTTTGTTAAAACCTCCTCTTCTTCGGGCTGGAAAGGCAGGCTTGGAATCTTCTCGGACCAAGTGATGAGCTCTTCGAGCTTTGGTCGGGCGGCATCTCGAGGAATCTTGACACGCCAGTCACATATCGGGCATGTATACTTGTCCTCGTCCTTGACCTTCCCACGGGCAATCTTGAGACACTTGCCGTGGTACCTTGTGCGCCTGTTAGCTCTAGACTCTTCCGGGGCCTTGATGACACTTACCATTCATGACAGAGCTCGCACTCAATCATCATGCCAGCCTCCACCTTTCGGCAGATGCAGAACACTTCGCGGAATCGGGGATCTTCCCACCGGTGTACCTTTTGATCCGGGCTGGCTTCTCTCGACGCGGGTTCGGCGGGCATGCGAGGCTTGTCGTTGACGATGTCGAAACAGTCTTGGTTCCGCTCGAAGACGTAATCCATGTGACTCTTGAGGATATGGAGAGGCGCGTTGGTTTTGCCGAATAGCTTCTTGCCTTCTCGCATCCAATCCTCGTGCCGTTTCTGCTCACGCTCTAGGTCCAGCGTGCCATTGGGCTTCGAGTTCAAGTCGTCGAGTCGGCGCATGATCTCGGCGACCTCTGCGTACTTAGGTCTGTTCCGGATGTCGGGGTCGCGCGATCTTTCGGTCAAGTCCACAATCTGGCGGTGGGCCTCTCTTTGCTTGTAGAGGATCTGGTCCACAGCAGCCAAGGTATCTGCCGAGACGGGTAGGAAGTTGGCGGTGACCTGCATCGATAACGCCTCCAACTGAGGGTAGTGGACGACTTCGGCGACAATCAACTCTCGGGCCTTCTTCTCCCACTGCTGACCGAGGTTCATCTGATCGATGTAGTAGGACAGGTGGTCGTTGTATGGGGGAATGTCTAGGCGCTTTCCCTCTTCGATGAGCTCGCGCACTTCGTTGAGTGAGAGGAGGACGCCTCTGTTGTTCCTGGCCTTTTCGTTCCACTTGAGTTGCTCGAGAACTCGCGAGAGGCGGTCGACCTCCGGCATATCGACGTTGAAAGTCCGGCCCTCCTCAAGTAGGTCTTCGATTTCGGAGAGCTCGGCGAGGTGGATCTGTTCCAGCGCTTTAGCTGCATTCTTCTGGAAGGCTTCGATAGCCTCAGCCCGCTCCCTCAGCTGGGTGATTTCAGGGCAATCGAATCCGATTTGCTCAGCCTCGCTGAGAAGACGGTACACGTTGGAAACATTGCGCGCATCGCGTTCCTTTTGGTCCAGCAAGTTCTTTCGGTTCAGGATGGACTTCTCGCTCTTGCGCCTGTTCTGCTGCTTCCTAATCGTGTAGTTGGTGGCCTCTTCCACCCAGTCGTTGCACCGTTCGACAAATTCCCGAAGCAAAGGGAGCGAGGGCAGGTCATGGGGTATTTTCTCACCCTCGTGTAGGAGATTCCGAAGAGTCTTAAGAGAAGGCGTGGCCTCTTCTTCCAGAAGCTTCTCGTACTTCTCTTCCCAGGCCTCTGGCGTGCGCGCCTTTTCGAGGACCTTTTCATAGGTTGCTTCGATGTCTTCTTCGGATTGTCTGTAGATAACGGCGTGGCCATCGCCGTTCAGCCGTTGCTGCTCGGGCATGTCGCAGCATGGCTGGTGGCCTGCATGTGCAAGGCACAGAACCTTGCCCGACTTGAGGCACTTGAACCTAGACAAGTAGGTAAAGGCTTTGCAGTAGGAGCACTGGTATTCCTCTTCGGGGACGTCGGTGTCGTCGATCTCGAACTTCAGGGGACAAGCGGTGCCTTCCTTGCCGGCCAGACCGCAGTCGTGCCACTGTGACTCGAGATGCTTCGCCACGAAATCGGCTCGATGCGCTGACTCGCGTTTCTTGATTCGATCAAGTGCCGGGGCGAGCCACTTAGCTGTCTGGATCGTGAGCCCGATGTTCGTTGTGCCCTCGGCAGCTGTCCAAAGCAGCTCGTCATGCGAGAAGCAGGGTTGTCTGCGGAAAACCTGCAGCCTCTCCACGCCCGAGAGACCAAAAGGCTCCCAGTCGCACGGGGCAAAGTTCACGGCTTCGTTAAAGTTGAATCCATGGTTGAAGCCGGCGTGGTACGCTTGCGGGAAAGTGATGACAAACTGGCCTGCACGCTGGTCGAGGGCATACACTCGAACACCGGCCTTCTTCAACTGCTCCGGTGTCAAGAGAGTAACCAGCTGGAAGAGAAGGTCCGGCTGCGTTTCAAACAGCTCGGGGACAGCCTCTCGCATCGCAGCCTCGAATTTCTCAGCGTCCTCGCCCGGGATACCGTACCACGTCTTGGTCGCGCCAAAATGCTGGTAGTTGGCAGAGTAGGCGTAGTGGTCCTCGTTGTGCCAGCAAAAGGTGGAGAAAATCATGCCAACATACACCCACGGTACAGTCATACCAGAGATGTCGGACTTGATGTGTCTGAACAGACTCTCGGGATGCAGAGGCAGCAGGTTGAGATTCCAGGGATCGGTGGAGTAGTGATTGTTAGGGTGTCTCTCAACCGTCGGAAAGCCGGACCCGTGAGTGGTGCAATGAATGTCAGCACCGTACTCGACTTCAACCGTCTCTTCAATATCGGCGACAAGGCGCCAGAACTCCGTCTCAACGTCTTCCTCAGTGACTGGGCGATGGCAGTTGAGGACCGGGTCGAACGGCATCTTCTTCTCGAAGTAGCCCTGCTTGAAGTCCGCGGCCTTCTGCTGGAACTGCTTCAGGGAGTAGAGACCACCTTCCTCGAAACCATACTGACCGTCGCCGACAAGACATCTCGGGCAGTTCCATTCGGATTCAGGCTTGTGCTTCAACGGGGGATCGAGACAGGTGCCGTGATAAGCGTGGTCGCAAGACTCGCAGACAATCAGGGGGCTGCTCTCATCGCCTTTGCCACATTGCTCGCATTTCTGCCGAGGGTCAATATCTTGGATTAGCACTCGAGATGATACATCGCAGCTCACCTCGCCAGGGCTTGATGCCTCATCTCGGGGAATTCTGGGCACGGAAGGGCGGAACAGGGACATGTGAGATCCAGCCACTGTCGGCACAGTATCTGCAAATCAAATGCATTAGTAAAGTGTCAGGCAGCCAATCATGATACAGCAGGTCGCAGAAACAATCAAGCCGCCTTCCTCGGTCGGGAAAATGGGATGCGAGACGGCACAAAACCCCTGCCAAACCCATGCAACCCTGTGTTCGCTGCATGCAGAGCCCGCCGTGACGGTCGGGTACAGTTGGCAATGCAGCTGCTGACATGGCACGGTTGTGCTGACCGGTGCGTGTGCAAGAATGAGGGGAAGTCACTCACCTTTCTTGAGACGTTTACTTCGTCTGCTGCTTCCAGCATCACCATCATCCTTGTCTGCTGCATTGTCCTTCTTTGCTGAGTCGAGACTCTCACAGCTCATTTGACGTTTGAGCGCTGCGGGACCAAGGTTTGAAGGTCGGTACTCTGGTGTGTTCTTTGCGGAGTTCACAGGACTGAAAGACTTGGGTGGCGGTGTGCTGGTAACATCGTCCTGGGGTGTAGGACGGTTGACGCTCTTGAAACCAGAGTTGACGGGAGTGAAGCCTCCCGTGTTGATTGCTCTAAAGCCTGATGTGACGGGAGTAGGCGCTGGTGGTGCATCCGCCATAGGAGTATCCCGATCGCCCTCCTTCTTGAGGCTGTTGATACTTGCCTGCAGCGCATCCGAGGCGTTACGAGCGGGGGAGTCCGCTCGAGCGCTGGAGGGAGTGTTGACGTTTGACCGCTTCATGGGAGTGACAGCGGGGCTAGGGGTGTAGGGACCGCCGTTCTCATACTCGAGCTGTTGATGAACTCCGGGCTTGGCGAGCCTCAGATACTCCTCATAAGGGCAAAGCCATCTCTGATATGAGTTCTTGAGTGAGGTGGACAGGGAAGACATGATCTTTCCACTGTAGCCCAAGTCACGACCGATTTCGGCCCACTTCTTCAGCTTGCAAACCTTATCAAAGCCGCCGCGGGCTTCGACGGCCTTTTTCAGACGGTAGAGATCGAGGGGCTTCTTATCGACATAAGGAAGGCGGTGTAGGTTGTTGCCCTGCTGCCTGTGGAACTTGGCGAGAGCGTCGAGGTACGAGATGTTTGCTCGTGTGCCTGGGATGGTCAGCATCGACGTCGGCCAGGGGAATCGACCTGGCGGCAACTCACTTCCTTCAACCGAGTTCAGCTCTTGCTTCCTGGTTCTAAAGTGAAATCTCTGTACATCATTGTCAGCACATTATTGAACGCCATTATGTCTCCATTCAACACATCGCGGCATCAGAGCCTGCGCTCCTTGGGTGTAACATTGAGACCAACCTCTGTATCAATTGCAAAGTCCGGGTTCCACGAGTCGGGCGGGATGATCTTGCACAAGCCGTAGTTCTTCGCCTCGGGAGAGATCTTCTTGATGTATTCCATCGGGTCCTTCCACTCCTCGTCCGTCGGACAGTAGGTGGGCGCATCCTCAAGGCCGTGAGGGCGGGACTTTTTCTTGACGGGTTCCTTGATCGCTGTCGCCTGTCCGCGTCGCTCGACCGAGGTCAAGTCGAGGGGTGTGCTTCGCATGGAGCTGAGAGGTACTTGGGGGTTCGTCGGGTGGTAGCCGTTGGAGTTGACCTGGGCGGCCTTCGACTTGGCCGAGGCCGTATTGGGGGCGCCGACGGCCGGAGAGGCTCGCGAGCTCGCGTTCGCGCTTCCGTTACCGTTAGCAGCGGCAGTGCCGCCCGTCGTAGGGGCAGACACCATAGTGGCAGTGTGGTCGGAGAGCTTTCAACGGACGCAATGGCGGACCGGTTCGGGGAATATCGGCTCTCGTTGGTGTCGCAGTCACGAGTGTTTGGATATACGGCGGGTACCGTGAGAGATCATGCGAGCGGATTGGGATCGGTAGGCTAGGGGTGTTGTCGCATCACAGGTTCTACGAGAGCTCGATGTTGTTCGATCGAGGCAGTGGATTTGTTCCGCCGATGGTTGTTTTTTCTTCGGGTTGCCGTCACCAGAAAGAGCGCATCTCACAAAAGCTGTGAGGGAGAGATGGGCCTGGGGGAGTAGAAGAGCGGGAGAAGTCAGATATACGGTACAGTCGATAAAAGCTTAATGTGCAGACAACCAACAGGTACATGCCGGCGGCGGCGGCGGCGAGAAGGATTGGGATAGCGTATGGTAAGGTACGGTACTCACTGGGTGTGGCTCGCATCCAGGTTGAATATGGCGCACAGGTGTGTTTGTGACGAGCCCGTGTGCTAAAAACACCTTGAAAATGACCGGATTAGGAGGGGATCCGAGTCATGAAGATGGGTTGTAGAAGGGAAACTGGGGTTTGGAGGAGGAAGCGATGTGGAAGTGGGAATGTGTGGATAAGAGAAGGGGAGGTGCAGTTGGAGGCCGGGCCGGGTGGATGAACAAAGTGGGCGAAGGAGACGGGAGGAAAATGGGAAGCGAGGGGAGAGAGGAAGGGACAAGAGATGGATGGATGCACGGGCAGCTTCTGGCTTAGTGTGGGCGAAATTGGGAGGAGGAGAGAAAATGGAAACGGGCAGGTGAATTGTGCGGATGAGGAAAAGGTAAGGGAAGGCACGGTAAGGCGAGGCAAGGCAGGTGCGATGCAAAGAAGTGGAAAAGCAGGCATGCACGGGCAAGAGCGACGGGAACGAAGAAGGCAGCGGTAGCAACACCCGGTACTGTACGGGATATTAGATTCGGGCAGAGGCCAGCAGGAGAGGAGGAGGATCTTTCTCCCTCTCCGTCTCTTTCATACCTCCTCCACTAAGGTGAGAGAGACCGAGACCAAAGCAAAAGCAGAAAGCGCACCTCAGCTGTGGGAAAGAGCAGCAGCAGCAGCAGCGCAGCATGAACGGGGGCGGAGGTTCCACGGGTCCTGCCAAGGTACCTGCGCTCTCAGGAAGGAACAACACCGTCGACGGGGGCAGGTGCGAGGGCGATTAAGGGCGGAACGGAAGGGACAGCTCACGTCTGTCGGTGCAAAATCCCACTACAAGTGGGTCCGCACTGGACGTCAGGTCACCAGTTGGAAGTACCGAGTACCTCCACGGGTACCCGTCCTTCACCCATGACGTCCTTGGAGTCTCTCTCCCTCCCTCTGCACTAGATGCACCCGACGCACCATATGAAGCCTTTCGGCCTTTTACCCTGACCCCCTCACAGCAGGAGCCTCTGTCTGCTGGGCCTGCCAGATGGCGTCTGTTCCTGATGAACCCTCTCAAACCGAACCCAAGGCTATGCTCGCCACTCTTTTTCTCCGATCGTAACGGCTGTACATAGTATCAATTGTTAGATCAGGGCTTCGGGTCAAAGGGAGCGATGGGGATTAGCTGCAACTAGCCCCTGCGCCATTTCGATTTTTTCCCACTCGCTTCCCTTTGATGAGAACCAACCCTGCCGTCCTTGCGGTGTTTGGCCCGAGGTACATCGCCCTCCGTCTCTTGGGACTCCTAAGTACCTAGGTACAACGCCCCAATTGTGGCCATCCAAGTCGGTCGACATGCGACATCAGACACACACACACACACAACACAACACACACTTCCACCAAAGGCCGACGACGTCGCAGCGGCGGGCCCATGAATCGCTTTAGTGCACGGTCGCAAATCTGCAGCGCGCATCGCTGGAATCACCGCTTGGCCGTCCACTGCGGTGTACGATGTGCTTGTTATGAGTTCTGTGGGAATGGGGTGCATGCATGCATTTGATCGTCGAGTAAACATTGGCCGCCAAGGGCCATCCCGGAGTGGTCGTCCGACATGTATCCGGCGATTGGCCGAACTGCCAAGCTGAGCTGATGGATGCGACATGTTGAAGCATTTCTCCCTGCGCTATCATAGCAGAGGGGCCATCCGGCAGGCAAGTCAATCAATTGCCCCTGGAAGGGCATTAACGACAGCCAGGGATGGATGCTTCGGTCGGGTTTTACGCACATAAATACTCATCTTACTGTACTACAATGCCGATTGAAATGCTGTCGCCGAAGCAGCGCTCACAGCATCTGCTGGTAGATAACGCGCCGGAACCACCAGGATGGGGGCCAGATCACAGGCATTATTAGGCTTCCGCTGCCTCATGGTGCCTTGGGTGTCACAGGCCACGAGACTGGAAAAAGCCCGGGCTAGCAGCAAGCCCACTCTTTTCGCTCTTTTCGCTACGGTGTTCCCGCCCATGCGTAAGGAAACCAACATCTGATATCGGTCGCTGACTCGACAGGGGGTGGCCAATTTTCATCGCTTACCGAACCAATCACGGCAGCATGACGTTGGAGAAACCTGCCTAGCGTCCCAGATCGGTCCATGGTCGAGGATGAGCCCTGTTTGCGGGGGCGGGCGCCAGAAGACTCACTCTTTTTCCTTTTTTTTTCTCCTTTGCATTTCTTGCGGCAAGCCCAATTCGCACCGCAGACTTCGGCCTCGGCTTAGTCATCGGCCGACGGAACTGGGCTTCGCGACCATGACCACGATCCTTGGGCCGGTTTGATATTGAAGCAGGACATGCCACTTGGTCATACTGGGGGGGACTTGAACACTTTTGTCAAGGTCTGTTCTTGGACCGGGCTGCTGTGTTCGAAAAGCACCAAAAGCAGAGGTTGTCACTCTTCTCCTGGCTGAGAATTGTTATTCGGATGCTCCGCAGTAAGAGCATCATGCCATGGCTCTACTTTGAACAATCGTGTCTTCGGAAGCCTAATGCTATATCCGTCTCACGACTCGTGTTGTCTTGTCTCATAGGTGAGATTGTTAGTCGGTGTTTGTAATCGGGCTTGCCACGGCAATCGATGTTGGTAGAAATCGTCCCTTGCGATGGTGTTTGGCGAACTTAATGATAGGTTCTAAAAGAGATCCATCATGCTAGCCTCTGACTGGACTTGAATTAGAGTGGCCTGTAGGAACCAAAACTCTAGACGCTCTTATGGTCTTCTCCTGATCATTGTCATACGGCCTGCCGTTGCTTGTTATCCACGACCACCATCAGCTCTACGTCTTCAAACTTTGCATAAAGAGAGGCGGTGCTAGATTCGGCTTCAAGCTTTATTGTCCAATATTGAGGTAGCCTCAACCCTAGGAACTTGTACAAACTATCTGTTATGAATGTGAGACTGAGCTCACACTGGTCCATGCATTGAGCTTGTGCTCTCCATCTATGAACGGGTTTCTTCCTCAGTACGGCGTTCAGGGTCGAAAAGTTACAACCGCCCTTGAAACGTTGCTTTCCATGATACCACCGTGGTACTACTACAGTCTATTCGATGGTGTTGAGCTAACCGCTGCCCAGAGTGTAGCGGTGAACACGCCCAGTCTTCGAACCTGGAATGAAATGCTAGTAGGAGTATGCATGCCTTCATATTTTCTGACCACGGTCAAGATTTCGGCAAACGACAACACGAGATGATGGTAATTCTGCAGTTTTCGATCATCTGCTGGGATCGGATGTTGCTGGAGCCGAATGTCCGTGACGGGCGAGGGGACCAATTCAGTTGTATTTGAAAGCATTGCCTTTCCACAATCGTCATTCTTACTCTCTTCGCAGCGAAACACGCCATAGACGTAAGTGTGGATGCTACATGATGGCAATGGCCTCGTGTAGTTCATTTCTTCCTTCGCGGACGGGCCTATGAAAAGAGAGGTCAGCCTTGACACTGCCCTGGTCGGAGTCAGGTTGTTCTGGACGTCTTCTCGTTGAACACCGTCCTCGGGTCGTAGTCTAAGGTCAAACTAACGCCTATGTAGGACCTTCTTATGGGTATCCAAGTAGTCTTCGCGGCCAAGCCTACCTAGCACTGAGGAGATCGCTTTCTTCTGTAGCACGGCCTAGTCCTGCTACTTTCGATGTTCTTGCCCGCGCCACTTGTTGTTGGTATAGCCAAACAGGTATAAGTGTTGACACAGAGTAGCAATGACCTCGGTATCGGCTTCAATCTTACGGATCACGGGCTGCGGTTCTCACCCGCGTCAAGTCTCCTGACGAGGGAACCCGTTGTGCCCGTGTAATAGGACCAGAGGGGACCACCGGCCATGATAACTTGGTATTCCCAAAGATCCAGCATACGAACATACTATACCATGTACAAGAACAGAGGCACGCCTGCCATGACCCCTTGTGGGCAGTCAGACGCCCTCTCCTATCAACAGTTCTAATGGCGGTATAATGATGGTGATAGGATAGTGTGTTTGATAAGGTTTATATATCTACTGCGCTAGAATCCCTCACAGCTTGTTCAATTTACGCTTTGAATAACCACTATCGGCTTTCGATACTCGCCTTTTTCTTTGTTGTTTTCTACCCCGGGCAGTGAGGGATGAGAAGAATTCCACTTCTACCCTCATCCACTCCTATCTTCATCCGTCATGGAACCCATCTGCCCGCTCCGTGTTCGTCTTGACGAACGGAGGAAACGGAGAGTTTGTACATGATTGAAAACAGCAACACATGAGTATCTTTGGGTTCATGCTGTTTACTTGTAAGATGCATGCTGTCTGTAGTTCTGAATGTGTGAACTGATATCATGTCGTATACCGCTCACCCGTCAGGAAGCGGCCGTCCGAAAGGTAGGAGCAGGAGCAGCTTACACGACTGTCAACACTCCCAAGAACTCAGTAGTCAGAATGATTTCAGTTCTAGTTAGTAACGAGCCTTCATCTGATAACCGCGAGTACTTCACTTCAAATCTGGGCAGCAAGAGACAAGAACCACCCGTCGGTGCAGCCGACCGCTGATGGGCTGGTCTTATCCGTATTCAACTACACCTTGGACATCGTATACCGGTCAGTTCTGTGGATCAATAACTCATGCTTGGAAAAGCAGCAGCGGGAAGACCCGTTAACGCCAGCCCAAGTCCGAAATAAACCCACTCTTTTCGGAGCTCGTTCACATCGATGCTATCAAGTTTCAACAACCAATCTCCGGTCCAGTGGACGTCCTGTCAATCTTGGATATTCCATTTTCAAGAGGACCGAGCCCGACCAAGAGCGTTGAGAGATGGAGAAGCCAACGACACCTGGCATCCCACAGCTACCGAGCTACCTACACTCGCAGACCGGTGACCACCCCCGCGGGATCACCATGGGAATCGTCAAAGCCGGCCTCGCTTTCCGATCAGGACCATGATATCCATACCCCACGCGATCCCTCAGCATCCATTCTTTCACAGAGTCTCAGTCGTTTGCGCACATGGCAGGCCGCAGTCAGGGGAGAAACGCTCCGTCTTAGGCCGCGTTCTGAACTCGGCTGTCCCAGCGGTTAGAAATATTCGAATCTTGGAAACACAAACCCAGTGCGAATGCAGCCGTCGACCAAGACCATGCGGCGCCATCTTCTACGTGGTGTTTGTTGGTCTATCAACCACGAGTAGTCCAGGATGCTTCACATGTCTATACACTACGGACGAGCTAATCAATGGCAGATCACACCTATATCAAGGCATATCTTCGATATCAAAACGCGGGGACGTTCGAAACATTATCCGGGGACAGTGATGATCTCCATGGAAGCATTAACTGTATTGTCTAGTCTGAGCTACTGAGATCTAGGCGTGAACAACCTACCGCTTGGTTGGCTGTATGGGCTATGCCATGCGCACACGCCCAAGCTAGTCGACATCTTTGTCATCCACGTTTGCAGCCGTATCCTCCAGCCCGAGGCTGTCTTAAAGTCTTAGACCGTGGCGTCAAGGTCTACCGGTGTTGCAGATCCCCAGGCCGTTGCCGGTTCGGTGTCTGACTTTACCTAAAGCCGGACGTGCCTGGCAGCAACTCTTATGTCGCGGCGTTCAGCATCTTCTGGATAACTTCGCATCCGGATGTGGAACTTCCGAGATACGCATGTTCCGATTTGAGAGCGAGCACACTCTCCTGGCCACTTTGACGATGCATTTCAGCACTGTCGGACGACTCTTGCCATCACTGACATTGAGCTTCCAAGACCGAGGCTACAATCATGTACGACGGTGGCCCAAGTAATCAGACTGAACCATCCTTCTTCCAATCGAGTGGAAAGAGAGACGCCCCTGACCATGTGCTGTCGAAGGTAAAGATAACCCGATCGGTAGCATTTCCGAGAAGCGACCGCTATTTTGTTCAGACATAAGTTGTCTTTCGCGACGACAGTAGAAACACTGATTGGGTTGTCAAGTGGGATCGACATTTTGTCGGAGCAGCGTCCCTCCGCTATGACGAACTCCGAAAAAACGGTTCCTGGCCATCCGATTCATGAAGACGCAATCTGACTCATGGCATTTTGGGTAAACAGGATTCGCGGGCCGACAGAGATTTTACCTCGCAGATTGATCTTGTAGATCCATCGTTGACACTTGCGGGTCCACATCGATCTTATCATGTCTTGGTTCGCCTCTTCTTCTTCTTGAGGAGGGTCTCAACCTCTTTGGCGCCTCTTTCCCGCAGCGTCAGTTCTTTCATCATATCGACCCACTGAACATAACCCCCGCACTGGGGGCAGCGACCCTGAATAGGGACAACCGCTTGCTGCTCGCTTTCATTGTGGAGCATATGACGACTCCAGCATGACAGATGACCGACGCCTTCGCAGGCTTCATTTGGGCACACAGCCAGCAATCCTTGACCGTGAGGCAGCGCCTTGTCACATACAACACAGTTGCCCTCTCTCTCGAAATTTGTGATGGACTGTCCCTTTTCAACATATTCCTTCATAGGCGTGTAGTCCAGAGGCAAGGCATGGATGCCCCAAGCGGCGTCGCCTGCAGATGCCGCAGGGTCGGGGCCAAAGTCAGTGACCACGTCCAGCGTGTTTCGAAGAGGTTCGGTCGAGGTGGCGGACGATACTAGCCATGCCGTATGGACATCCTTTGCGAAGAAGTGCAGTCTCAGTGGCCAACGACGGAAGCTGGGTACGCTCAGGAGCAACTGCAGGTTGGACAGGATCGAAGACAGGCTCGCTCGAGGCCGACGAGGATGGCCATTTTTCTTAACTCCGGTCGAGACAGTGATCCGCGACGCGGATGGTATGTGCAGGGAGAGATGTGGGTTGGTCAGCGCCCACCTATTTGTCTGGTAGTCAGCACGAGCACGAACATGTTGTAGTTGCAGTCGGCGGGAAGAAGCATGTGCAAGCTAGGGGGGTGGGTCGGGGAGCCTTCATCCGAAGCAGAGCGGAAGCTGATACGGAGAAGATTAAAAAAAAAAAAACCCCCATTGTTGGGAGGGACAGGACGGAGATCATACTCAAACTTCAATGCAGCAACCATGCCCGGGAAACCAGAGACCAAACCCACCATCTCCCAGGGCCGCAGGCTCAGGCGGGAGGTGCGCGCAGCGCCGCCGCGAGCCTCACCATTGTGCTGCTTCAGACGGCGCGGTGGGTTGGGTGTCGAGCCGATGTAGAGAGACGCGTGGCGCACCGTAGACCGGAGGATGTACACCGTGTAGAGGGCGGGTATGGGTTTGGACTGGACAGGCATGACTGGACAGGGAAGGGCGGACGGTGTCAGGACATTGTGTTGTGCGACGTGTTTTGGAGGAAAAAAGTTTTGCTGGGCGCAGGCACAGCGGGCGAGTCTAGACTCGGCGTGCTTGTGAAAGCATACGTGGACTTGGGTTTGGGCCTGTGTCAGCGAGCCTCGGGTTCAGGCCAGATCTTGGGCCGAGTCGAATTAGGTTGCGTGAGAGAGTTGGGAGGGAACTGGGGAGAATGCAAGTGACGGGTGTATGCTCTGAAGGTAGGAAGGTAGGCAGCTTGTTCGAGGGGTGTGTGTGCGACCGCGCGCGCGCTCGATAATGCTATTGTTGGCGGTGGCTACCAGTGTTGTTGCGCTGTTGATTAATGCGCGACGCGAGGCGAGACGGCTCGAGACGATGACATCGGACGTCCTCCGGTGAGAGAGCGGTGTGCAACTAACTGCACTGCAGGGCAAGCTAGGTTCCAGGTTCTGGATCTGTCTGGGGGGTTGCAGCAACAGCAACACGAGCTTGCAATAGGAAGCTCGGCTAGCCGACGACGCGAGCGATGTCGGCCGAGGGCTCGGACAGTCGGGTATCTCCACGTCTTGTCTTGCTTGGGGACGGGAAAGCGTGGGAGGCGCAGAGAGAAACGAGACCAAAGTTGGGGGAGCTGGAATTTTCGGGTGTCAGGGTTGCACACGGCCAGGGACCGACAAATTGGATCTGGTCAGGTGAGGGCACGAAGTTGGGGTAGGAATGCAGCAAAATGTCACGGTGAGACAGATTGACGTGCGTGACCCGTGGGATGCAGCCGTGGTGTTTCCAGGGGCAAGGGAAGGAAGTGAGTTCCAGGCCAGCCAACGGGGGAAAAGAAACCGAAATGGACGGAAATTTTTTTGAAATGTGTGAAATGGGGGTGGGAGACAAGCAATTTGGCGAGGGAAATGCCAAAAAGAATGGGGGGCCGGCCGAGAATTATTAGTGATTATTGATTCGTGACGGTGTTCCGGATCATTTGATGGCGTGGAGTGCCTCCAAAATAGAAATGTTCGGTCGGGAGTTGGGAGACGCTAGTCTACTTTGGGACTCGGGAAAGGCTGTGGCTGCTCACCTGGCCTTCACCTTGCCGGGATGGCAGGCACAGGTTAGGAAACGAGGAACGGGCAGGAACAGGGGCGCAGGGGGGGAGGGGGGCATGAGGGATGGGGGGGGTTCAGAGACACGCCGGGGAAGCTGGCCGCTAGCCTTCCGTATCGTCGTGCCTTCCGGTTGGCGCTGCTGTCCGAGGGATAGCAGTGCACCTGCACTTTTTCGCACCTTCTCCCACTGGCTACAGTAGGTACCTGCTTGCTGTACCTGTTCGTGCCCCCCATCCCCCTCATCACCCCATCCAAGCCATCGTCGTCCGGCTTCGTCCATCGTCGTCCCCGGCCACTGACCACGATCCCCGGGCCCCAAATTCCCCCATACTTTGTCTTCCTTCACTTTACTTTCCCATGTCGTGACATTTTCGTCCCGTGGTGCGCAAAACCCCACCCTCGTAGCTCTGGGGGTGAAGCTTTCCCTAGCTGGGTCACGACGCACCGCTTCCACTTTCACGCTAACTCCATTGACGAACTCAGTTGACCAAGCTCCCTTCTACCGGTAATCAAGCTCGCGCGCCACATCGATGCGAACCCAATGAGGCCGGTTTCACTACAACTCAACCCCCTTGGCATCATTTGTTATCCCTTTGTCAAAAACAGAATTCCAGCATTCCGCCCAAACAACCTGCTCGATTGGTGTCGCTTGAGAAACATAGTTCCTCACTGCCTCGTTCAGATTGCCAGAGTCTCCGAACGGAGCGACTATCGAGACAAATCGAGGGCACGGCACCTTGGTTGTGGCCGACGAGCAAGCCATTCGTCTGCCATTACGAAAAATTACGCACATTTACGCACGCTTCGCAAATGGCCGGCCGTCTCCAGATGGCCATTCGCTGGCGGTGACAATTATTACCAAGCATGGCGACCCAGGCATACGTAGTACGCAGCAATTGTGTCAAAGCAGTGCCGCTGCTGCATGCAAGGCGGGACAGAAATCGAGCAATTGATTGTCCGACCTGCGACCGACCTACCCCAGAAGCCCGAGCCAAACCCAAAATATGATGTGGCCGGGCGCACCGATCGAGCCTTCGAGAGACACCACGGACGGACTGGTGTTTGTCGAAGAAGAGAGGAGCCGCTGCATCCAGTTATCCCAGCGCACATCAGTCACTTCGATTTGCCTCCTGCCCGCATCCGCTGTTGCTGTTATCCGCAGAATGCTAGTACATACGATCAATTGGCCTTGTCGATTGGCACAGAAGCCCGTGGACTGACGCTGGTCCCTTCGTGTCGCTGACCCGATAGGGGGCCAGTTTCGCTTGCCATTTCGCAATAATTCGCCGTCATCGGCGCGGCTGCTCCTCCCCCACGTCTGACTTGACTCACTGGTGAGATAATCTTGACCGAGTCTCCGAGACACAACAATGCCGCTGCGGGACAGGCCACTGTATCACCTGACACACTGTGTCTATATGTGAGGAATGCAGACGACGCAAGTGCAAGGTGCGGCGACACAGACGCAGATGCAGATGCAGATGCAGGCATTGCCAAGCGCTCAAGCTTCCAAGCTATCAGAGCCGGACCAAGCAGCAACAGGACCACGCTTGTCAGCTTGTTCCCCCGGCGAAAGCCCCTGGAGCAAGAACCAGCAGTTTCCTCAACTGACTGGCGTAACGCTTGCGGTCCTGCGGCTTTGGAGGCTTGTCGGCCACGGCGTTGGAGGCGTTGGAGGCGCTTGTGGGTGGCTGACCGCTAAATGGGCTGGACAAGCCGTGGTGTACGGAATACGGGTTGCGGCTTACTGCCTGCACCTCATCTCTCGTTTTTGATCACTCGCTCACACACACCTCAGATCAGTCACCTTCTCAGCCCGCAGCCGGTATGCGCGGCGCACTATGGCAGTTGGCTGGGAGCCGAAGCCGATTGATTCGGGAACAGGAAAGAGGAGACGGCCACCCCCCGTCGGGCATTTAACTTGCGGATGCGTGACAAGATGACAACGGCAGAACTCTGTGTGCACCAAACCCAACACGTCTGGCCGTGCCGGAATACGACGTGAGCACTTGGGCAAGCCACAAATGCAGACACAGCTATCCGGCCCATCGGTGACAGCGGCTTGTCAACCAACCAATTCACCTCATGGACATACTTAGTGGTGGTGGTCACTGAGGGTGTCGTCGCGAATGGCCCTCTTTAGCCAACAGGGCTCGAGACCCCGAGAGGGTGTGAGCGCGTACCTGGGCCGGAGAAGGGACCCCTAGGTAGATGGGTGTGATGGGCGCATCATCCAGTTACGGCGCATCCTTGTCGATCTCAAGGGTTCCAAGGTCAATCATGGAGCAAACTGGAACAGGCTGGATCACTGTGGAGGGGGGACTGGAGCATCAGTTCCCAGTGATGGGCAATTCGACCTTCCCTACTAAGCCTGATGGCTGGTTCTTCTCTGTGCTCCAATCTTCGTTGAACACTGTGTTCTGCTGTTTCGACTCGGCCACGGATGGGCGATCTAGACCACAGGCTACCGCCCACGGCCGCTGCGGTGCTGCGAGTTCTACGGCAATGGACCGATAGGCCACCCTCCATCACACACACACACACACACAGTCCGAACCCCTTCGACCATGCACGTTTACCCTGGGCGGCTGTGTGTGGTGCCCGCAGGCGTGGCCCAAGTAGAAGGATAAGGTGCAATTGCACTAGAAAAATATTTTCTCCCCCTCCTCGGGGAACGTTCTGTGCGATTATTCTGGACCCGTCTCCCCTCCTCCCCTTCCCCGTCGCTCCCAGCTCACTGAAACTAAATTGGAGCAAACTCATTTGCCTCACCGCCGCGGCGCGCTCAACCCGTGGCAACCTCAGCAGTCCGTGACACCCGCGCCAGTAAGCGGTGGCAGCTGCTAAGTCCTATTTCCAGCCGATGCCCAGCCGGAACCCATCTGTCTCTGTCTGTCCGTCTGTCTGTTCGTCCGTCTGTGTTGCAACACGATGAGGGTACTCTGTACAGAGTACGTATCTTCTCGATCCCGACAATGGGGGGGGGGGGAGATACGTACCGCCGCCCCCTGCCTCACTCAGTTCATCTGCCAAGTCCGGCTCGCGCATCCCGCTGCAATCGAGCAAAGTCTGGACCTTTCTGCCTTTTACACTGGTCCTCTTCGCCCTTCCCTCCCAGTCACTGAGGTGATCCGAGTGCCACACGTCGAACAAAGTGCCAAACTGGACGCCAAATGCTGCTAAGTTTGCCTCCCCTCCACCCTGCACCCCACTCCCTTTCCACACCAATCCACACTCACACCCACACCCCTCGTCCACACCCACGCCCACATGCATGCACATCCACGCCACGCCACGCCCCTGCCCTGCAGCCTGCCTTTGGTGGTCGTCTTGGCTTTTTGCGAGGTACCGCCAGAAAGTACCCGACTGCCCGTTAAAGAAGCGTTGCTCCTCCGACTCAACTCGCCTCAGCTTTGCTACTTCTCCTCTGACAACCAGCTCAACACTACCTTATCTAATTCTTCGACGACTCGACTCGATCGACATACCAACGAACACTCCTCTACCAGACCATTTCACCGAGTTTGAACAGACAAGATCTTTACGAATGACGGCAATCTTGTTCTAGGCGCTTCTCTCCACGACTTCGATCGGGGCATATATCACCTAATGACCGTGATCGACCTGTTTCTTCTCAGACAGCCCTTGCAAGCTGTCACTTGAAGAACCGAACTTGGACGAGACGAACCGTCAAAGACTATCTCACCGCAGCCGAATATAAGCACATCCCTCATCTACACATCACACGCACAGTCACAATGATTCCCAGAGGTCTCGCTTCCGCCTTCGGGACCCCGTCCCTCGAGATCGGCCAGATCCTTCTCGGAAACGCCAGCCGCTACACAATTCAGAAGAAGATCCGTGAAGGTGTCTGGATCGCC